CTGCGTTGAATTCATCCGAGAGATTAATGGTCGAGTCTGAAGCATACTGAATTTCACCTTCGTCATCGGTTTCACTCGAAGAATCTTTGATATTTTTTTTAGGTTTTCGTTTAGATGATTTTGCTGTCTTATTTTTAATAGAATGCTCAAGTTCTCTTGATGTGCTAGCCTGTATTTGTATATCTTCTGCAGATATGCTTTTACCCGCTGGTACATTGAGCTTCTTCTTTCGTCCTTTACCGCCTGATTCCACCACTCCTACTCTTTTATTTTCTAAAAATTGTATAAATGATTCTGAAACCAGTGCCGTGTCTTGAAGTGGAGCGTCTGGATGTCTAAACGTAGGTAAGCGTTGTAATACTGGAGCTTCATCAGTCGGAAAAATACCGGTTTCCTTAAAGCCAGCTTTGAGATTATTTGCTGAGTTGTCCATGATATTTTCCCACAGCTTATTTAGCAACGTAGGAAACGTGTTTTTAGGAATAGTGGGTAGTCTTTGCCCTTCAGGTGTTTCCTTCCATTGGTCTCAGATTTGACGCCAGCGCAGTTTAAGAAGCCTAAAATAGGCCACGTCCAAAGGATGTGTAAGATGGGTGCTATTTGGTGGTAAAGCCACAAATGCGATATTATGAAACTTGCATGCCTTTAAAACTTCCATATTTATATGAGAACTTAAGTTGTCCCCAATGAGAAGCTTCTTCCCTTCTTGCCTACGTAAAGTGGAATCCACCCAATGAAAAGAACCAATCCTCGAATGTACTAGTGTCAAACTAACCAGACTTTGACCGATTGTAACGAGTGCCAGGTGGCCCACCCTCTGTCCACGTGCTCCACATATTGTCTGACTTGTAGTTTATGTAAAATTGGTAAAATTTCTCCAGCAGCATTGCCACATATAATTAAACTAACGGCTGCTTTCTTTGAATTTTTTATAGCTTCTGGATATTTACATCCACGCTTCATAACTTTTTTCTTGCTTGGGTCGTCAACAAGGTTGGTTTCATCATAATTATAAACATTTTCGGCTGGAACTCCTTGAATTTCAGTAGAACAAAACCTTTGAGATAGTTCATTTTTGTGGCGTCTCAGAAAAATATTCGCCCAAGTCTTGCCAGGTAAATTATTTTGGAATTGGACTTTACGTTCTGTTCTATCGAGATACATTTTTACAATGCACCTTAAATCAAAAACGGTAATAGGGAAACCGTAATTACACATTTCGTTTGCATGCTGGATGAAAGCACTTTCTTCGGTATCGGAAAAGATACGCTGACGGCCTGGTTGTCTAACTTTATTTGTTCGTATTGCTTTTAATTTAAAAAAAAATTCAACTTCGAGGAATTTTATATTTTTCAGCAGCTTCGCGTAGAGTTAGAATTTTATTTGTTATATCTGATAAACATAGTTCCATCTGCCGTTCACTATAACACTTATAAGCCCTCCCTTCCAACTTTTCTTCTCATCAACTTATCTAGTGACAACATTTTCTGTAACAGAATAAGTTAGTTTTCAATTATGGTCCAAAAAACTAGTAGGACCGTAGTTGAGATCCAAGAGGGTACTTACGAGAATTTTTTTTTATATATATAGGTGTATTTATACAATAAACTATACGTAAAATGAATGCCAGAATCTTAGCTTACCATATGAATCCAATTCTGAAACTTTGTCTTCACTTTAACCAATATTTTCAATTAAAAGTAAACGATATTCAGTTAACGCGTTCAAACAGGTTTTTATCGGAGAAGGTTTACTAATTTGAATTAGAGAGACATCTGTTGTCCATGAATATAACTACAACGAGCAGACGTCAAGAAACGAAAATAGTATAAAATAATAAACTACATGTCGCTACACGTCCATACAGCTTCAATTTTGTCGGATAGATTTATTGGACTATAGTTGGGACCCTGTACTATACTTGTGTGTATTATGTTGTGTAATTTTACGGTATTATAAACAATCCATATAATTTCTAGTCTACGCTCCTTTTTAAAGTAACAAAGATAAAACTGTTCTCAAAATAATCACCGGTGAAAACACATCCTTAAGTTCCGAGCCACCCTCAGACAGTCTGAGGCTCAGACCACTCCACGTCGCTCCTAATTAAGGGGATGGAATAACAATCATAGCCATCATGGATATAGAGACAAGTGCCGGTCTACAACAATGTAACGGAGCTCTTTGCCTTATTAAACGTTTCACGTTTGCTTTAAAAAAGTTCTCATTAAACTGTAACTTATATTTATGTATTTAATACACGTGACACGCTGCTTCTAAGGATTCTGTATGACAATCTATACAAATAAATAAAATTGAAGTGTCTGTTTGTAATTTCAAAATAACAGCTTTTTACTTAATGCATATGAAAGTATATACGGTATGTACCGGTCTGTTTGTTTTTCCGGCTAATCTCCGAAATGGATAGACCGATTCAGACGGTAAAGAATAACTTAGGCTTCTTTTATTTTAAAAAAGTATTGGGTTTTCGCGCAAAAAATTTAAAACCCATAAAATCCAGTCATAATAAATTCCACGCAGACGTAGTCGCGGGAAACAGCTAGTTTTCAATAAACTTTAAACATGAGGAGGTTGCGAGAAGAAGTGACGTAATTGTTTTAATGATTGTAACACAATATATTCAAGGTCAGTTAACGAATTTCACTAATTATTTCATTGGTTCTATGTAAATTTTAAATGGATTAGGTACTAAAATTTGGTTTACTCTTTTTTTTATAGAAGAGGGGGCAAACGAGCATGCGGCTCACCTGATGGTAAGTGACTACCGCCGCCCATGAACAACCGCAACACCAGGGGAATTGCAGATGCGTTGCCGGCCTTTTAGAAAGGTGTAAGCTCTTTTCTTGAAGGTTCCTAAGTCGTATCGGTCCGGAAAATTCGCTGGTGGTAATTGATTCCACAAGGAAGTTGTGCGAGGGAGAAAACTTCTTCTAAATCGCACAGTGGTGGACCGCCAATCATCCAGATGGTATGGATTGAAACGCGAGTTTTGTCGCGATGTGCGATGGTGAAACTGAGCGGCTGGAATTAGTCCGAACAATTCCTCAGAGCACTCCCCGTGATAGATGCGATAAAATACGCAAAGAGATGCAACATCTCTACGCAGTGCCAGTGTATCGAGCCGATCAGAAAGAACTCGGTCGTCGACGATTTTTTAATAATCTTAATAATCAAGCTCTTATTGTTTGATCGTTAAAATCTGAAATAACTAAATGTTTCGCACATGCCAACAATTATCTTCGGCACCCAGGGTTGACTGGTAGTGAATGATTGGCACATGGCAATAAGGCTGCCCTGTGTACCCTTAACTTTAAGGTGTTATATTTAAGCTTTTAAAATTAAAATAACTCACATGTATTAATGGCACAACAATGTACCAAACAATTATTTACAGCTTAAGATGTGTTGTAAAATTAAATTACTAATGTTTAAAAATATAATAATAATGTAAGCAAAATTAACTAAGTTTTCTTCATAATACAACTTTAACTTAAATCGCCTACTCAGGAAGTACTGAAACATGTTACGTGTGAATAAATCACAGCAAAAGAAAAACGAGAGCTATACTTCCAACCCGTCGCGTTCATAGGAGGCCAAATGCATCAAACGAAATCGTGAGCCGACTCCAATCCAAACGGGATTGTACCTAAATAGAAACCGATGTGACACTACAGCCGATGAAGCGTGTGATGAATCACAATTGGCTTTTCTTTTTGTCAAACTATCCACGGTAAAATGCGCAAGTTATTTTCAACTAAATAATTCGTCGTAGCAGTTTGATGAACTTTGGAGTTTTATTGCATATTAAAAAAAACAAATTTGAAGTGCACATGAAAGTATGTAACAAATAAAAACATTTTTAAATTTTTTGTCCGTCTGTTTGTTCCGGCTAGTCTCGGAAGCGGGTGGACCGATTTTGACAGGACTTTCACTGGCAAATATGAGCTATTATAAGGAGTACTTTAGGTTACTTTTATTTTAGAAAAAAATTAGGGTTCTGCGCAAAAAAATTTTAACCCACGAAATCCAATCGTAATGAATATCACGCGGGCGAAGTCGCGGGGAACAGTTACTTAACTTAAAAGAATAAACTTATAGTATTATAAGCTTAAGAGTTTTGTATTTCAAAGCAAAGCAAATTTTAAACAAAGGTTTCTAAGCACTAAAAACATTAACGTTTGTGAGTGAAAGTGAAAAAAAATCAAAATTTTATTGAAAAGATATTCAAAAATGAAATATAAAATGTATAATAATCATGAAAATAAACATAATAAATATACAAGAATTTAAGACAAACTGTGGTTACCAAGCCGCTTACCAAGTGTGGCAACTATGGCAAATATCTTTCTTATGAGGCAATCTCTGTCTACCAATTAATGGACGGGCCCAGTGCCCATTTTTATAGGCTGCAATGAATGAACAAATGGATATAATAGGTCTCATATTAATAAAGGCTAATAAATTATCAATGTAACTTTCATTAATTTGTATAATAAATTTTTAGACATAATCAATTCGTTTTCCACTGGAGAGAATAGATAATTCCAAAAGAGATAACACGAGGAATTATATTTTCAATAAAGCGTTTAATCTGGATTATTGTTGTTTCCTTATTGCTCATTAAAACAATTTTGAAATTTCTATTTCTGTGTTTAATAGCTTTATTATTACAAGAATTTATATAATACTTGTAAACAACTTAAAACCTGTGTCTTTTACGAGTAGCTTATCCTATTGGGACTAGTTAAAACCTTTTTTTAGTTTCATTATTGAAACTAAGGTGACATTTGTTTTATGCCCTTTTTTAATAGAAATCAATGAAATGGTGTCTGAATTTGATGAACTGTACTAAAATTTATAACTTACCTTAAAGAGGAAAGGATTCTTAATGTTAATATTTATAATTTTGTTTGTTTCAGATGGGTAACCAAAGCAAATGGTGGTTTAGGCGGCGTTGCGGTAGGTGAATCGCTGTAATAATGGCGAGGACGTGGGCGCACGCGTATATTCTCGCGTTAGCAATAACGCTAACGAGAGCCTACCTCATCCTTGTCCCTGACACTGCGCCACCGGGTCACGTTGTTTTAGACGCTGCCGTCTACAAACTAGGTTCTGAACGTACCTACACAATTGACGTACATCGCACTGCCAACTTCGTCCATCACATCCTTCGCGTCAATAGAACTACTGGGCTCGTCACCCTCAGGAAGAAACTGCGATGCGACGGGGTACTCTACCCCAACCTCTTCACTTTCTACGTTGACTCGACTTCGGAACGCATACGTGATATTGATTACTATAGTCTACCAATAAGAGTGCTAGTAACAGGTGAAGACTGTAGCAGGCGACATGCGGATCTTTATGATATTGATTTTGATCGGGTCTATGATCAAGATGACGCAGCATTGCAATACGAAGATGATCACGTCAGGGACAGAAGAGAAGCAGTATATGCTTTTCGTCCCGACATGATAGACTGGAGGTTGATGGAGGAAGAAGAATTATTTTCTAGTCAATATAAAGTGCTATCAACGGCAAATCCTTGGTCAAATACTATTTTCGAAGACTTTGCGGCTAGAAATAGAAGTAGAAATAAAAGATCTCTGTCATTAGTACCTTTCGATATGGCCATAGATGTTAAAATAGCTGAAGCAAAACAATGGATTTCGGAAACTTATGCGAGTTTTTCTATACCCACTACGGATAGGTGGCAAGGGATATGTCTAAAACAATCCCAATTCATAAATTCGTTAACAGCTTTCCTACCCCGGACAGTTCAAAAAATGTGTAAAGTGCAGTTCTTGGATGTGAGTGACCCTCGCTTCTTGATTGAAAGTAGTCAGGGTGATTTAGTAGCAAGCAGTGATTTATGCATACAGGAGCCTATGTGGAAAGTATCAGTTCTCTTCACGTTTAATTGTGATAAATCTAATATTGTAGACTCTGATCACCGACTGAAAATAGTGTACCATCATCAAGAGCTAAATGATACGGATATAGCGCGAAGGGTGAAGAGGGAATTGCGGAACCAGTCGCCTTACTTCGAGCAGGCGCTTTATGTTGCTTCCGTCGCTGAAGAGCAGGCACCGGGTGTCGTCGTCACAACCGTAAGAGCTCGGTAAGCACATACTTATGCCATAAACGTACATCGTAAAAGATTCATAAAAAATATTTGTAATTAATATATGCCTTAAATACTCTCTATAGATACAGAATTAACAGTTTCTATTAAAGTTAAAAATTAAAGTTAGCCTATATACATCCCACTGCTGGGCACAGACCTCCTCTCATTTCTGAGAGGGTTTAGGGCAAGGAAATGTCTGCCGCGCTGCCCGAATGCGTGTTGACGAACTTCACATGTCATCAAAATATTTTTTCTTATTCCTCGTACATGAAGGTTTCCTCACGATGTTTTCCTTCACCGCCGAACACGTGGTAAATGAGTATTTAAAATTGCAATTAACGGTTTCATTGGTGCTGGCGGGGATCGAACACAGGTTGCTCGCGCACTATTTCTGTTATTAAAATTAAGTAATAAATATTACAGTTTCTATTATTAAAATTACAGTGTTATTTTTTATTATTTTTTTACAGCTGGTTATGGTTTTTATGTATATTTATCATATATTTTAAAATCAAATTTATTTTTATGCCGTCGGTAAAATTTAATCTTAATTTAGTCTCTATAAATCATAAATCTCTCTTTAATATTTGCTAAATCTTCGGAGTATTAAATTTAGATGTAAGCTTATAAAGCTGGATATACAAAAACGTGTTCCGTTTGAAGCAACCCTCGAATACTACTGCACTCAAAGGAATCAAACATAAAAAGAAATGTCTCGGCTATTAAATTATTTGCGGTTATTCTTCATCCCCTTGCTCGTTCATTGCCACTAACAGACATTACAACCTTAAACCGCATTACTCCACTCAATGATCCGTGAATACCAGGGACATAACACTCAAGTCCGTTTCCACTATTATACCTTCTGGTAAATATGTTAGTAGAAAGCATAGACATGTGTACATTAACTTAATCGTTCTTATTATATCGACTAACAAGAACACGGTGTATAATTGCAATAGAATTGGATTTCTTTTATAGAATAAGGATGGAAACGAGCACTCAGTCCACCTGATTACTTACCATCGTACCATCGTAAGTGGTTGCTGTGGTCCATAGACATCTACATCTACCTTCGTTTGCAAATTAAAATGCAGAATGCGTTATCAGCCGTGAGGACTAAGATGGAATGCCTCTTTTCCAGTAAAAAGGATCTCCAGTTCTCTACACTCACCATACGAAATACAGCAGCATTAAGCTTCTATTTTACGCTGGTATTCTGTGAGAACGTGGTTCTTCCCCGGTCGAGCCGACCCATTCGAGCTACAACTATGTTATTAATATAGCTGCAGAATGGCTCTACCACGTATACAGTGCAGTTTGTCCCTTAGATGCAAACTATCTGTCTGGTCAATTGGCTTTAAGCTCGTTAGACTTTTATGATGTCATCTATTTCAAGAGGCCGGAACAATGTCACGAACCGGTGCAGTGTTGTCAGACAATGGCCGCAGACCATAAAAATAAACTAGCTAAATTCATATTAATGATATTTGCATGAAGCGTGCTTTGCATCTGTGCATTGTGTGTTGTATGCTATAAGGGTTTAACTACCATAATTAGTATGTATTTATAACGTTTTCAAATGTATACGGATATTTATTATTATATTATCGCGAGTTAGTTCTAAACGGTTTCGTGCTTCTTAAGTGTACATTATAAATATATAATATAATAACAACAGTTGAAAGAAATATTTTCGTAATTAGATACATGAATATATATATGGTACTAATATTGCGCGATAGGCTTTTCGAATAACCTTCTAAATGTTATTCAGTTCAGTAGCTACTTAAGTTAATTGCATTTTTTTCAATAGCAATTAGATAATCTTCTGCGTATTATTTTGAATATCTCAACTTACAAATTAAGATAGCATTTTAATAACGTTGTTTAAAAAAAAAAGCATTTGAAATAATTATCAATATTCTTTATTTTGAGGAACATGCATATGTAAAATCAAATTCTGTCCATAAAACCTATATTAGGGAATGCTTTCTTCATTAATTCAAAATTCAACATGCACCTGTTAATGAACGTCCAGTTTCACGGGTAATAATTAACACTTATTAAAACTATGCCCTTAGGGACCCTGAGAACAGTCCAGTTACATACTCCATGTCGAGCTTGTTGGATTCCCGATCAGCCGGCATGTTTGCGGTGGATACAAGGTCGGGAGTGGTGACTACGCAAGCAAGGTTGGATCGAGAAAGATTGGATGTGCATTACTTTAGAGTTGTGGCACAAGACGATACTTTCCCACCTAGAAGTGGGACTACTACTCTTCAGGTAATTTATGAATTAAGGCATATAACGTACATCCATAATTTAAGCATCACGCCTGTAATCTCCGTAAAGGTTGACAGAGTCCAAAGAACAACAAGCTGCTCTGACTACAATTATCCATAAAATGTGTATTTAGATGAAACATTGTGAAAGAAGAGATAGATGGCTAGCCTATAAGTTCGACACAAACATAACAACCTGTAAGTCCCAGGCCAACATGGAACTAGCAATGGACACATAAGTATATTGCAATAAAAAGTGCTTGGACATATAAAATTCCTGTTGCTTAAACGTGTACAAGTAGCTAGCACGCAGAGTAGGCTAGGTTGCAGCGTCAAAAACAAATAATTTGTGTTCTTGCACAAGATTTAGCTGGAGAAGGGATTTGAACCCAGGATGCATGATGCAGTAGCCAGGTACTCTAACTTCGCAACGAAGCTACGCGGTCGTTACTTGTCCTAACTACTATTCAACCATCCATTAAAGCTAATAATATATATATATTTAATTAACTATATATAGGTTTAATAGGATACTTACTAATAACTATATAATAAACTAACTAGATCAACGTACTGGACTGCAACGATCACGCGCCGGTCTTCGAAATGCAACAGTACGAGGCGTCAGTCCGCGAAGGTGCCAGCCCTGGTACCACAGTACTCACTTTAAAGGCGACCGACCAAGACATCGGTAACAATGCACAGGTAAGTATTATATACTAATATTTTGCATGCGCAGAGACATAATTTTTACGGATCACAATCGGAATATGGCGACCATTATTGAAGCGACAAAACAGGAGCAAATATCTGCTGGCAGTCAAGTTCCCACCAAAACTCAATTACAGTGTTATAGTTGTTATCTGTCTAGAATATTATATAATACTACCAAGTTCACATTTTTTATGAAATAACAACTTACCATATGACTGGGGAAGGGTAAAGATTAAGAATTTACTTGTTTCTCAACTCAGGACCAAGGTATGTATGTAATTATATAATCTAATAAAATGCGAAAAAATCCGCAGTTCCACTAAAGATTGAGTTTCAGTGCCTACTGTGGCTTTTATATACCTGATACTAACTGCAAATAATGGAATCAAGAGTCTTGTTGTTCCTGAAGATTAAATTTCAATGCCCCAATTTCTTTTAGATCATACAAATGGTTACTCCATTTGTATGATCTACGTATTATGAATATATGAAATTGAAGTCTTGTTTTTAATTTAACACTAATTCTGACAATAAAAGTATATTAACAAAATATATAGATATATAAAAAATAATATTAACAAAACACCTTTCCAAAAGATGATCAGGAAGTTACAATGGTTTTTCAAATATATGTTATCGACACTCGGGTCTTGATTACAAACCCACTAAATTCTTCCGCTACCATCGCCGAGGCATTGCTTAAACAAAATATAAATCATCGTAATCACCATCATCATTACAGCTCATTGACTCCACTGCTGAACATAGGGTCTCCCACAAAGAATTCCATAAAGCACGATTCTAAGCCACCATCGACTTCCTGCATGTCTTACCAGGTCATCACATCATCTAGTGGGGGCCGCCCTACACTTCGTCTACCGGTACGAGGCTCCTACACGAGAACCTTTCTTCCTTATCTTTTATGGGCTCTTCGAGCTATATAACCGGTCTAGTGCCACTTCAGCTTAATGATTCGTTGCACTATGTCAGTTACTCTAGTTTCACTGCGTATATCCTCGTTTGAAGTCATATCACGGATAGAAACTCCGAGCATAGCTCTCACTTTAGCCCACTGAACGGCCTTGAGCTGAAGATATTTGTACTAAATATAGTCAACAGATTATAACAATAATCAAGCGCGTGATAACAAGAGTCTTCGACTTTCAGGTGGAATATTCTATAGACTCCATATCAGCGGACAGTCTTAATCCGGAAGATATGAATGAATCAATCGACGGCAGCAAAGAACAGATGGACATACAGGACGTATTTAGAGTTGACGGCAGAAGCGGGGCGCTACTCACCAGAGCGCCTCTTGATAGAGAGAAAGTGTCCCGTTATACTGTCATAGTAAAAGCTACAGACCAAGCCAGTCCTGTGTCTGATAGATTGTCTAGCAGGTATTTTATTTCAACTGGTATATTATACTGGCTACTTTTATACGTGGTAAAGCCACTCTGCAGCCATATTATGGTTGTAGCACAAATGGATTGACTCGACCGAGGAATGCCGATAACGAGTGTAGAGAACTGAAGACCCTTTAAACTGGAAATGAGGCATTCTTTCTTCCTCAGGGCTTACAATGCATCTACATTTTGATTTTAAATCGAATAGATCTAGATTTCGTTTGTCATCCCTATTTTATTAAGTATAAAATACTGCCAAGAAATTAATATTTTATTTTTATGAATTCTGCTAGTTTCAATTACCAAAATTATTGATAAACATTTGGCAGCGGCGTTAAAAACATCGATATTCTATTCGCACAAGGAACAATTATTCTCTAAATTGATACGAGTTCCTCCACGGTACAGAAGAATTCCCAGTGTGTAAGCAACGCTTATATAAAAAAAAAAACATAATATACATTTTATAATTCATTAAAATATTGAATTCGACTATAAATAGAACCATCATAGCATTGAGTTTCATAAAGATCAAATTGTTTCTTGAGTTATTTGACGCAGACTCAATATCCGTTATTATGCTAACTTGACTATCTAGTCAGACTACATTTCGTAATAGAAAATATAAAAACATGAATGGAATAAAAATATTTAATGTAATAAGAAATTCAACTCTTTATTTTGTCAAATTTCTTTTAAGGTCTTGAAAATATTCCTTCCTAAATAATATTCAAATATATAGAAAATATATTTATGATAGAGAACTTGATATTTCTTACAAAAGCCTTTTTATAATAACCTTTATTCCGAAATCAGTGGAAGTACTTACCGCAAAATAATTTTTACTAGTTTTTGTATCATATCCAACTGCAAGGAATATCTTCAATGACAACGAGAAACGTTTTTTCTTCTTCCGTTTCCGGGCTGATGAAGCTTGCAAAAGTCGACTGCTGAACACGGACCCTCTCAGTTGTAGGGCAAATTTACCACAATATTCATACTTGACGGCCGAAAGGAGGTTATGTATGTTTGACGCTCCTGGATATTTTACGTCTGATATAATGGGATGGTTTAAATTCAAAATATCCCAAATGATTATAGTGCAGCAATTTTCAAAATGGTAATCTTAAATCTTCTTCATGATTTTTTTTTATATTTATCCTCTCCTTTTATTGCAGCGCCACAGTTCACGTGAACATAATAGACGACAACGACAACTACCCTCAGTTCAGTGAGAAAACTTACACCGTTACAGTTGAAGAGGACATCAGTGTTGCTGACAACCCCATAATCGCAAAAATCAAGTATGCATATTTTTAAATACATCCAAATACAAAATATCAAATTACTTACTGGACTTTTACCAATACATATAACAATAAAAGATAAATAAGAATTTAAGAATGTACCTGATGAAAATATGTCAAGCGTCTGAGAACGAAGCATTTAAAATAAAGCGGTATTTCGTAGGACCCAATGCAAGAACTAAATTAAAAGATGCCAATCATAACGTTGTCATTCTTCGGAAAATTAAACATTTATCGAGACAGAATATTTGTGGCAGCTAAAGGTATAAACTTTGACTTTCTCTTCAAGTGAATTTATGAAAGCTTTATCATCACAATTCTACCACTAAACAAAGGCCTTTCCAAATCGCAAATAATCTCAACATGGTCATCGACTTGCAACTCGTCTATAGTCTTTTGTCTAGTGGACCGTCCTACATTGCGCTGGCATCTTTCTTGTTTTTCGATCTACATGACCGGTCTTTTGCCTTTTCTGCTTACTGATTAAGTGTGCTTTATCGATTAATCTTGTCTTAAATACCTCGTTACTAATTCTATCATGCACCACGGTGAGCTACTTTGAGTTTTGTTATACGGCCATCAGGGAAAGACCACATCTTGGATGGAAATAGGTCATCAGTAACAACATGTAGTGGCCGCATATTTTTGATTATAAGATTTAGAGAATATTCAACTAGGGAATGTGGCAAAAGAAAATACACCTTTTGTTGATAACGATAATTCTTACCTATTCTCTACCCTCTTGGTCGTTCCTTACCTATGAGGCAACTTAGGCCTAGGTATAGGTACTTGCTAACAATTTTTAAGGTAATGTTTCCAACATCTATAGGCTTTTTTATGTCCATTTTCATCTTAAGACCTATCTGCCAAGAAATATTGAGAGGTTCTATGGACTGTACACAGTGTCATTGAAGTCACACGAATTTGTGAGAAACAAACCAAGAGTAAGTCTTGTCCAACTTAATTTCGGTGATTTCTTGAATGTCAGTGAGTAACAATCAAAGGCTGTCCATCATCTTAGAAACAGTAAAGCTCTGGATGAAAATGGAATTACAACAAGCATCTGAAAACGGGCTAATAACGGATACTTAAAGTTCTTCGTAAAATCAAAGTAATATTAAATTATAAGTTCTAAGAAGAATAACAAGAGAGAAAAGATGAAAATTTATCTCACTATTAAAATACCTTTAAGAAAAACTTTTAATCGTCGATAAGAGTATGCGAAAACGTTTTCTTATGAAGTTTTACAACAGACTTCCATTAAAGCCTCTTTAAAATATTCTCTGCAGCGAGATAAAATTCAAATAGATTGCATTTATTCGTTGGCTGTCTTGGCAACTTGTTTTATCTATACGTTAGAACTCCCGCGGCGTCCAGCCGTCTAAATTTATGCGTCCATAGTAAATTGTTGTTTGCAAAAGGGCAATATAGATACAGCCCTAAGCATACAACATTGTATTCTAGACCTTATACAAAGTTCTATTTACAATGGATTACAGGTAAAGCAAGTTTCTGAAAACATTTATAAACTTATTTAAAACCTATTAATCTTGAACGTAAAATTTAATAAAAATATTTCCTTGTATGAATGATGGTTGTTAACCTTAATAAAATTATGTTTTAGTTTAGTGAAGCTTTATGAAGTCGTAGTACGTGATAGTAAGTCTGACCAAAATTATAATAGCTCTCCAGCACCTAAAACATCAAGGTTGCGAAGATGGAACTACAGTGGAGTTTCTGAAAACAGGTGAAAAAGCGGTACTTGAAGTCCTTCAGAAGCTCTTTAATTCCCTCGTCCATGGCGGCACTACCTCAAAGGCCTGGAACAGAAGTGCGGTCGTATTGTTTTTCAAGTATGGCGAGAACGCTCAATTGAAAAGCTGTAGACCGATTTTCCATCAAGGGTCAGGACAAATCGAGACGATATGGCCCTTGATCTTTGACCCTTGAAAGCAGCAGTATTGACGACTTCCAACCACCCAAACAAGCCGGTTCCTGAAATAGCTTTGTTACTATAGACCGTATACACACAATTCGGCAAATTGTCTAGAAGAAAAGAGAGTACAATCTGTTACTTTTTGTTGCGTAAGAGGACTATGAGAAAGCCAACCAATCAATTACAGAAAGATGTAAGACAAGGTGACGTTATATCCCGAAACTCTACACCGTTTCTCACAGGCCGCCCAATAGATGGAGAGACAACCTAGTAAAAGATGCAGGAAATCGATGGATGCAGGTGGCTCAGGACCGTGATTTATGATTTGTGGATAATAATCGTGATAATTGTTAATATTAGTTGAAAAAAAACCAGAGGCAGCCATAACCACCTAGCACTGCGTAGAGATGTTGCATCTCTTTGCGTATTTTATCGCATCTATCACGGGGAGTGCTCTGAAGAATTGTGTTGAGGAGCCGCTCAATTTCACCATCGCACATCGCGACATAACTCTCGTTATTATCCATACCATCTGGATGATTGGCAGTCCACCACTGTGCGATTTAGAAGAAGTTTTCTCTCTCGCACAACTTCCTTGTGGAATCGATTACCACCAGCGATTTTTCCGGACCGATATGACTTAGGAACCTTCATGAAAAGAGCTTACTTTTTTCTAAAAGGTCACTTACTATCAGATGAGCCGCATGCTCGTTTGCCCCCTCTTCTATAAAAAAACCACGTAAGCCGACAGAAGTGAAGACTCAATTATATATGCGTATACATGTACACAGGCCGCTATACTAGCGACGCGTTGTGTAGTTGTATAGTGATGTAGAAAGAAATTTTCACTCCAATAAAAATAATTTTGGAATTTAATTCAAGATTCTATTCAATTTACTACATAAATGATTAAAGCATACAATACATATGTGTGATTTGAATACAAATTTCAAAAACATGTTGATACTTTTACAGAAAATATTTAACTCTAACTTGGTTGCAAGAGTGTTTATTTTGTTTCAAACTTTAAACTCGACAACTTAGTAGAAACTGTCTAGAAAAGTTCCCGTTGTCTTACATTGTTTCAGTATAAACAGTCGACCAGCTAAAAGCTTCCTAAAAATAACAACTTTTATCTTTCGCGTGAATCGATATCTAACTCGTTCAGAAGTTGTCTTTGTGTGCAAGCAAAATTTACTAACGTTTTTGGGTGGCAAAAATAAATTTTTAATATACGAGTATAATATTTCATAATTTCTAATCAATGACTTCATTTCATCATTTCATCATCATTGATTCACCAACGTAATTACTTTTCCCGTTACAGCCTATCAAAGTCCACTACTGAACCTAAGCCTGCCCCATAGATTGACTCATAGGATATTTGCCATAGTTTCCAGCAGGGGCGTAGCTACCGCCGTATCAGCCGTATCAATGATACGGGGCCCCCGGGCTACAGAGGCCCCGAACGTATGTAAGCAAACATTCTAAGTACTTTTATGGGACAGGATGTTGGTTTGATTTGTTTGGCTAGCTTAGTTCCTAGGAGTATTAATTGTAAGTAATAACTTATAATCAATTTATAATTATTTTAATTCAATGCGAGAGTTTTTGTTCCTTTTGTGGAAAATCTTTACCCCCTTCATTTGGGTCCCCCGACAAAGGCCCTTCTAAGGCACGCTACTCCACTGGTTTCCAGGTTTGGCTTGCGGGATAGCCACAGCAGTTTTTTATTATTTTTGTCTGTTATCAAAAGGATGTCACCTTTTAAGACATCCTCTTACCTATGTCTACCGTCAGTGCTTACAGTGCTGTGTACCAGTCTGAAGAGTACAGAGAACTAATACAATTTAAGCCCTCAGAGGTGACTAAGTAATATCTGTAGCCTTCTTTGTTTGAAGTTCACGTGGTAGAGCCATGCTGCAGCTATATTAATTGTATAGTTGTAACACGAATGGGTCGGCTCGGCTGGCGAAGAACCACGCTCTCGCAGAATACCAGCGTAAAATAGCAGCTTGATACTGCTGTGTAATGGTAAATGTAGAGAAGCGGTGACCCTTTTTACTGGAAAACAGGCATTCCACCTTAGTCCTCACGGCTGACAACGCATCTGCATTTTGATTCGCAAACAAGGATAGGTGTAGATGTCTATGGACCATAGCATCAGGTGGACAGTGTGTTCGCTTTTTACCCTTATCCTATAAAAAAAATTAATAAAATTTACACATTTACTTATAACAAACAAAGAAACGTACTAAACTAACTTATGTCTGAAGAGACCACCTCTGACAACTGCGACTGATCGAGATTTAATGACTCCCTGCAGGTTCAATTGTCCTACGACAACTTATAGACCGCTAGCACTTTACCCATTTATTCACATGAACTTTCGCAACCACCGGATACTTCACTTTTACTAGGCTCGGTATGTGTATACGTAGGTAGATATGTATAGGTTGATATGCGCAGGTAACACACGTAAATACAGAAATTCGCTATATTTATTTTTAACAGCGACAAAAAATAACCAGTTCATACGGACACTTGTTTAAAAGTACTCGTAGATGCAAGTAAACCTTTTTTAGTGACGGTTTTGTTATGCTGAAATCGTGCCTTGTTCATAAAATTTTACTACCAATTTGAGATCGTTTAAATATTTGAAACGGCTACTTTGCCATCTTTCTCTTTACGACACAGGCTCAAAATGTACGACCCCTAAACGTACAAGCGCTGAGCACAATTTTTGTTTCGCTCTTTTTAAAAAAGGGAAACGCTGAGCAGAAAACCCCTTCCTAAGCATTATGCTTTCAAAAATTAGAGCTAAGTGCTAAAAAGTAAAATCCCATAATTTTTAGAGTAAAAGAGTCACGAGACTTGTTACATTTCTTTAATGAGATATTTTAGACGGAATATTTTTTTTCTCTGCTCTTGTTTTCATTATGAACCCCCGACGAAAACATGTTGGTGAAAATTATAAGTGTGTAGTGTGTAACTGTGTATCTGTGTCTGTCTATGGCATTATAGCTCCTGAACGAATGAACCGATTTTCATTAAGTAGTCTTAATCGAGAGTGTTATTAGCTAGGTATATTTCAAAAAAATCGGTTCAACCATTTGATCGTCAGCTTTTTTTGGTTTAGGGTTTTTTTTAATTTTTATATTAAGTTATTTTGTTATTACTAGTTAAACATAGTTTTTTTTTTTTTTCTAAATTTTCCCAATAAAAATAATATTTAGCTATAATTTAAACAAATTATATATTTTTTAAACGTTACCCCCATACTAGGATTTTCTCCTGTATCGTGGAGACAGTTTACAAACATAAATTGCACGAGGACAAACATCCAGACCCGGAACAATTATTTGTAGGCCATAATCCGTGCGGGATTCGAACCCGCAGCCCCGGCGCAACAACTCATTGCTAAGCCACTGCGCCACACAGCCGTCATATATGCAATAATAAAACAAATATGCATACGTAATATTTATTGCCTGCTCGTATTTCATCATCATCATCATCATCATCACTCTAGCACATCTAAGTCCATTGCTGAACACAGGCATCCCCCATAGATTGCCTCATGGGGGACATCTGCCATAGTTGTTGACCTTGGGACGCAGTTTTTCATTACTTTAAGTTATTATCAGGTAGATGTTGATGAGATGTATAATTACCCTCTGTCGCCGCTTATGAGAACCCCGGGTCCATATGGGGTAGTGGAGTCTTACGCTGCACAGCGGCTATACTCGATGCTATTTGTTAGACATATGTAATTGGCTTTACAAGTGTTATGACGCTTCGGCCACCTTCGGCAAAAAAACCACCTTCGGTGACCCCTTCCTTGAAATTTCACAAACCGTCACCATCTCTAGATCGACTTCTAGAGATGATTAAATTACCTTTTTATAACATACAGTCAATATAAAACTTTAATTTAAAAAATATTTATGTTATTATTTTTAGCCAATATTAAACTTCTGAGTTTTTGAGCCTTCGGCTTCGTATTCGGCTTCAGCCAAAAATCAACCTTCGGTCGGACACTACATATCTTAGAACATATATGCAAGCTATGCTTAGGTATATTTATATTCTAAGCGTAATATTTTCTTTTTCATTCATAATATTCTTTCGTAATAATAATCATTTAAAATGATTTTATGTGTGCTTTGAATTTATGCCAAGACATCGAAAAAGACCTTGTTACAAATACCTCACCTACCTAAGTTTTTAATTCACTCAAAAATGAACAGCCGTTTTTACGAAGCCTGTACTTTGCTACAGTAGTTTAAGTTACATCCTTCTGACTTGTCATTCGTCTCTCTTTTTGATTCTGGCAAAACTCTATTTAAATTTTCCGAACTCCAATGAAGACGGCTCCGTGACGCAGTAACGTAGCATTGAGTTGCGACACTGAGAGCCACGGGTTCGAACCCCACACTGAACAAATATTTGTATGGCCTACAAAAATAATTGTTGCAGTTGTTCGTGGGCGACGGTAGTCACATACCATCAGGTGAGGCGTATGCCCGTTTGCCCCCTCTCCTATAAAAAAAATATTCCAGGTTTGGATGTTAGTCCTTTTGCTATTTATGTATATGTAAATTGCCTCCACTTAACCTAACACATACATTACGCAGCGATCCGCACTGTGGTCCCTTTTTAACCGACTTCAAAAAGGAAGAGATTCGCAATTCGAGTGAGATTTTTTTCTTTTTGTATTGTTACGCGATATCTTCGCAGATTTACCCGATTTTAATGATTCTTTTTTTTATTAAATATGCTTTACCTCAAGGATGGTCCCATTAAATTTAGGAGAAAAAATTCCGCCCTCAAGGGTGGAAAATATTTCATATTGGACTATTGTTTAAGGAATTTCATATGATATCTTCGCAGATTGAGAACGGATTTTTATAATTCTTTTTTTTAAAAATGGGTAATAACTTCAAAAGTGGTTCCATATAAATTTAGAGAAAAATTCCACCCCTAAGTATAGCAAATAAATAATTTATTTTTTAGCAATTTGAAGTCCATTTTTATTTTTTGTTAAAAGTTATAATTATATTGTGAGTACTTACGATCAATGAAATCGAACTTTATTGCAGGCCCTATGGGTAGCTAAACGTTTGGTGGCTTGGCTGCGGGCCGTGGATTCAAATCTCGCACGGAACAAGTGACAACATTATTTGTAGGCCATCAAATAATTTTTCCGGGTCTAGATGTTTGATCAAGTGCAATTTATGTATTAAAACGCCTCCTTAAAACAAGTTATGAGGGAACACACATAAAAACATATAGAATCGAATTACCTCCTCCTTTTTTAAGTCGGTTAAAAATGTAATCCGACTCAAGTTGCTCATCTGTTATTGGAGACAGAAAGGCATCAACAATGTAACCACGATGCGGATCCTTACAATGTTTAGGAAGTCATTTGTTAGGATTCGTTTTACCCTTAACCCTAGCCACAACGTACCTAATATATGATTGTGGCAACGCTTCTAAACGATCAATATCTGATACCTCCTTACTATATAGGGTTATTTTTCATTTTATTTCTCAAAACATCGAAAGTTTCGCTATTTCTCAGCCGAAAAGAAGTTATGAGTAAACAAAAAAAAAATTAAACTGCGCTTTACATTCCATGGCTTCCCACATGATAGATGAATAGTTTAAAAATAGATTGTGTTGAACAACTGATATTTGTAAAAGTTATCGTGTTTACGTCTCCATACGGGCTTGATAAATCTACACCTTATGCCACTAATACCGCTTTTTTATGTAAAAATAGCAAATGATCAATTTAAAAAAATAATGATTTCTTATATTTACGCGAACACTACACATTTAAATAAAACTAATTTTACGGATTTTATCGCGTATATTAACTTATTTTACATTCCCGACGTTTCAGTCCCCCCCCCCCCCCCCCCGTGACCATGGGTGCTGTAAAGTGCTTGAAACGTCGGGAATGTAAAATAAGTTAATATACGCGATAAAATCCGTAAAATTAGTTTTATTTAAAAAAAATAAGTTCAACAATCATTTATCTTTCTGACAATGTGCTTTTTATATCATTTATATTTTCAACTAGCTGTTCCCCGCGACTTCGTTCGCGTGTTAGGGTTTTTATGTTTTTGCGCGGAACCCTAATTCTTTTTCTAAAATAAAAGTAGCCTAAGTTACTCCTTATGAAATCAGCTATCTGCTAGTGAAAGTCCCGTCAAAATCGGTCCAGCCGTTTCGGAGATTACCCGGAATAAACAGACAGACAGACAGACAAAAATTTTAAAAATTGTATTTTAGTTATAGGTACCGTATTTACTTTCATATGCATTTAGTAAAAAACTGTAATTTTGACATTACAAACAGACACTTCAATTTTATTTATTTGTATAGATGTATAGATAAGATTGTTAGATACGATTTCATGCGACAAAACGTTGTAATCTTGATTTTTATTTAGTAGAACCTACCTACGCGCTTTGCACTTAAGGCCGATTACCGATTAAAATAGTAGAACTCTTTTTACTATTGTTACTCTTGGTATTAAATACTCAATTATTGTTAAGGCATGCAATAACGATATACCGTTATTGCAGTTTTTGAAAATATGGGCAAATAAGGCTTCTATTTTTGTTTGGAATTATCCCAAATTGAATGTGATTTGTGGCAACAACTGCGCGTACGCGCGCTCCTCTGTGTGCAATTTAATTCACAACGTTTTTGCATACTGATCGACCCTTACGAATGTGTGCGTGCGTAGAAAAATGGATATTTATGAATGACAATCAGTTAAAATAATGCATTACCACGCATTTTGAATTTAAAAAATAAAAGTGACAGAAATTTTGAGATTTTTTTAATTATTTTTTCTTCACCATTTGCCTATATTACTTATTCTAAACTTTCTCTGCAAATTTGGCCGGTTATTACAAAATAAACATGTATAATAAATAGTACGATCATGATATTGCGTCACGTAGTGGCGGTGTAAGAAAATGAATCAATAATCTTCACCCGATTTCGCTTCGTGAGTATCGTGAGATAGATGCGGTGCAACCACAGAACACAATTACTCTCTACCAAGAGGGTGCAACTATTACATATTTAACATAAATTATCATAATTGACGACAGAAAACAGTGACAAAAGTTAGAGAAGTCTATTGCACTGCTATTGAAAATATAACCACCAAGCTGATAAAATAAAAGAAGGTAAAGCATCTGTGCTTTACCTTTACATATTTTCAATACCAGGTTAAATGAATGAAGAATCCTTATGGATTCGTTGTTTTAAACGTGAATGTCAATGTGGTATTTCTTACACAAAGCATATAAGCAGCTTGACGGTATATTAAAAAGTTAAAAGACAAAGTTACAGCCTATATACAAACCACAATGGGCCACAGGCCTCCGTTCATTTTCGAAAGCATTATATGCATTAGTTTAGTCCATAAGAACGCCGCGTTGCTCCAGTTTGTGAGGGCAGACTTCCCAATATGTCATACCTCAGACGTGCAGGTTTCCCCGTAATGATTTCCTTGATTACCAAGCACGTGACAAATATCCTCCTTATGGTATATCCTCTGAGGGAGGAGTATGTTCTGCAGTGGGCTTTTGATAGGTTGTAACGATAACGGTATATAACTTCTGACCAGCAAAAAAAAATTAAACGCAGCGTGTCCTACATTTCAAATGACTCAGAAACCATGCCCAACTTCGTTCGTAACATTCATTCGCGCACACATCTTCTTTCTTTCTTTAACAGGCCGTCCATTGCTAGACGCACAAATATACGTATGAACCTTATACCACGTTATTAGTTGCAAATGGTTTTATATGCATATGTGTGCGTTTACGCATGTTCTTATAATAATTAACATGGTTTGGCTTGATTTCGACGTCTTTTGCTATGTCTTTGTTAATCTGAAACTGTGAAACTTACTGTGTTACTTTATCAGTAATAAGTAGTAAGTAAAGAAAATAAACCTTCTTGTCATATCCTGCAGGGCGACCGACGCTGATGTGGGGGCAAACGCGGCAATCCGCTACGCGATCATCGGCGGCAACACACAGATGCAGTTCTCGATCGACAGTCTGAGCGGCGACGTGGCATTAGTTAAGGCGCTAGACTACGAACAAGTTCGCAGCTACCGTCTCGTCATCAGAGCTCAAGGTTTGAAAAACTAAACTTTGCTATTGCATAAATAACTTTTCATCATATTTCAAAAGCATTATTTTTTTAGTCCTTATACATATGGTAGAAAATGTGGGGTATATATACGTGTTCGGCACAATTGATGCTAGGTCCACGTAGTCAAGACGTACCCGGCTCCTTCGGTGCAGGTCCAGACTTCAAACAAAGTCCAAACCAATATTTACAAAAGCGCAAACATTTTGGCTTATTTACCACATTCTTGTGGTTCTCCCCACATCTCCAACACAGCATCTAAATACATTATCATAAAATAAATATCTTATGTGTTGTTGACAGCTTCCAAAATAATTCAGATGTCAATACCATGGTCTAAATCAGTCAACCCCTATCAAATTCGAACCCAGAACATTTTAATTTCGCAGCTCAAAGACTCTTGACTATAAACTACTGTCGCTTAAATTTTTTCCTTTCTTTTCATTATATCAAGACTAACTTATATTTGTCTTTTAATAAATGTATTTAATATTTTTACGTGGTAGAGCCATGCTGCAGTTATATTATGATTGTAGCACGAATGGGTCGGATCGACATGGATGGGCCTACGCTCTCACAGAAAATACTACAGTTTCGTATGGTGTGTGTAGAGAACCGGAGACCCTTTTTACTGGAAACGAGGCACTCCATCTTAGTCCTCAGGGGTGACAACGAATCTGCATTTTGATTCTTAATCGAGGATAAATGTAGATGTCTATGGGCCACAGCATCCACTTACCATCAAGTGGACTGTGTGCTCGTTTGTCACCCTTAATCTATCAAAGAAAATATTGTGGATTTATTGTTATGGTGTATTTATAAAGCATTCCCATGTGGTTTGGCTGAATAAATATATAATAGGAAATGATAAATATACATAAATATATATTAAATATAATAACATAAATAAATAATACATAAATAGATAAAAGCCCAACCAGATGAAAGACCTCGACAGGGGAGACCAAACGGCCGAGGGTTAGGGGGAATGGGAAAGAAACCGGCGGACGATACGGGCGGTATCGAGGAGCACCGCCTTTTGCATTAAAGTCTGTAGCGGTCCGTCACAGAGCCTCAATCACCTCAGATGGCCCGAGAGGCTGACCGGGATTAGGCCGTTCGCAGAGACGACTACAAAATTAATTTTGATCGGCAGACCACCCCCACATGTCGGTCACCTCGTAAACGAGGTCCAGATATTTTGTTTTCTTATCTGTTTTGGCTTTCACGAGGTTCTCGTCATACGGAATGGTAATGTCGACCAAAAATGTCCTTGACTGTGCCCGGTCCATCAGCACAATATCAGGCTTATTCGCAAGAATAGAATCCTGTCTGTGATGATGGCCCGGTCCCAGTAGAGCCTGGCGCGGTCATTTTCGAGCACGGCTTCCTGCAAGTACTTATAATAAGGCAGTTTCCGAACCACGAGACCGTATTTCAGAGCGAGCTCCTGGTGTAGAATCCTGGCTACTAGATTGTGTCTGTGCAAGTACTCAGAGTTAGAAAGCGCCGAACAACCTGATATGACATGTCTTAGTGACTCACCGGGATGGCGACAAGCTCGACAGATGTCGATGGCGCCATCCTTTAGGATGTATCCTGTATCGCACAGACAAAACTCTCGGTTTCCCCAAAGAGGTCACCGAAACGTAGCCAGTGGAGGGAGGCGTCTTCGAAAGGCTGTTGTAGAACCTCCCATGGAGCTCCTTCTCCTTCCATACGGTCTCACTGATGCGCTGCAAAAGCGTGGCAGCCCTAACAATATCCTGAATCCATTATTGTATTGAATACGTAGCGGATTGAGAGTTCGGCGAGTACACTTTGTCCACAGACTACAAGTGTAGAATGTCTGACAGTAAACTTTGAATAATGTTATCTTAACTTCATTTGTATACCTTGTAAACCTTCGGGCAAACATATTACACCTCACTACCAACGCTCTACGTTCCCATTCAACATCATAATCGTCAGAGAGATCCTCGACGACCCAGTGTCCCAGATATCTGAATTTGGTGACTCTATTCAGTGCAACTCCTTCAAGTCTAACATTAGGAACAGACTTAGATTTTTTTTTTATTTTCACACTTAAAAACGAGTAGTTTTCCCTTTTTAGAATTATATCTGAGACCATGAGCCGTACCTTTCATAGATGCCCACTAACGTATTGAGGGCCCTGATCGATGGGCTCAGCAAAACCATGTCGTCGGCATAGCTTATATTATTAACAAAATGACCGTCGATTGAGCAGCCGACTCCGATATCACTGAGCTCAACGATCAGACCGTTGACGTAAAGGTTGAAGAGTTGAAGGGAGTTAAGGCCGCCCTGCCTCACCCCGCACTCCAGCCTGTACTCCGACGAATATGAGCCAGCCCACTTCACCCAGTTGGTTTGGTTGTGATACCAATATTTGAAAAGGTTAATCACTTCCTTGGGTGTGCTTGTTTCCCGGCTAAGCTTATCCCATAAAACGTTTTACGAAACCAGGTCAAAAGCCTTTGACAAGTCCAAAAAACACGCATTAACCGGCGTTTTTCGCGTAGTGTAATACTGGACAGTATGCTTGAGTCGCAGTATGGCAGTTTCAGATGAAAGCCCCGGCCTGAAATCAAACTGAGTTTCATGTAGGTGAATGTGTTGGCTGAGTTGGTGGTCAAGCAAACCGTCCAGCACATTTGCAATTACAGTAGCCAAAGATATTGGGTGATAATTGGACTCAACGAAGGCATCACTAGTCTAATTTTTTAATATTGGTACAACTATGGTTTTTATAAGCTCTAGAGAGCTTAAGCTTAAGTACGTATAACCTAGACATAGGTTAAACAACAGAGTTAACACCCTCGGCAAATGCACACCCGGATTCTGCAAGTGTTCAATGCTGAAGTCATCGTGACCAGGGGACTTATCCCTAGTCATCCCATTTATTACACTAACTATATTCTCAGTTTTAATCTTAATATTTTCTTTAATGTTTTCTACTTAATTCTTGTTAAACATTGAGCACTTGCTGCGTTGAAACAATTGAAGACTTAACCTTAAAAATATCTTTAAATAATTCAGCTATCTTATCTGGCTCATGTTGCTGGACGCTAGCTGGGACACATAACTCAATATTAAACTTTTTTGTGTGTTTCCAGAATGCGCTGAAGTTATTCGACTTATGATGTTTGAGCAAAATGGCCTGGATAATTGTACTGACGATTTATGACGTTTGTGATTAATTATTGCAGATGGGGGTAGTCCGTCTCGTTCTAACACCACACAACTGTTGGTAAACGTAAAGGACGTCAACGACAACGCGCCAAGATTCTATACTTCATTATTTCAAGAATCCGTCAGCGAAAGCGTGCCCGTTGGCTATAGCATCGTCAGGGTGAGTACTGATGAGTAATGATGTACTATATAGACACTTTTACTAAAATTTTTAACAATACATACTTTATTTAAATACAAATCAAACGGACTGTATTGTCATTTTATATTGTTTACCTAATTGATAAGAGACCAAAGTGTTGAATCAAAGAAAATTGCAGGTAAATAAGTATTTTAATAAAGCTAAACATATAAATATTTGTAATAAAAATTAAAACCTTTATGATGATAAGTTAATTTTTAGAGGTTTCATTGGTATTTTTAACTGCAAAATACTTTTCATTATTTTAAAATTATTTTCCTTTTTTAATTGTAAAATAATTTTATAAAATATAAATATATATGTAATAAATATACAAAATAATTGAAATATGATTTTATACAATTCTTTTAATTATCTCTTTGATAATTGTATACTCGTATTATGGGAATTACTCAAAATTTGTATAAGTTTTTAAGTTAGTTGCTTGAGTAAAGATAATATAGTAGAGTAAACATTAATTATGTAATGACTTTCTCTATTAGGTACAAGCCTACGACGCTGACGAAGGCGTCAACGCTGAACTTACCTACACTTTATCGGACAAAGAGTATAACGGAAATAACGACTTACCAATCACCATAGACCCTCGCTCTGGATGGGTGTACACGTCAGGACAACTCGATAGAGAAGTGCAAGCAAAATATCAACTACAGGTAAATATGTTTGGACAGAATAATACAAATAATTAAAAGTTAAAAATTTTGTAAAACCGATTTCAATATAAATTATTAAGAATAACTCAAAAACTATTGGTCAGACCTTGATCAACCTTGATTTATAAGGGACCACGTGAGAAGCACCAGCTTTCAAATAAAAAGAATCATCGAATTCGGTTCACCTAGAAAAAAGTTATGAGGTAACACTTCATAAAAACATACAATCGAATTAAGTACCACCTCCTTTTTGAAGTCGGTAGAAAAAGAATTATTATTGGCTCAAAACTGCCCTTTGTCGCATAGCGATGATGAGTTTTAAACCAAAACATTGTTGGTTTTCCAACAACTTGACCATGAGACCCAAAAATACCCAATTGTATCCAGGTAACGGCTACAGACAGTGGTGTACCTCCCCGCTCGGCGACAGCCTCTGTGGCAGTGGTGGTGCAAGATGTGAACGACAATGACCCGGTGTTCTCGCCGCCGCAGTACGAAGTAGAATTAGCTGAAGATGAACCGCCTGGCACGCCAGTCGTCACCGTCACCGCTACCGACGCTGATGAGGATAACAGGTGATGAATTTTGATTTGCTACCACGGTTACAACTTCGTTATTGCTCTCCTTATAACTTACTTATTAGAGATATTTTACATGTAATAAAACCATATTGGACGTATAATGCAGCGCGAACATTTTGGGTTGACCGGGAAAGTACCACACTCCCATAGGACCAGCGTAAAATAGAAGCACAATGTTGCTATGTTGCGTATGATCTATATATCTATTTTTTTTTATATATATATTAATGGTAACCAGGCATTCCAACTGAGTACTCTACTCAGGGTAACAACGCCTTTGCATTATGATTTTAATTGAGGATGGTAAGTGTCTATGGGCCGTAGCTTTCACTTACCATCAGGTAGTGTGCTTGTTTGCCACCCTTAATTAAAAAAATATTATAGTACAATAATATTTTTTATATAACTGGCTTTACGGCTCTGGGTTCTAGCCCTTCTGAGCCTGAAGTTACAATGTATAATTATCCTTCATAGTATACTGCTTCCCTTGCCCTTGCCCTTGAGCCTGAGCCCTTGGGAGATTTTGACAGCAACTTGAGCCAGCAGACAGCTGACAGTTGGCAATGGTATCTCAAGGTGCTTAAGCGTACCACCTTATCTTGAGAATCACATCATCATCAGAGCACTTGTTTCACCGTTTCCACTAATAGTTGATATGCGCAGACACTTAATACACAAAATCGCACCACTTTTACATATCAAAATCCACTTCAAGCCATTATTTAAACAATAATACAGGAGCAGCAAACCGCCGCTGGTCAAGTTCCTGCCAAAACTCCTATAGTGCAATAAGTGTATGCGAAACACAGAAGCACAAACTTTTATTGTGTGATACTACCATTTTTGATAAATCAAAAGCTTGGCTCTCAGTACAGTGAAGAAATCAATTTCGTTTTATAATTTTTATTTTATTTTATATTTTCCGTGTTAAGAAACGAATATCTTTATCGATATTAAATAGTTATCTTTTTATCCTTATAGGTTACATTACGAAATCACGGGTGGCAACACACGTGGCCGGTTTTCCATCACGTCGCAGAATGGCCGAGGGCTGATTACTGTAGCGCAACCGTTAGACTTCAAGCAAGAGCGCCGCTACGTTCTTACCGTGACGGCTACCGATCCTGGTGGAAGATCTGACGCAGCCATGGTCCATATCAACATAACCGATGCCAATAATTACGCGCCGGTATTTGAAAATGCACCTTACACTGCATCGGTGAGCATTTATTTAATTAGCTTATCACATTCATATTAGATGTTTTAATAATAAATACTCTTGAAGCTTATACTCGTAAACTCGAAAATCTAATTTTATTACATTTTGTTTTTACGAAACCGGACTCACTCTGTCTCATTATCTGCATTTGGGTAAAAGGACTCATCTTTGTCAAGTAATGTATTGTTTATGCACTAATGATCATACTACAAATAAACTATATAATGATTCTACTAAAAATAAAAAACTGCGGTACCCAACCCGCTTGCCAAGCGTAGGAACTATGACAAATATACCCAATGAGGCAATCTACGGAGGAGGCCTATGTTCAGCAGTGGACTTTAATAGGCTATAATGGTAAAGATAACTATTCTTAATCGCTTCGCAGTCGGGCCGACAACTGCAGCTTCTAATTATTTAGAATCTTTATCATGAAGAAGCTGCTACCTATCTCCTGTTCCATTTCCCTCTATCGCCTCTTACGACACCCACGGTATGATATTATGGACTCCATAATATGGAGTAATAGATTTTCTGACGCCGCCATTACACGACGACAAGGCATATTATTACAAATTTTTATTTTACTATGGGAAGTCTTGATCAGTAGAGGACTTTTGATTGGCTACAGCTAATTACAATTAGAAATAAACAAACATGTGTGAGTGTCGTGGAACACGTAGCCTAAGTTACTCCTTGTGACATCAGCTATCTGCCAGTGAAAATCCCGTCAAAATCGGTCCAGCCGTTTCGAAGATTTGCCGGAACAAATAGACAGACAGACGGACAGACAGACAGACAGACAGACAGACAAAAACTTTAAAATTTGTATTTTTGTTATTAGTACCGTATATACTTTCATATGCATTTAATAAAAAGCTGTAATTTTGACATTACTAACAGACACTTCAATTTTATTTATTTGTATTGATTATTGATAAACGTATTATATTACTGATTAACAAATATAAATAAATTAATTATTAGCGTCTATTAAAATGAAGCGTCATTTAAAATAAAATACACTATGACGCAAGGGGTAGTGACGAAAAAATCTTACACTTTTTGTCGCCTAGCTCCCATTCGTCAAACCCGTACAGTCCGATAAGGAACTTCGTTCCAAAAAAACATTTTATATTGGTAATTCTAACACTCATAAATTAACGAAAATGGCTTTTCCTCAGGTATTTGAAGACGCACCAGTAGGGACAACGGTACTTGTAGTTTCAGCTACCGACAGCGACGTGGGTGTTAATGCACAAATAACCTACAGCCTCAGTTCCGAGATCTCTAACGAAGCCGTCGCTCACCATGACCATGAGTTTCTCATCAACCCGCACACTGGTGCCATCACTACCAACAAGCTGCTAGACAGAGAAACTATGAGTGGTAAGTTTGAATAAGGATAAATACTATAAAATTAAAAATTTTGTACAACTGACTTCAATATAAATTATTAAGAATAACTCAAAAACTATTGGTCAGACCTTAATTATATGGGACCACATGTGAAGCACCAGCTTTCAAATAAAAAAAGAATCATCGAAATCGGTTCTCCCAGTAAAAAGTTAAGAGGTAACACACATAAATAAACATACGGTCGAATTGAGTACCGTCTCCTTTTTGAAGTCGGTAGAAAAGCCGACCAAGTGCAAATCGGACTCGCGCATGAAGGATTCTGTACCATCGTAAAACACGTTTCTAGTAGGGGAGTCCCCTTTAACTTTTAATTTATTTTAATTTTGATTATTTGTTGTTATAGCGGCAACAGAAATACACATTCTGTGAAAATTTAACTGTCTATCTATTAAGGATAATGAGATTTAGCCCGCTGACAGACAGACGGACGGACGGACGGACGGATGGACAGCGGAGGCTTAGTGATAGAGTCCCATTGGCTACCCTTTGGGTACAAAACACTGAAAAAGAGTGGTGTACACAAGTTTCATGTCGCTGACACGACATCCTCGCTATCATTTGACCTTGTATATTCATTACTCGTCAATTAATGGCTAAAAACTTATTGCACAATGAAGATAGCGTGTCTTTGTGAATGCGTGAACAGAACCGTATAATAATAATTTATACAGAGGTAATTTTAATATGAATTTTCACTTTCAGGATACCTGTTAACGGTCACAGCTCGTGACGGAGGTGTTCCGTCCCTTTCCGACACAACCGACGTTGAAATATCTGTTGTAGATGTAAACGATAACCCGCCTGTATTTAGACAGCAACTATACACTTCCAGCATTATGGAGGATGCTTTAGTCGGTAAGATTATATTAAGTTATAGAATTATATTTTATTATAAACGAATTTTGTTTAATTGTTGCTGCCGTCGATATAAGAGTTTTAGTCACTCCCACTGTCGTAAGAAGAGACTATAGGAGTTAAAAAAACGACGGCTGCCAATAAATTTTATACGTGGTAGAGTCATGCTGCAGCTATATTAGTAGTATAGTTGTAGCACGAATGGGTCGGCTCGACCGGTGAAGGACCACGCTCTCACAGTATACCAGCGTAAAATGGCAGCTTGACACTACTGTGTTTCGTATGGTGAGTGTAGAGAACCGGAGACCCATTTAACTGGAAAAGAGGCGTTCCGTCTTAGTCCTCACGGATGAAAACGCATCTGCATTTTTATTGTTTATTGAGGATAGATGTAGATGTCTATGGGTCACAACAACCACTTACCATCAAGTGGAACTGTGTGCCCCTTTCTCACCCATTCCTATAAAAAATTGCTATATGACCATCTCGTTAATGCCAGATGTGAAATATCCACAACTATAGAGGGAAGCATCATCATAGGTGCAGAATGTCTGGTACTAGGTCGAGTAAAGAGCCTGTAAAGCACAGCGATTAAGGAAAATCATCCCAGCAGCCTGATAAGAAAAAATAAATATTTTACATATATAAACACAATACTAATACACGATTTAAATATATAATGATATAAAGAATTGTTACATACTGCATCTCTTGCCAATTTTTTAGAATCCTCTTGTGTAAAATATTTTTCAATGAACCACACTTTATAACGTACTTTTCTTCCCTTAGTTTTCAGGTTTCGCATTTTTTTCTAGATTTAAGTTGCATTATTTAAAAAAAATTACGTTGGTCTCAACTCCTATAACTTACACGATATTGAAGCTAGTTTAAAATTTCTGTATCTAATAATAATATGATATGAATGTTCAGCAAAAAAACGTTAAAATAAATTAAAAACTTTAGCGAATAAATACGTTTACATAAGTGTATATATTTATGAATTAAACACAATGAGCGCATTCTCTATCAATCGACCCTGGACGAGGGGGCAAAGTGAGATTATCAGTATAAAAATAAAATTACGCTAAAAATTATATTGACTACACACACATACAACGGTCAGAGTGTCTCTTGTGTGATGAGGTGACGACTGATGAGCGATGATCCATACAATAACAACCGTACTAAATCATTCCGCAGGCACATCAGTGACGCAAGTGAGCGCAACAGATGCAGATGTGGGGCTGAACGGACGCGTGCACTACGAGCTGGAGCCGCGCGACCGCGAGGAGGGCTCCTTCGTCATCGACCCCGCGTCCGGTGTGCTGCGCACCAACAAGGCGCTGGACCGCGAGTCCGTTGCCACCTACGACCTCAAGGCCATCGCGATAGACGGAGGCACACCACCCCAGAGTTCCACTGTATGTATATTTCAAATCTCTTGTTTTTCCTTATCAGCACGTAAAAGTCACTTGTAAGACATGAGTGTTAATAGTTGTAAAGAGAACTGGCCTTAACTACCACGCTTGTTAAACAGGCAATCGCATACTCAGACTTATCTTCGCCCCCAGTCACCAATGTGGATATTAACGTATGGTGTGAACGAGTTGATTATATCGCTTTCTGTTTATCTAGTTGATTATATAGTTTTCCGATAATCTCCTCTTACGACACCCAAGTGACAAAATGGGGTGATGAATTCGCTTACGCTGCGAACAATGGAGACACGGACTAATTTATACATGGTAGAGTCAGACTGGTGCTGTATTATGTCTGCAGCAGGAATGAGTCGGCTCGACCAATGCTGCTTTGTTTCGCGTAGTAAGCAACGAGACCCTTTTTGCGGATAATAAGACATTCCATTTTAGTTCTTAGAGGTAGCAACGCATCTGTTTGATCGATGATGTATTAGCCATATCATCCACTTATCATCAGATAGACTATATTATGTTCGTTTATCATCCTTGCTTATATATTACGTACATATGAGAAATGAAAGAACCATCCTACTCCTCCATGCCCATTGTCATACACTGTTCCACATATGCCCTTGTTAAAATGCGCTCAAATATGTTTCAATGCTCACCACGTGGGTCACTAATCCATATCGTCTAGTAGGTGTCGCTACAGAGTAAATCGAACGAGGAGATAGACAGCAGCGTCTATCTAATAACAACTATAAAATAAAAAACTTCGCTTACCAACCCGTCTACTACCTATTTGCCATAGTTGCCACCGTCTGCGTGGCAACTATGGCATGTATCCACCCTATAAGGTAATCTATGGAGAGGTTCCTCTTACGGTAACCACGCTAGGTAGATGAAATAGTGATTGCAGTGCCGATATATTCACACTGGAAATACTCTTAATGACCAAACTAGAAAAATTTTATTCCGTATATTTGGATAGATTTAATCCATAGTAAGCTGATCGTTAGTTACCATGGTAGACCTTGTGCAGGTGAGACTGGCATTTGGATAAAAAGTATATATTACACCTCTACCGCCCTACACACATGAGTTATGTTGGTCTAATGTAAACGAACACTGTACTTTCTAAGTCGAGTTAACTTATTCCCATAGTACAGAAGTACTACCAAAATCTACTACTGAGGAAAGGCACCATATACTAGTATTACGAACACTATGAGATGGGCTCTACATTGCGTATAAGTTACGGTCCATTCTCCGAAACTCCTTTAGTCGATTGCGAGCGGGCGAGAAGACTAGTTCTTTGTTTTGGTACAAGCGTTTTTTTTTTTTTGACAATAACATTAATTTTGTTTAATGTGACTAAGAAAACGATATTCTTATTTATGTGCGCACTTCGTCAACTAGATATTTAAGTTTATTTCAAATGAAAATGTGACTTTATTTCGTATTTGCCTAAAAGCAAGTAACTGGACCATAAATGCAAATACAACTGCGTGGCATATTTACCGTGCCAGTACCCGTTAGCACCGGCGCCCGCGCGAGTGAGTTGCCAGTATAGTAGTATATATATTTCTATACATAGAAGCCTTTGGGTGACCACAATATCTTTATAACATTTCCCATATTCGCCTCGTGCGCCACCCATGGCACGATAAGTTGATGCATTTCCTCATACCACCGTAATAGGTAATGTATTTCTATGTAAGCTATACCACTAATAACATTTGTTCCCAGGTAATAGTCCACATAAAAGTCGAAGACATAAACGATTCACCGCCAGTATTCGAAAGCGACTGCCTTACATTTTACATACCAGAGAACAGTCCAATTGGGACTACAGTGGGAGAAATTCGAGCACATGATCCAGATGAAGGACCAAACGCCGTCATTCATTATTCTATTAAAGGTACTATACTTTTCGTCATACAAAGAATTTCAATTCAAAATACGAGTTATTTTTTATTATTGTTTCCAAAAATATGTTATTTAAATTATTTTAATGCAATAAAATCACTTCTCTACAATCATGCACTAGACATACAATTATGTTCTAATTACTCTGTAGATGCTTTAGGTTTTACACTTTATTTTTTCTATTACAATCACGTAACAAAAGTTCTTTTTTCAATCAATCATTTATTAACATCACTATTTTTCTTGTTTTTTATTATTTTCATGCAAATTTTATTATGATTAATTTGTTTAATAGCACAAAACCACCGGAACTATATGGACTGTAAGTTCATTTTCAAATGTTTTTTGTAGTAGAAGGGCTTCATTATTAATCAAATAATTCCTACAAATCAATTTTTAATCAATTTCACTTTGTTTAGGTGGAGATGATTCCAACAGCTTTTCACTAGAGACACGACAAGGCTCCGATAAAGCAGAACTAGTCACAATGGTGGATTTGGACTACGAAAGCCCTCGTAAGAAATACGAATTAGTTATAAGGGCCGCCAGTCCTCCACTATGGAACGATGTTAGAGTTGAAATATTAGTGACCGATGTAAATGACAATGCGCCTATGATGAAAGATTTTCAAATTATTTTCAATAACTTTAAAGATTGTTTTCCCGTGGGCCCGTTCGGTAGAGTTCCAGCATACGATGCAGATGTCTCTGATAAGGTAAACAAAATTTTAGGTTTTTTAAACATCTATAATATAAAAATGAATCGCTGAACGTGTTGCTGAGCGCAAATCTCGAGAGCAGCTGAACCGATTTCGCTAATTCTTTTTTTATAATATTCCTAGAAGTACGAAGATGGTTCTTACGGAGAGAAAAATTTTAAAAAATACCTGAAAAAGTCTAAAAACAACACTTTTCTATATTTCCATACAAAACATTCTTAATAATACTTAAAAGTCAATTTGAACTTTAATACCATACCATAAAGTTTAAGTGTTAGTGGAGGGGTTCCGGGAAGGCAAAACAATTGAGTGACGTTAGTATCGTATAAATATTAATGTCAATATTTGTCAATATTTATACACACTGGCAGATAGCTGATGTTATAAGGAGTAACTTGGGCTGCTTTTATTTTAGAGTTCCGCGAAAAATAACTCCACGCGGGCGAAGTCGCGGGGAACAGCTAGTCTAAAAATATATTTTTAAATTCTCAAACGGCTTACATTATTTTCGTCATCTCTTCACCTCCCCGTAAAAACATACTACTAGATATGGGTCTCTGTCTGGGTGAGCAGCTTTTGCGTTATTCATGCTTGTCAGACCGATTGACGCTCGCAGTAACAGACGTCTCGCACCTTTAACGCTGCTTCCCGTCGCCTGTCTGGGTATTGACGTCTGATATAAGCACGGTGCTTATACCGCTGTATATCGGAAGCCATAAGGTTTTTAAGTTAATCGCCTACAAGATGATATTGAGTAGTGAACTCTCTTACGCCGCAACAAAACGTTAATGTTATTTAATTTTATACGTTGTGGAGCCATGCATCAGCTATATTGTGGTTGTAGCACAAATGGGTCGGCTCGAACTGGGGTAGAACTACGCTCCCACAGATCACCAGCGTAAAATAGCACCTTAATGCTGCTGTGTGAGTGTGGAGAACCGGAGACCCTTTTTACTGGAAACAAGGCATTTCATCTTAGTCCTCACGGGTGACGACGCATCTGCATTTTGATTCTTAATCTATATCTATATATATACAAATAAATAAAATTAAAGTGTTCTTTCTTCTTTTTGTTACGTTAAAATAACAGGTTTTTACAAAATGCATATTAAAGTATATACGATACTAATAACAAAAAACAATTTTTAAATTTTTGTCTGTCTGTCTGTTTGTTCCGGCTAATCTCCGAAATGGCTAGACCGATATTGGTGAGAATTACACTGGCAGATAGCTGATGTTATAAGGATTCACTTAGGATATTTTTATTTTAGAAAAATAATTAGAGTTCAGCGCAAAAAAATTAAAACTAGTTGAGGATTAATGGAGATGTCTATGGACCACAGCATCCACTTACCATCAGGTGGACTTTGTGCTCGTTTGTCACACTTATTCTATTAAAAAATACATTATTATTATTAATCAATAAATATACATTATGAAATTCAATTTTGATTATAAATAAAAATTTATCGTACCTCTTCAAATCAACGTAGGTGATCCTTACCTTAAACAATTACGCTCCTACTCAAAAATTGACATCAATTTATTTAGTATAGCAATAAGTAATATTTAATTTAAATTAGCGATAGTCAACGATTATAAGTAAGGTGATAAGAGAATGTTGTAAATATAGTGGAATGAAGAGAAATATCAATTTCGTGTTACCTTTTCAGCTCCACTACCGCATTTTATCTGGCAACAATGCAAATTTAGTTCTTTTAAACGAAACGACCGGCGCCATGACACTTTCACCGCAACTGAACACCAACGTACCAAAACTAGCCACCATGGAAATATCCGTTACAGGTGAATATTTTATCAACAAATGCCACGATTTTAGTTTTAAACAACGTAAGAGCGACAAAAAAGAGAAGACATAATTAATAGAATCAGGCGTTACTTTGCGGAAATCCATTATATAAAAGCTTTTACAAAAATTTACTTCGCAAATATCCGCGTTATATAATAAAATGATGTGTCTTACCTAGTATGAAGAAGCACCTCCCGCCCTCCCTCAATTGCGTGCACTAACCCCGTCACCACTAATCCCAGCACCGCTACTTCCAACACCACTACACTAGGCAAGACACACCACTGACGATAATACGACACGTGTTTCGCCTCTACACGAGGCATCCTCAGGTGATATAGACTCTACGGTGGCTAACCGCTAAGTGAGCGGCGAGCCAAAACAAGTGCCTTTTATACAAACCGATGATGCAACCGCTCTCTACCTAACGAGCGAGCGATTGCGTCATGCGATAAAACATGCGACCAATCACCGCTGGACTTACGCAGCCGTTTGTAAAATTAAAAACAAACCGCCGCGCAACGCCCACATTACTTCATTAACTAAATTAACGCTCACTAATAATGTGGGCGTTGCGCGGCACATCATTTTATTATATAACGCGGATATTTGCGAAGTAAATTTTTGTAAAAGCTTTTATAAAGAGAAGACAGTCGATTTGAAGTAATAGTACACAAATAGTATTTTTTACGCGGTAGAGACACGGTGAAATATTTCAGCTGCAACAAGAATGGGTTGGCTCGACCGTGGTAGGACCACGCCCTCACCGAATACCAGCATAAAACAACAGAATAACGCTGTGTTTTGTATGGTGCTTGTAAAAAACTGGAGACCTTTTTACTGGTGAAAAAGCATTCCCTCTTATCTTCAGAGATGACAACGCATCTGCATTTTAATTCTTAAGCGAGGATAGACGTGCATTTGTATGAGCCGCAGCATCCGTTTATCATCGGATAGACTCTGTGCTCATATGTCACAGTTATTTTATATTATTTCTATATAAAAAAAATTGCTGTTCGTTAGCTCCCTTAAACTCAAAAACGGCTACACCTATTTTAATTAATTGATTTGTGTGTATTTGAATGGATCCCTAGATCGTTTTATTCTATATATAAAAAAGAACTTTATAATTTTTTTTTTTATTAAAAGCAACAAAAACCAAAATTCTAAAACACAATTAACAAAACCAAATTTAACAGATGGCGTTAATGAAATCAAAGCAATGATGCAACTGTCGGTGCGACTGATAACCGAAGAAATGTTGTTCAATTCAATAACTGTGAGACTGAATGATATGACTGCCGAACAGTTCCTGTCGCCATTGTTAGGTTTCTTCATAGATGGTCTGGCTGCTATCATTCCGTGCCCTAAGGAAAATATTTACGTGTTCAGCGTTCAGGTAAGTTACAATTAAAAAAATTTAATTAAAATTAATAGAAAATTAACATTGATTATTCATTCCAATGCTGGGCACAGTTTTAATTTTGAAGGTATGGACAAGAATCATTCTGCACCCCTGCATAGTGTTGGCAAACGTAGGTACCTACTAGGCATGTCCTTATGTTAGAAAATATTTCAATTTACATGTATGAATGATACACTAGTGGCGGCGCTGTCGTCGCGCCACAAGCGAAACACATCGACATCTAAAATCGGCGGGAGATCTAGCCTCGGCGGGAGATCTCCCCTTTTCCTTCAAGGTGTTCAGCCCGGAGAGATGCCAACGCTCCAAGTGGTAGTTTCCTTCTGAACTTTGATAGCGCGATTTTAAGTTTTCAACGTGTTTCGCTTGTGGCACACACACTTTATTGTAATTGTAATTGTAGACTATTTCAATGGTGCTGGCCAGAATCACACACAGCACTTACTATGAAATTTAATGCAGCACCCCGCCCTTGAGTCTTCATATTACATCATATTAAGTCAATGCAACATTTAATCTACACAAATAAATAAAACTGAAGTGTCTGTTTGTAATATCAAAATAACAGCTTTTTACTAAATGCATGTGAAAGTATATATGGTACTTATAACAAAAACACAATATTTAATATGTTTGTCTGTCTGTCTATTTGTTCCGACTAATCTCCGAAACGGCTGGACCGATTTCGACGGAACTTCCACTGGCAGATAGGTGATGTTATAAGGAGTAACTAAGTAAAAAGAATTAGAGTTCCGTGCAACATAATTAAAACCCTAAATTACACGTGGGCGAAGTCGGGGTACAGATAGGTAGTATCTAAATAAAAGTCCCGCTGCAAAAGCATAGTCAAAACCTGAACTTCTTTCAAAAACTGAAGTAACAAATGAGCTTACAGTACACCTGATGACAAGTGACTACAGCAGACCATGGACACCTGGAGCCAACTTCTAACAAAGAAGGCTATAGATGCGTTGTCACCGCTGAGGACTACGATGGCATGACTCACAGGCTGTAACTATACTGGCTCTCTATACCGGACAGACCAAAACACAGTGCGCACACTGCCATCTGGTGGCCGAAATAAGTAAGAAGAGTATGTTACTTACTCATATGGACTCCTAGACAAAAAAGGAACCCCACCAATCCTTTACTTGATGATAATATTCCATTTAGATTCCAGGAAAAGCTCAATAATCACGTTAAAAATAAACATGGAAACTAATTGTACGACTTAATTTTTAAAAAAAACTTGCAGGACGATACAGACGTAACTGGCAACATTCTGAATGTGTCATTTTCGGCTCGACGTCCGGATGCAGAAGTGGGCACAGGCGGTGATACATCTCAATTCTACTCGCCTACGCACTTACGCGAGCGACTTTATCTCAACCGCGCCACACTCGCGAGGCTCGCGACTGTACAGGTCAGTTACGGTTATATTTATTATCATCTTATTTTTTTTTCTTTTATCTTTTTTTTATAGTATAAGGGCGACTAACGAGCACACAGTCCACCTGATGGTAAGAGTAAACATCTACATCTATCCTCGGTTACGAACCAAAATGCAGATGCATTGTCACCCGTGAGGACTAAGATGGAATGCCTCGTTTCCAGTAAAAAGGGTATCCGATTCTCTACACTCACACCAAATGAAACACAGCAGCGTTAAGCTGCTATTTTACGTTGGTATTCTGTGAGAGCGTGGTCTTTCTCCGGTCACACAGCGACCACAGTGACGTTGTCATTGAAAAATTGTATTTTAAATAAAAGATTTATGTTTCTAATTTACGTGTATATACAAAACAAATCCTCAGTAGAGTATTCTTCAATTTTTCTCGTTATAATTTCTTCTACCTTAGAGTTACAAGCGAGCACACAGTCGACCTGATGTTAAGTGGATGATGTGGCCTATAGAGCCATGCTGCAGCTATATTGTGGTTGCAGCACGAATGGGTCGGCTCATCCGGGGTAGTACCACGCTCTCACAGAATACCAGCATAAAATAGCAGCTTAATGCTGCTGTGTTTCGTATAGTGAGTGTAGAGAACCGGAGACCCTTTTTACTGTCTACATTCCATCTCGGTCCTTAGGGGTGACAACGCATCTACATTTTGATTCTTAATTGAGGATAAATGTAGATGTCTATGGGCCACAGCAACCACTTACCGTAAGGTGGACTGTGTACTTGTTTGTCACCCTTATTCTATAAAAAAAAATACTTGTGAACTTACTTGTGTAATACTACTACCATTAAACATAATTTTGCCACACGAAGGCTTTTTGGACTGTGCTATCAAATGTTTTAATGATTTGACCTCACTCTTATTAATTACTTCTTGTACGTTTGTGTTATATCTTGTACGTTTTAATAACAAATATTTAAGGTAAAGAACATTTTACACCGTTGATAGAACAAAACCTTAACGTTGTTTACATTTTCTTAATCTCTTTTTCTTTCTTAGGTGTTACCATTCGACGACAACATTTGCATTCACGAGCCGTGCCTTAATTTTGAAGAATGCCTTACTGTACTTAAGTTTGGAAACGCCTCGGGCTTTATAAGCAGCGATACTGTATTGTTCCGGCCAATTTATCCCGTCACGGCTTTCACTTGTCAATGTCCGCATGGTTTTACTGGTAAGTTACAACATATATATTTATCATACGTTTGATTAGGAATTGTGAACTATAAAAGCAAATATGCGAAGAAAGATAGGGGCATTTAAGCGCAGTTTACTGCATGTCTCTTGGACTGCTATGCGAACAAACTTTTCCATACTTGAGGAGATTAAGATTCGCCCCGCATTTGGAAGAGCATCAGCAGCGCGTTGGCAACCGCAGTTTTATTTATTTTTAGTCGTTATTAGGAAGACGCTGCTGCCCATCTACAGATTTGTTTGTCTCTGTTGCTTTTTACGACATACACGAGATGATATGGGATAGTGGATATTCTTACACCGCACTACACTGTCAAAACAGTTTATACACAGAAATAAATTTCCAATAATTTTGTTGTACGCATTTTAAGGGTCGAAGCAAAACGTTTTTTCGTGAAAGTGAAGTGACAAAAGAACTTGCAGCCTACTTGTGATAGTAAGTGGCTATTGCAATGAATAGACAACTGCAAATAGCAACAATATAATAAAAATCCATAGCAACTTTATACTAACAAATGCGTTGTTATTCTAAGATGGAATGCCTGTGATCATACTGACTCTCTTTACCCTGGTGGCAGAAATAAATAAGAGGATACCCAGGGGTCTCCTAGGCAGCATATTATGACAAAAAGTGAACATAATATTATAGGTACATAGCCGAATTGCGAATCTCCTCCTTTTTGAATAAAAAATATGATAAACTTTGCAATCTGCCCCGGCTCCGCATGTGTGATATCTATGACTCTACAATAGCACCATCTACCGGGTTAACTATAACCTTCGCGAAAGTGCAACAAATATTTTGACAAAGTTTCACCGCAATCTGATGAACAGTACGGCAGTGCAGAACTTTTTTTAATTAGCGGCCCCGCAAACCTCCTTCCGAGTAGAATTTCGTAAAATCCGTTCTTAATTGCCCTTTACTCGGCGAGATGAATATTCCTACCATATTTCAAGTCTCTAGGCCTTGTGGTTCCAAAGATATCGTGATGAGACCGTACATGAGTGGAAATCTCTTATATATATAGACAACATAATTTAATTTATACTTTTGATTGAAGGCCATTTAATTAAATTCCTTTATTTATATTCTGTTTTAGGTCTAAGAGAACACTTCTTATGTGACACGGAAGTAGATCTTTGTTACTCCTCACCTTGTGTCAACAACGGCACGTGTATGCAACGGGAAGGAGGGTATACTTGTGTGTGTGCTCCTGGATTTACTGGTAAGAATTTATTTAGCGTTTTCAGATAAATAAAAATGCACTTGAAATAAAAGCAAAATACTATTAATTTGTACATTTGTATTATCTTTCACAAAACGGTTTAAAATAAAATGATACAGTACATACTGTATTAACTTTGTATTTAACTTTTTATTTGTTGCGGTGTCCATCGAGTTCAATGTCTCTATAGTGAAGTCCAGCCATTCTTTTACAGTCTATATAAGTCCACTACTTCACATAGCAATCTGCAGAGTTTTTCTTTAATAATTTTAAATTGTTATCAGGAAGACGATGCTGCTAATCCCCTGTTTCAGTTTCCCTCTGTCGCCTCTTACGACACCTACAGGATGATATGGGGTAGTGGATATTCTTACACCGCCACTACATGGTTTATGTAGTGGAGTAAATTCAAAAATAAACTATAAAAATGTTAATATTTATATTATAAATCAATTATATACAATGAAGATAAAATAGTTTTCTAAATACTTTATCGAAGAATGAAAGATTCCCTCCTTTTTTTGAGTCCATTGAAATGTTTTTAATTTTTTCCTCAGGTGCAAACTGCGAGACTATTTTAACAAAAGCAACATGCGAAATGAACGGCGATGGAACAATATGTCGGAGTGGATCTCAGTGTGTTGCAAAAAAAGAAGGCGGAATCTTGTGTCAGGGTTGTACTATTGATGTGGAGTACACGACAGCCATGTGTGAATTGAGAGCAAGAAGCTTTCCTGCTTCGTCTTTTCTAACATTTCCTGGCTTAAAAAGGAGACATAGATTTAATTTGAAACTTAAGTAAGCTTGTTAATACTTTATTACGTATCATCATCATTACAGCCCTTCACAAGTCCACTGCTGAACATAGGCCTCCCCCAAAGAATGCCACAAAACACGGTCCTGAGCCACCTGCATCCATCGACTTCCTGCATGTCTTACCAGGTCGTCACTCCATCTCGTGGGGGGACGCCCTACACTTCGCCTACCGGTACGAGGCTGCCACTCGAGAACCTTTCTTCCCCATCGGTTGTCGGTTCTTCGAGCTATATGGCCGGCCCACTGCCACTTCAGCTTACTAATCCGTTGGGCTATGTCGGTCACTCTGGTTCTACTGCGGATATCCTCATTCCTAAGTTTATCACGCAGAGAAACTCCGAGCATAGCCCTCTCCATAGCTCGCTGAGCGACCTTGAGCTTCCTCATACGGCCAGCAGTGAAGGACCACGTCTCAGTTCCGTAAGTCATCACTGGCAACACGCACTGGTTGTACAATTTCGTTTTAAGGTTTTGAGGTATGTCTGACGAGAAGATGTGTCGTAGCTTCCCGAACGCTGCCCAGCCGAGTTGAATCCGTCGATTGACCTCTCGGTCGAAGTTGGACTTACCCAGTCGGACTATTTGTCCCAGGTAAACATACTCGTCAACAACTTCGAGCTTAGTGTTCCCAACAACTATCGGCATAGGTGTGACATGGACATTAAACATGATCTTAGTTTTGTCCATGTTCATCTTAAGACCTATCCGTTGGGAAACACTATTGAGGTCATTGAGCATAGTGCTTAGGTCCTCCAGCGATTCTGCCATAAGGACTATATCGTCGGCAAATCGAAGGTGAGTGATGTACTCGCCATTGATGTTGATACCGTATCCTTTCCAGTCCAGAAGCTTGAAAACGTCTTCCAATGCAGCGGTGAAGAGTTTCGGGGATATGACGTCACCCTGTCTTACACCTCTCTGCAATTGGATAGGTTTCGTACTCTGGTTCTGTACTCGGATAGCCATCGTAGCCCTACTGTACAAGCACTTCAACACTTCGATATACCGACAGTCAACTTGGCACCGCTGAAGGGACTGCAGCACCGCCCAAATTTCGACGGAATCAAAGGCTTTCTCATAGTCCACATACGCCAGACATAGTGGCAAATTGTACTCTTCGGACTTCTGTACAACTTGCCGAAGGGTATGTATGTGAGATCGGCAAATACATTCGAAATCATCATCGTGGTAGAGCCATGCTGCAGCTATATTTCTGTTATAGTTGTAACACGAATGGGTCGGCTCGACCGGGGAAGGACCACGCTCTCATAGAATACCATCGTAAAATAGCAGCTTAATACTGCTGTGTCTCGTATGGTGAGTGTAGAGAACCATAGACTCTTTTTACCGGTAACGAGGCTTTTCGTCTTAGTCGTTAGGGGTAATCTATATTTTAATTCTTAATCCTGAATAGATGTAGGTGTCTATAAGCCACATCATCTACTTAACAAAGATTTACTGTATAAATGTTTGTCACACTTAGTCTATAAAAAATATATAAAAATGAAAGTTTTGTCCTAAGCTCTCGCAGTTAAATTCTTTTTCTTTATCAGCTCTTAAGAGTCCCTTCATAGACATAAGCCTCTTCCATAACAATTCAACAATTCTCTGCTGGGAATAAGTTTTTCCGTAATCGTAAAAATATAACAGTGGTAGAGCCACGCGGCAGCTTTTGCTGTCGCACGGATGGGCCGGCTCGAACCGGGGTAGTACCACGACCTCACAGAAAACCATCGTGAAGTAGAGGTTTACCTCTGCGTTTCGCTTGGTGAGTGCAGGTGGCCGGAGGCCTTTTTTACTGGAAATGAGGCATTCCATCTTAGTCCTCACGGGTGACAACGCATCTACATTTTGATTTGTAACAGAGAATAGATGTAGATGTCTATGGGCCGCAGCAACCACTTACCATCAGGTAGACTGGGTGCTCGTTTGTCACCCATATGCTATAAAAAAAAATCGCCACGCTCTGCAGACGGATTAGCAATCGTAGTACAGACGTCTCGCACCACTGACCTGTATAATACCACGAGACTGGCCGCTGTCAAATTATTTTCGTGCCTATTTGAGTAACGCCATTTTGGCGCTGTAGACAGATGCGAGTATCTACGGAACAAACAAATCCAAAACTTAAAAATAAATATCAATTCGGTCGAAAACCAATAATGTATTTTTAAGATAGTATTGCAACACAAATTTTTAATTACAATCTCTTGCCTACATAATATAATATACAGGCATAAGTTTGCAATGAATATAATACCACGAGACTGGCTGCTGTCAAATTATTGTCGTGCCTATTTGATTAACGCCATTTTGGCGTTGTAGACAGATGCGAGTGTCTACGGAACTAACAAATCCAAAACAAAACTTAAAAATAAATATCAATTCGGTCGAAAATCAATAATATATTTTTAAGATAGTTTTGCAATACAAATTTCTGATTACAATGTCATGCTTTACGTATCATTTTACACCAAATTTTATTAAAAACAATAACTGAATGCACATACCTGTGAAATGATGTTTTGCTGCCTTTCTTGTAGCAATGTTTGCAAAATACACATTTCCTCATATTTGTAAACTCGAACTTACACAAATGAACTTAAAAACTTACTAAAACATGAACAAATTGAAATAAAATTGCATAAACGATTTACGGTTATTCAATTTACCACGATAGCCATTTGCAATATACGTCATAATTAGTTCTCGGGACACTCGCGGGTGGTGCCTCAAATTGGCACACAAAATTAGCTGTCATTTGTATAGGAAAGCAAGTCCAGTATTGTAATATATACAGGTCAGTTTCTCTTCACGCTGCTCCCCGTCAAGAGTCTGGGTCGATCTAGTATGTACGAGATGGCATAATTCCATCCATCAGAAGCATGAGTTCTTTCTGGTCTTTCCTATTGTTGCCCCTTACCATACCCACCGAAAGAAATGGGATAGGTAATAGATCGACTTAAACTGCCACCACACAGCAAAAATAAAAATAACCAGTTAAAACTACCTAACGAAATAAACATATTCAGACACATTCATCGGCTAGGTTTTAAAAGTTTGAAAAGGTTCATCGTCTTCATTATTATTATTTTGGGTTAACCCTACTCGACACGCTTGCCTTACCCACTGGCAATTTAAAAATACATCCAATGGATGAAAGAATTTTAGCCTCTAAAACTACGAAAATATTTTCAGATTCGCTACCACATCCCCATCGGGTCTATTGATGTATAACGGTAGATACAACGAACGTCACGACTTCGTGGCGCTTGAAACTATCGCTTCTGGCGCTGGCAAAGGTAGTGGCGCAGGTCTACGGTTCTCTTTCTCGTTGGGCGGCACCCGAACCGAAGTTACCGTGGCCGCTCATGTAGCTGATGGCGCTTGGCATTCTGTTGAGATAAAATATTATAATCGGGTGAGTACAGCATATATAAAAGAATAACGTATTATAGATAAAGTGATATGGAAAGAATTTGAAAGACTTCCACTCTTGTTAAGAGTGAACAAAGAAAGTTTTTCCAAAGAACTGGAGGCTTCCACTCTTCACACTCTTCAGAAGGGAAAAAGGCGACAAAGAGTGAAAGAAATACATTGCTTATTTTATTTTCTGTTATTAAAACATATAAAAGTTATTGAAACGGAACCTGAAAACTGTTCATTATAACCGATATGACGTCAATGTACAACATTTTATAGAATTTTTTAATTCCACATTCATCCAAAAATCAAAAACAATCAAATGATGCTAATATTGCCAGGGTCTGTGGATTAGGTACGCCAAAAAATCGTTAAACACCCTGCGAGTCCAGTACAATAACGTTTTCAGAATGATGTTGGCACTCCCCCGCTTCTGTAGTGCTTCTGGCATGTTTGCACAGACCAGAACTGATGGTTTTTATGCCATAGTTCGGAAAAAAGTAGCGCCGCTGATAGGAAGGATACGGAGAAGTGACAACAGCATCCTGAGAACAGTGGCAGATGATCCGCATGCGCCTATTGTGAGGCACTTCGTGCGAACGATGACTCATACAGTGGATGGTAATTCTTCTAGGTGTCGACCGCACGCAGTGCCTCTCAGGTACATGACAAATTAGAATTTAATTTAATCTAATTTTATTTTGATTTGATTTGATTTAATTTGAATTAATATGATTTTAGTCTGATGTAATTTAATTCTAATATAATATAATATAATTTAATTTAATTTTTTATAAGTACTAACACTTAGTTTATAAGCGATAATGTAATACTAACCCATGGATCTTTGTTGTCTGAAATTAAATGAAATTGAATTTGAATTTGAATTAATATATATGTTAAATTAAAATAGATATGACGTTATAATGTTGGTTTGAAATTAATTTGGATATACATCTATATGTCTTAATAGCAGAAAATTACGTTATGCGTTAATTAAGTTAAGATGATTAAGAGCGAGCCTCGAACAATTTTTTTTTTATTTTAAAATAATGTTAAAAACGAGCACACAGGCCACTTGATGGTAAGTGGCTACTATTTCCATTAGGGATGGGCAAGGGAAAATATATTGACATATATACATCGAATCGATATTTTTAAACATTATCGATATAATATATCGCGTGATAAATATTGATATATCGATATATCATCATCATTTGCATGATGTAAAGATAAGGTCCAAAATTTTATATTACTGACGGAAAAAAAAAACGATAACCAACCACACATTAATACTTTTGTACCTCTTTTTATTGTTACAAGTTTTGTCATTACGAATTCGATACTCTAAAATAAATATCGATATATCGCGATTTAAAGTAGCGAGGATATATATAAAAAATATCGATATTTCGATATATCGATATTTTTTGCCCTAGCCTAATTTGCATAGATATCTACATCTGCCTTCGATTATGAATCCTCATTTTTAGTCAAAATTGTCTCCAGGTCACCATAAGAAACACATCAGCATTAAGCTGCCGTTTTATATTCGTATTCTGAGCGTGATCCTTCTTATAATATAGCTGCAGTGTGGCTCTACCAAGTAAAATATTGCATTTGCCTTAATCGCAGCAGCATTACATTAGCATCCAGCTGCTATTTAACGCTAGAATTCTGTGAGAGAGCAGTTTGTCTATCGACTTCAAAAAGGAGACGTTACTCAATTCGACTGTGTTTTGTTTCTTTTTTTTATGTGTGTTACCTCATTACTTTTTCTGGCTGAAATGATTTCGATGATTCTTTTTTTATTTGAAAGCTGGTGCTTCTCGCATAAATCTCCGATATAAATTTGATCAAGGACTGATCAATAGTTTTTGAGTTATTCTTAGTAATTTATATTGAAGTCGGGTGTACGGATCAAGTCTTTTCCATGCGCATGATTGCGGAGAAGTTTTTGGCCAAAAACCAGAAAGTTTTTTGTGCGTTCATGGACTTGGAAAAGGCTTATGACAGAGTGGACAGGAATGTGTTATTGCAAACACTGAACTCATTTGGGTTGAGCGCTGGCTTGATACAGGCATTAAGGTCTCTTTATAGGGACTCTAGTGCTTATGTCAGGATCGGGGGTCTACTCGGACTGGTTTGGCATTCATAAAGGTGTCAGACAGAGATGTGTGGCTTCCCCGTGGTTGTTTAACCTATTTATGGACAGTTGTTTGCAAACTTTGAAAATTGAAGAATGTGGGTTGAGAATAGGTGAGGTAAACGTCAAATGCCTTTTGTACGCCGATGATCAAGTCATATTTGCATCGTCGGCGACCGAGTTGCAAATGATGGTTACTTTAATGAACTGGTCATTGAAAGAAAGGGGTATGAAAGTGAACGCAAGTAAGACGAAAGTGATGGTTTTTGAAAGAGAAGAAAGTAAAACGTTATGTGAAATAAGAATAGAAGGGGAGTTGGTTGAGCAAGTGGATGAGTTTGTATATTTGGGATGTTTATTTAGCAGGGATGGTAGATATGATAAGGATATAGAACGACGAGTGAACGCAGGAAATAGAGTGAATGGGGCTTTACACGCTATTATGAGGAGTCAGAATGTGTCAAATAAGGCACTTTGGCAATTCATAATGCTGTGTTAGTCCCTACTTTAATGTATGGTAGTGAAAGTTGAGTCTGGCAGAAGAAGCATGATAATAGAATAAATGCTGTAGAAATGCGTTCCTTAAGGAGTATGCTAGGGCTGAATCTCAATGACAGGGTGAGAAATAGTGTGATAAGAGAAAAGTGTTGTGTGCAAGATGACGTTGTGACAAGGATTAAGAAAGGAATGCTTCGGTGGTTTGGTCATGTAGAAAGAATGAACGAGGAAAGAGTGACAAAGCAAATTTATGTTGCAGAAGTGAACGGCAGGGTCGGGAAGGGACACCCTTTTGTTTTTCTTTTCGTGGGGAATACCTCATGGATACCTCCGGCTGCGGGGGCAACCGGAAGGTTATGCCGGACTCCTACCGGCTAAAACCCCACGGTGCCTCCTCGCACGTGCGCGCGGGGCCGCGGAAATCCAAATTCTTCCGCAGCCCCACACTAGTGCTGGCCCGGTCCGTCCGGGCCTCGTCTCCTGCACGGGGTAGCGAGGTGTTCAGCTACCCCCCTCCACAGCCTTCAACTCCACCTGCGTATCGGACCCCCCCGAGTCCGATACGCGGAGGCCATGGGGCCAGGAAAATCGAACGCTCAGAAGCACCAGCCTTCCTGACCCCAGCGGCGGATCCGGTCTATGGCTCCGCCGCCAACCAAGATTCGGCTGCGGAGGGTAGGGAGAGCGGCGCCTCGCAATACCGGCACTCCTCTCCCCCCGCAGCCCCACCACCACCGCATCAATTAACGGTGCGGCCCCGTCTGAGTCGCGGAGGATAGGGCGAGTGGCGCTTCGCCATACCAACACTCCTCCTCCTCCGCGACTCCACCTCGGCTGCAGCGGTAGAGGGTGCGGACTCCCCTCTCACCGCAGCCCACCAACACATATCCGAAGTGGGCTCGTCAAGCCCACTCGGAGTGGCCACGGCTACTAATCCCCCCCGACGGGACACGGGGGGGGGAGGCACGACAAGGCGGGAACCCGTTCAGGGGGGGGGGGAGGGACACCCTAGACGAAGGTTTATCGACCAAATCGGCGATACATTAAAAATGGGCCAGATTAGGAGTACCCTTAACCGACGAGCGTGTATGCGTAGGTATATGGATGTAAAGGAGGCGAGAGAGGTATGTCAGGATCGCGCCAAATGGAAGTCCGTAGTCTCTGCCTACCCTTCTGGGTGACAAGCGTGAGTGTTTGTGTGTGTGTGTGTGTGTGTGTGTGTGTGTGTGTGTGTGTGTGAGTGTGTGAAGTCGGTTGTACAAAATTTTTAATTTTTAATTATCCTCGGTCGAGCTGACCCATTCGTACCTAAGCCATAGTATAGCTGCAGTATGGCTCCACCAAGTCAGAAAATTGTCTTATATTAATGTAAATAGTGCATATCTAATAATACTATTTCTTAAGAATTTAATCGCACTGTAAAACTTTAAGACTCAGTGAGCTGATTCTGCGTACATCAGGCCAAAATAATTAAAAGTTGACGGTAGCCCGTGGCTTTAACTATGACATCAGAGCGTCAAACAGCTCAGTCGCCTGGTAGCCCGGTACCTAATGAAGCGTAGGTACTGTAATGCCCTCGAAACATAGTGAATTTAAAATATGTTAGAATAACCTTGAGCAATTCTTTAAAAATAGTTATATTCGAGAATAATCTTAGGGTTTGTTATTGTGCCACTCTTATGTTATGCTTTATTATGCCGTAGACTGTTACAATGATAGTGGATGACTGTGACAAGGACTTGTCATTAGCGGGAGCAAGTGAATTTGGCATCAAATACGCCTGCGCAAACTTCACACGGAAAGTGTTGCCACCACACTGCGATAATCCTACTGAAACTTGTCATAGGTAAGTTTCAATTTTTTAAATACACACGTTATTCATTGTTTACAGTATATTTTAATAATTTATCTTAATTATCTGTGAATGACGAATGTTATGACATTAGCTATAAATTTTCCTTTAAAATAAAATAATAGAACTTTAAAAAATTATATATTCATAAGACACAGTCTATTCTATCCTCGCAGATTCCTCGATCTCACCGGGCCCTTGCAAATTGGCGGTTTACCAAATATTCCAAGCAGCTTCCAAGTGAAGAATAAGGATTTCGTTGGCTGTATCTCTGACCTTTACATCGATCACAAATTCCTTGATCTTAACAGGTACGTATTTATCGGACTTAACTAGATTTTAGGGATCCTCGCAGCATATGAGTATCTGGGCGAGTAGCTCACTCTCAAAATAGCAGTATACCCGCTGCTACGTATCGGTTTGGATAAGAAAGCAAGTTTATTCAGAGGTTGTGTGGTCGCGAAGTAACAGAATTCATCGCCTAGTTTCGTCTGATAGGTATCAAAAGAGGCTACAACGGTAAAGTCCAGAAGGCATTATAGCATCGGTTGTAAATGGTATGCCGTCTCGTATTTACTAAATGTAAAATAACCAGTCTGTTGAAGCAGAACAGCGTCAAATTTGATCACAAACCCACATACCAGACATGGTGATTACAGCAAACCCTTTTTACTATGGGCTACGCCAGTATCGAAGAATGGCCGCCTAAGAGCTAACAAATAAATAAAAAGGAAACAAGAAGAAATTTACACACCGTATAGTATACCAAACTACTTACCATCAGGGAAACAGTGAGTTCAATTGTCACTCCAATTTTATAAAAAAAAAAAATTGTGAAAATATAGTGAATTCTAACTTAATAATTATTTTAGCTACGTATCGGACAACGGCACAATAGCGGGCTGTCCGCAGAAACGCTCTCAGTGCAGCTCTGCGCCATGCCACCACGAAGCTGCCTGCAGCGACCTCTGGGATTCGTTTCTCTGTGATTGCCCCGAGGGATACACCGGTCACGACTGCGCTGAAAGTAAGTACTTTTCTGTCGGTAGACTTCCTTACCGTCTTAAGAATAGCGAGCAGCACAACAAATAATGAGGGAGATTTTCTTGATAATAGAAGAAGAAGAATCTGAGCATTCTTCAATTATTTTTTCAACGTGGTAAAGCTATGCTACAGCTATATTAGTAGTATAGACCAGAGGAGGACCACTCTTTCACAGAATACCAGCGTAAAATAGCAGTTTAATGCGTACGATGAGTGTAGAGAACCGGAGACCCTTTTTACTGCAAATGAGGCATTCCCTCCAAGTCCTCACGGGTGATAACGCATCTGCATTTTAATTTGTAACTGAAGATAGATGTAGATGTCTATGGGCCACAGTAACTACTTACCATAAGGTGGACTGTGTGCTCGTTTGTCACCCTTATCATAGAAAAAAAAATCCTCCCTACAATGCTCAAGGTCCAGCAATAAACTATTTGTGCGCTGATAAGGAACCGTCACGCATTTATAAGATGTGATAAACTTCTTTCCCTAAGGTATCCTTGCTTTCTTATGAATAATATGTAAGCTAGAATAATATTAAACAAATATTTGACGTGGAGAATTTAAACAAATTCTATAAAGAAATGAAGAATTTCATTTAAATATCATTTTTTATTATCCTTTGTAAAAACTTCAAGAGCTTCTTACAGATAAGAGTGTAAATTGTTTTGTAACTGTGTATTTTAATTGATTTTGAACAAATGAAAAAGAGATATATTAGGATATTAATTAGTTATTAACAGCTCGAATTCCACGGATTCAAATTCACGAAACAACTATTTGTATGGCCTATAATGTATGTAAAATGTGCATATATGTATGTAAAAGCCTCCACGATACAAGGGCAATTTTTTACGTAATAATTTATTTAAGTTTAAAAAGAAGCTAGTCAGAAGAAGGTCATTAAACCTGCACGACCATTTTCCTTTTCAAACTAAACAAATTTTTGGTTCTTTCTGCTTTATGGACGAATAAAATTTGTCTAACTTCAGTCGCACTCTTTTACTAGCAACCTCTCCGCCGTGGCGATTCAGTGGTGATGGCATGTTGTCTTTCAACCCTTTGCTACGGCCCATACAACTGCCGTGGCTCAACGCACTTTCTATTCGAACGAGACAACATGACGCCTTTCTGATGTCCGTGCAAGTTGGCCAAAACAGCAGTGTCTTTATTAGTGTGAGTATTTATTACTTATTGTTATTAAACTTCATTAAATAGAAAACATAATATAAAATATTGAAAAAATCTTATTACGACGTTACACATAACATTTTTGGTAAAAATTAATGTTATTTGCTCTTTTCTGCCGACTTCCAAAAAGGAGACGTACTCAATTCAAGTGTATATTCTTTTTATGTGTGTTACCTCATAACTTTGTACTGGTGGAACCGATTTCGATGATTCTTTTTTTATATGAAAGCTGATAGTTCTCGTGTAGTCCCATATGAATTTGATCAAGGTCAGACTAATGGTTATTGAGTTATTCTTCGCTTATGTTGAAGTCGGCTGTACAAAATTTTTAATTTTAAATTATTATTTTCATCATTTACTCAAGTTAACCAAAAACTAATTTTTTACTTCAAAAACAGATTATAAATTGCGATTCACAATTTTACAAGTAACTTTTTGACATTCAGTAAACGCATTATTGTTATTAGCGATAATCATGTAAGCAATCTTTTTATAGCTGAAATCCGGACTTCTTCACTACTCCTACAACGGCGAATCAATGTTCCTCCCGTCGACAAATCTAGCAGATGGAAACTGGCATCGAATCGAGATCAAGTGGTTAGGAACTGACATATCAGTCGGAATCGATTACGGGCTGCGCAACGCTCTGTTGCCGATGCTAGCAAACAAAATACAGGGACAGTATATTGGAAAGATTCTTATCGGTGGGCCTGATAGTACTGCTGGTTTACTGGCGTCTGAAGTGGGATATTTCGAAGGATGCATACAGGTTGGTTTATTGTAAGAATTTTATATCGATAAAGTAGAATATTTACATGCAAATATTTAATAGATTTAAAAATAAATATTTACGTTACTTGTGTAAGTAATAATATGATTTTAAAGTAGAAACCAGCAGTGTGATATGGTAACTCTGGTGGGAATCGTGGTTAGCTTTGTTTTGACATTTGACTTAGCTTTTCATATATTGAGATGTAATAGTATCAAATATAGACCGATATTTCATATATTAATACCTAATATCTGTACTCTTATCACAAGTTCTTGACACTAACGTTTTCGTATCGTTCTCGACTAAAATTGTATGGAAATATGAAGTGAGTGAATGAAAATATATTTTGTTATACAAAGTTACTCGATAGCGATACGAATTCGATACCATAAAAAATTCATGCATCTATTTTTACAGACATTAATTAACCAAAGCTTGATTAAAATACGAAGTTTCACTGTGATTTTTAAATAACTCCTGCATTAGCTTCTTATATTATGGTGTTATTTTTATCAGGACGTCCGTGTGGGAACAGCACAGTCTCTGCTCAACCGACCAACTGTAAGAGAGAATGTAAGAGATGGATGTCAATCAAAGGCAGATTGCATGCTCTCAATCTGTCCACCTTATGTAAGTGTTTTCAAACTTATTCTTTTTCATCCGCCCGTAAAAGTCCAGTGCTGGACATGGGCCTCCCCCGCAAAGAATAATGGTAACAAACGAGCACCTGATGGTAAGCGGATGCTGCGACCCATAGATATCTACATCTATCCTCGATTAATAATCAAAGTGGGGATCCATTGTCACATCTAAGAACTAGAGAGGAATGCCTCCTTTCCAGTAAAAAGAGGCGCCACTTCGCTATACTCACCAAGCGAAGCACATCAGCATTAAGCTGCTATTGTACGCTCGTATTTTGTGAGAGCATGGTTTAACATACCCTTAGACCTTACACCCCCAATTGGGTTAAATGGTCTAAGAATATGTCAGATGCAGATCGGTGACCATCAAATGTACGATAAATCTCGAACTCCTATCCGCCCGCGAGGCGTGACAATTATATCTTGCGCAATAAACATTTTTAAGTTTATTTGAGAATGGGGTAAAGTGTGAGGCGGCAACACCAAAGATGAGTACGGTGTTCAGAAACTTAGAACCTGATACGGCTTAGGGATCTTCAAGAAAAGAGCTTACTTCTTTCTAAAAGGCTGGCAATGCACCTACAAATCCACTGATGTTGCAGTTGTTCATGGGCGGCGATAATCACTTACCATCACCTAAGCCGCATGCTCGTTTGCAAACTCCTTTTCTATTAAAAAAAAAACTATTCTATGAAGCCAGCACTACTGAATTGTTTTGATAATTGAATTCTCGCAAACAAATTGCACGGAGTTGATTTGATAGTACTGAAATGTTATTAGAAAAAGAAGCGTTAGACAGCAGTGTTCAGGGTCACGAGTTGGAATCCCGCATAGAAAAGTGTTTCTAATACCTACAAATAATTGTTCCGGGTCCTGGATGTTTGTTCATGTGCAATAATTTATGCATGTAAACGCCTTAACGATGCGGAAGAAAAGCCTAATAAATTTGTTCCCAACTCATAGAGCAAGTGCGAGTCTCAGTGGGACAGTACGGAGTGTGTATGCGAGCGCGGACGTATCGGTCCGCACTGCACCGCCGCGTGTGACTTGCGTCCTTGCGGCCCGCACGCGGTCTGCGTACCCGACGACACGCACAAGGGATATAGCTGCAAATGCGAGCAGGGGTACACTATGACCGGTGAGTTTCACTCATGCCATGTTTTTATAGACGTAAACTAGGGTGTGTTGGTGTGTGTTTGTAGACTGTGTCTACCAGATGGTAAGTGGATATCGAAGCTCACAGACTTTAAATCTATCCTCGATTAAGAATCAACATACGCCACGTTCACACACAGCAGCATTATGACAATTTATTCCAGATATAAAGCAAATAGATTAACGACAGAGACCGGCCTAATTGTTGCGCACAACTTCTAGCAAGCGTGGCAATTACATAATTGCCATGGCAATCGGAAAGGCGCATGTTTAGCGATGGATGGTTGTGGGATGATGATTTTTTTTTAAAGGATAAGGGTGACAAACGAGCACACAGTCCACCTGATGGTAAGTGGTGCCTGTGGCCCATAGACATCTACATTTATCCTCGATTACGAATCAAAATGTAGATGCGTTGTCACCCGTGAGGACTAAGATGGAATGCCTCGTTTCCAGTAAAAAGAGTCTCCGGTTCTCTACACTCACCATACGAAACACAGCAGCATTAAGCTGCTATTTTACGATGGTATTCTATGAGAGCGTGGTCCTTCCCCGGTCGAGCCGACCCATTCGTGTTACAACTATAACAGAAATATAGCTGCAGCATGGCTCTACCACGATGATGATTTCGAATGTATTTGCCGATCTGCCGACCACCCAATCCAAGCCTTCTTTACTTCAGTAGTGTGCGAAATTATCCATTATGCATTACAGCCTATAAAAGTCTACAGCTGAACAAAGACCTCTATTATTTTTCGCCTCATAGGGGAGATTTTTTCATAGCTACCACGCTTGACAGGTGGGTTGGCAACCGCAGTTTTTTATGATTTTGAGTTGCAAGATTTACAAAATTTACCAAAATAATGGGAAAAGTGTATCTCATGACCCCAAGATTTTTATAAATGTGGTTATATAAGCTATTGCTGTGAAAGTAAGACTGGCAAACCGTATTCGCCTTCTAGAATTGTAGACAGTGACGTTTTGCTGTCATTATATTTGAGGTAAGAGACTGTGTGGATGAAATGCATTGATAAGTTATCAGTAAGATGCAGCTGCTCAACTTCTGTTTCAGTTTTACTCTGTCGTCTCTGTAGTGTAGCCGCCACGATATTATATATAAGTGTTGAGGTAGAATAAGTGGAAGCAGTATAATTAAAGTTATAGAAGCATCAACACGCCTCTTTTCATTCAACAACTTCCGACATTACACTCTTACGACACCCACGAGACGGAATTGGGTAGTGGATATTCTTACACCGCCACTACACGGTTAATTACCACTTAAAGCGAAATGATCATTTAAAAAAAATATTTTTTTTATTGTGTTAGAGCCGTGGTCACTTATGGGTTAATCTATCACCGTAAGCAAGCCTTTGAAAATTTATTTTAAGCACATGAAATTAGAGGATGCCTGCGTCCTACAACTGATAATATATAATCTGTAAATGTAAGCTTATATGATGGTACTAGCGGACGGGTGTGAGGAACAGCACGAGGAGGAGTGCCCTGGCGGTTGGTGGGGCGTGACGGCGTGCGGGCCGTGCGACTGCGACATGGCTCGCGGCTTCCACCCGCACTGCGCGCTCCGGGACGGACGCTGTCGCTGCAAGGTACGCGAGAACACACACGCACACGCGAATACACACGCACACACATGCACACAGATCAAAGGCTTTACAAGCTTTCCGAGACACGAATGTGAAACGCCGCCAACTTTTTGAAACCAGGCTGTTACTGAGAGTTTTTTGACACGAAAACACAATTCTTTTGACACCACCACAAATAGCTATTATAGACAAATGAGGCAGTTTACTATAATTCCAAGAATATATTTAAATATGTGTAACCTCCATGTCATAGTTGTAGTGTTAACCGTAGTTGTTGAGAGCACTAACCTCGAAGTTGTTGACGAGTATATTTACCTGAGACATATAGTCCAACTAGGTAAGTCCAACTTCGACCGAGAGCTCAATCGACGGATTCAACTCGCCTAGGCAGCCTTGGGGAGATTTCGACACATCTTCTAGTCAGACATACCTCAAAACAAGACAACAATGTCTATCGGAAAACTGGGCAATAAATGTTGAGTTTTGCGAATGGATATGGTTTCGCAGACAAACCGAAAAAACCAAAAAATGAGAATAAGCCTATAGAAATAGTATACCAGAACGTAAGAGGACTTCGGACAAAAGTTGACCAGTTTTATAGCAGTATTTTAGCGTCACATGAAGACTTATTCGCAGTAACAGCAAATGGTTGCAATCAGTCAATTCGTGATGCAGAACTCATACCAAGTGGATACACAATATTACGTTACGACAGACAAATAAATCAATAATCGATTATGATGCGTTTTCCAGGTGTAGGGCAAAAGTTAAAAAAATGATAGAAATGGCCGAAAAACAATATCAAGAGATAGTTCAAAATAACCTTTTAAAGGAACCAAAATCATTTTGGAATTATATTAAGAACAAAAGAGATCATAGAAATCCACAGAAATTTTTAAAAAACGGAAATATATTATCTGAGGAGCAAGGTGTTAAAGAGTTCGCAAAATATTTCCACTCTGTATATAGTACTCGACGAGCGGATCTGAATGTAGATGCAGCGGTAGCAGAAGCAGTAGGTGAAAATGGTGCGGCGTGAGTCCACCTAGAGAGGATACACTTAGATGAAATGAGACAAGCGCTCCAAAAACTCAAACCGAAAAGGTCCGCGGGTCCAGACGGTATCCCCCCTTATATCTTTAGGAATTGTCGTTTGGTTCTAGACAGACCTCTGCTTTACATTTTTAACAAATGCCCAGAGGCTGCTGTATTTGACAGAGATGTGGAAACTTACTCGGGTGGTACCGGTACTTAAAGCAGGTAATGGAAATAAATAAAAAAAGGTTGTACAAGCAGGGCGTGTTTCCAGTGATGACCTATGGATCTGAGACGTGGTCCTTCGCTGATGGCCATATGAGGAAGCTCAAGGTCGCTCAGCGAGCTATGGAGAGGGCTATGCTTGGAGTTTCTCTGCGTGATAGACTTAAGGATATTAACTTCGAGAATATCCGCAGTAGAACCAGAGTAACCGACATAGCCCAACGAATTGAAGTGGCAAAGGCAATCGAACGAGCTGAAGTGGCAATGGGCCGGCTATATAGCATGAAGAACCGACAACCGATTGGGAAGAAAGGTTCTCGAGTGGCAGCCTCATACCGGCAGGGGAAATGTAGGGGGTCCCCCCACTAAATGAAGTGACGACCTGGTAAGACATGCAGGAAGTCGATGGATGCAGGTGATTCGGAGCCGTGCTTTGTGGCATTCTTTGCGGGAGTCCTATGTTCAGCAGTGGACTTGCGAAGGGATGTAATGATTATTTAAATATATCCCACGATAATAGAAATTGAAGAAGAAAATATAAAAATAAAATATTATGGACTTACTAGCATTTGTATGCATGTACTAATAATGTTACAACTATGTACACGCCTTTTGCGTTTCTTAACCGATACACAAAATACGATTCTACCTAGTTATAGTCTTAATACCTGTTGATCGTAAATTGTTCTGACAAAATTTTTGATATTACTCGTAAACATGATATTTGCAAGTAGCCACAATTTTACAATAACATGTTGATCACGAATTCTGCCGTTTAAGCTTTTGATATTGGATTACTGAAAACATGTTATGAAGTGTAACGTTACAGAAGACGCTGACTCCATTGTATAATAGTTATTGCTGGTCAAACCAAGGCATCATACTCTCAGTCAACAGACTTGTTTTGACCATCCTGTAAAAGCCCTTGCATTTAAAATAAGATTCATTATAGAACTCATCGTAGTCAAAGACGTATTAAAAAGATAGACATGTTACACACTAACATTATTGCATTTTAAAATGGCGCAGGTAGTACTATATCTACGTGCAGTTATTTACTATGACACGTTGCGCTAACAAAAAGAGACAAATAATACGGCATACCTACCGTTAGGAAAAGATGAATATACATCATTAGTTGCGTATTGATTGCTGCTGAGCACTCATTGGCGCGAGTGCGTGACATACCGATATGGAAATGAACACACAAGCTAGCGTCAAAGTTTACACTAGCGGTTAGTGTTGAAATAATAAAACCATTAATGAACAAAACATCTATATTCTGAATATTAATGAGACGTTTTTCTTGTCTCAAACAGTTGCCGTGTTATTTGTGCACCACCTAAAAACGCAGGAAGACATTTTTACCACGAGTAACTAGAAGATTTACGCGCATAAGCGAAGGTATAGCCGCGACGCGAGAGCATACCCGACTGAATGCGAGTCAGGCAATTACCTGACTTTCGTATTGCCATTTTAGAGCTAGTATGACGTATCTATACTTTAAAAACATCTTAGGTATTACACTGAATTAGTTTTAATACATTATTATTGTAATGTAATAGTAATAAATGTCATTGAGACATATTTAGTTGTTTTAAAAAGCTTCAGCTTCTTCTTCTTAGGGTGCCACTTGGAAGAACACTATGGAAGAGAGAACGAGTGCTGAGGTTTAACCATTCACGAAGGTTCTTCAGCCAGGATGTTTTTCTTCTACCAGGTCGGCGTTTTCCCTCGATTTTTCCTTGAATTGCAAGCTGAAGACTACGATATTTGTGTGCACTCATTATGTGTCCAAAATACCGCAGCTTCCTCTCCTTCACGATCCTCATTATCTCCAACTTCTTATTCATTCGACGCAGAACCTCAACATTTGTTCAAATCTTCAGCACCACTCCCGAAACTTATCTACCTGTCCTCTAGCAACGAAATCGTTTATTTTCATGTGCGATGCAAATATATCATTACTGCGACTAGTGGAAAGGAAAATCATAATAATTTTACTTACTTTGCCAACCCATGCAAGTGTACCGCTGGATATGAGTGTTTCCCTTTGTAAGGAGGGTTTACGTTGAACATCACGCCTCGCACCTTTTACGCTCCTGTTCAACACCAGTCGGGTATTCCACTTCTGATGTAAACATGATTAACGAAATGAAGTTATAGGTTCTCGGGTCTATGCGACAATAAAATAATTTAAAATTAAAAATTTTGTACAACCGACTTCAATATAAATTTTTAAGAATAACTCAAAATTTATTGGTCAGGCCTTAATCAAATTATTAAGTATATGGGACCACGTGTGAAGTACCAGCTTTCAAATAAAAAAAGAATCATCGAAATCGGTTCACCTAGTAAAAAGTTATGAGGTAACTCACATAAAAAAAACATACAGTCGAATTGAGTACCATCTTCTATTTGAAGTCGGTAGAAAACACAATACTTAGCAAGTAATGAGCACCAGTGAACCACTTTGCTTGTTAGAATCAATTTTAAGCTGTCATTTTGTCCTACGCAACTTATCTATAGTTTTAAACTTTTTTATTCAACATGCACTAACGTAAGTACGTAACGTACAGGAGAACCACTACAAACCACCGGAGTCGGAGGTGTGCCTGCCCTGCCAATGCTACGCGGCGGGCTCGCTGAACGGCTCGTGCGAGGACACGAGCGGGCAGTGCCACTGCCGCAGCGGCGTCATCGGCCGCGCCTGCGACTCCTGCTCCAACGTCTACGCAGAGGTCACGCCCAACGCCGGCTGTAAAGGTATGCTCCCAAACATTTTATATACTTGCGACCAGCCTCGTCTTTCGCCGTAGGATGGGCCGCATAATTAATAGTTTTACACTTAATTTTTATAGTTATTGATTATCACATAGGATGTTATGATTTATCTATACTCTATAGTCAATACAAATAAATAAAATTGAAGTGTTTGTTAATGTCAAAATAACAACTTTTAACTAAATGCATATGAAAGTATTTTTTTTTATAGAATAAGGGTGACAAACGAGCACTCAGTCCACCTGATAGTAAGTGGTTGCTGTGGCCCATAGACATCTTCGTTTGCGAATCAAAATGCAGATGCGTTGTCACCCGTGAAGTCTAAGATGGAATGCTTCATTTCCAGTAAAAAGGGTCTCCGGTTCTCTACACTCACCATACGAAACACAGCAGTGTTAAGCTGGTATTATGTGAGAGCGTGGTCCTTTCCCAGTCGAGCCAACCCATTACTATTAATGTTACTATACTATTAATGTAGCTGTAGCATGGCTCTAACACGTAAATTATACGGTATATACGGTTTATAACAAAAACACAATTTTTGAAATTTTTGTCTGTCTGTCTGTCCGTATGTCTCTCTGTCTGTCTGTCTGTCTGTCTATCTGTCTGTTTGTTACGGCTAATCTCCGAAATGGCCGGACCGATTTTGACGTGACTTTCACTGGCAGATAGCTGATGTTATAAGGGTTCCGCGTAAAAAAATTAAAACCCATGAAATTCAATCGTAATAAATTATTACACGCGGGTGAAGTCGCTAGAAAACAGCTAGTAACTAATAAAATGTAATCAATACACTCGTTCTTTTAGCATTTAAAGCAATACAAAATGTTGTTGTAGACTTACGTATTAAAACGTCAACGCCACAGTCAACGAGTGCCGGCAGCAGTATTGGGTACTGAGACTGCGCCCTATTTTGACAACATTTTGTATTGCTTTAAATGCTAAAAGAACGGGTGTATTGATTACATTTTATTCGTTACTAGCTGTTTCCCGCGACTTCACCCGCGTCTAATAATTTATTACGATTGAATTTTATGGGTTTTAATTTTTTTACGCGGAACCCTAATTATTTTTCTAAAATGTAAAAGTGCTCTTAGTTAGTCCTTATAACATCAGCAATCTGCCTGTGAAAGTCCCGTCAAAATCGGTTCAGCCATATCGTTTTAATTTTTTTACGCGGAACCCTAATTATTTTTAAATGTAAAAGTGCTCTTAGTTACTCTTTATAAAATGAGCTATCTACCAGTGAAAGTCCCGTCACAATCAGTCTAGCCGTTTCGGAGATTAGCCGGAACAAACAGACAGACAGATAGATGGACAGACAGACAGACAAAAATTGTGTTTCTGTTATAGGTACCGTATATACTTTTATATGCAATTAGTAAAAAGCTGTTATTTTGACATTACAAACAGACAGTTCAATTTTATTTATTTGGAGTATAGATGTTAAAAATTTATTAACTAAGATCCGCGTAATAAAATAAATGATGTGTCTTACGCTAATACTGTAGATGACTTAGTCATCATCCGCAAGTCATCCAGCGGTCAGCTACCGTAGAGTCTTCTGATCTTCTTCTGACTTCACCTGAGGATGCCTCGTTTAGAGGCGAAACACGTGTCGTATTATCCACAGTGCTGTATCTTTCCTAGTTTTTTTATTATAGGATAGGGTAACAAACGAGCACACAGTCCACCTGATGGTAAGTGGCTGCTGTGGCCCATAGACATCTACATCCATCCTCGTTTGCGAATCAAAATGCAGATGCGTTTTCACCCGTGAGGACTAAGATGGAATGCCTCTCTTCCAGTAAAAAGGGTCTCGGGTTCTCTACACTCACCATACGAAACACAGCACTTTTAAGCTGCTATTTTACGCTGGTTGTGTGAGAGCGTGGTCCTTCCCCGGTCGAGCTGACCCATTCGTGCTACAACTCTACTACTAATATAAGTGAAGCATGGCTCTACCACGTATAGTTTCCCAACACTACTACACTAGTAATGGTGTTGGGATTAGTGGTGACGGGGATAGTGCACGAGGGAGGGCGGGAAGGGCTCTTCAAACAAGACACATCATTATATTTCATTACGCGAATCTTAACTAATTATTTTTTGACATCTTTAACTTTCAGTTCTTACAAAGCCTTTTCAAGCCTAGATTAACTAATATTGGATTTCGAAGTTTGGGCAATTTCTTTTGTTTTAGTTATTTACGACGGATGCCCACGATCGTTCTCAAACGGAGTTTGGTGGCCACGGACAAAGTTTGGTGTGGAGGCGGTAACTGATTGTCCTACAGGTACATATGTAAATACGTTAAGTTTAATAATTAATTAATGTTTGTAATTATGATTTTTTTATTCATCACATTAATTAATTTTCTATCGGTGTTTTTAATAATTTATACTTGCGATTGTTGTCACTCGGTGAAAATTGAGCTTCACTTATATGATAAGTATACACACTTGTACTTGTTTCACATGAATGCAATCCAACCAATTGCTTCAATTGAAACATGTACAAGTGTGTATTCTCAACACAAAAAAACGGTCTTTTTTAGTTATAATATTTTATAATATTTATCAAGTAAATTGTTAATGCTATTTTAAGTCCTAATTTGCCAAGTGCTCGATGGTTAAGAAAAACATTATGGCAGAAACTACTTGTCTAAGTAACAAACATTTTTCGAAGACATGTGAAGTTCATCAACACGCAGTGGAGCAGCACGGCTGTTTGATTAATCATTAACCCTCTCAAAAAGAGAGGAGACGGAGGGCGTATATAGACTCTTACTTGACTTTTTTTTATGCATATAATGTAAATAAATTGATACTTAAAAGTATTCCGCAGGTTCTAGCGGCAAAGCGACGCGTATCTGCGACGAAATACAAGTGATCCCGTGGCAAGAGCCCGATATGTTTAATTGTTCAAGTTCTACATTTTATCAACTCCGAAAACAGGTACAGCTTTTATTTTAAAATCATTACTCCTAATCATTAATCATTACTACATTTAATCCTGTATCTTGGAGACGTTTTGCATACATAAATTGCAGATGGACAAATTTCTAGACCCAGAACAATTATACGTACGTCATACCAATAGTTTTTTTCGAGTGGAGTTCAAAGTGTGGCCCATTCATAGTATTTTTTTATATAATAAGGGTGACAAACGAGCACACAGTGCACCTGATGGTAAGTGGTTGTTTAGGCCCATAGACATCTACATCTATCTTCAGTTGCGAATTAAAATGCAGATGCGTTGTCAGCCGCGAGAACTAAGATAGAATGTGCCTTTTCCAGTAAAAAGGGTCTCCGTGTCTCTACACTCATCATACGAAACGCATTAAGCTGCTATTTTACGCTGGTATCCTGTGAGAGCGTGGTCCTTCCCGGTCGAGCCGACCCATTCGTGCTACAACTACGAGTATACTATTAATATAACTGCAGCATGGCTCTACCACGTATAAAATATAGTAATATTGAATATTCATCACAACGTTAATAGTCTGGGTAATGACGTATGCAATTTATTTATTTATATTCGTAACGAATACGAGCTATTCGTGCTGCCGCTGTGGCAGGACTCCTTGCTCTGTAGTAGTCCGTCTGTATAGGTTTTTACCCTTTTACCTATATCTGTCACCAAATAGCAGTACTTGTACTGCTGTGTTCCGCATCGGAAGTGTACAGAGAGCCAGTTACAAGATATTTGACGGCTCCGTGGCGCAGTGGCTTAGCAATGAGTTGATGCGCTGGGAGCCGCGGGCTCGAATCCCGCACTGATCAAGTATTTGTATGGCCTACAAATAATTGTTCCAGGTCTGGATGTTTTTCCTTGTGCAATTTGTGTTTGTAAACTGCCTCTGCGATACAGGAGAAAATCCTAGTGTAGAGGTAACTTTTTTTTTTAAAAATTAAAGAAAGAAAAAGATATGAGGTATTACACCTAAGTCCTCAGAGGTGACAACGCATCTGAGCTTTCTTTGTTTGAAGTTGGTTGCAGGTGTCTGTTTGGTATGTTATAGACTTGCAATGAATATACGGCTATTATTCGGTATCCGGCTTATTCGTCTACTTTTATCCTATTCGGTCGAATACCGAATATCTAGGTACCATTCGTTCGAATACCTAATACTTAATAGTAAGAGGTTTTATTGTAGTCAGATAAATTAGTAAAATTAAAATATTTATTTATTTTGTAATTAATTTTTTCCTTAATCATTAAAGTAGTTATAGATACATAATCGACTTCCATATTATAAAAATAAAAAAAAATACAAAAGAACTATCAAATAAATAAATATATATAATCTTCGATTGCTGAAACTTGTGACGTGTAGACGTGTACTAAGATCGCTCCTTAAAATCATACAAATATTGTGGTAACAACATTAAAACAGTCAGTTAACTTAAGTGACTTTCATTGAATACAGCTTAACTCTGTATTCTCCTACAAATAACATGCAGTGTAGCCACTTATATATATCAATCAGGTGGACTGTGAATTCACAACATAATAATTTGCTACTGCATGACTCTACCACGTTCTTTTATCGACTTCGATGAGCCATGGTTTTATCACACACGCGACAAAATACTGTCATGAACTATTCTGTTTAATGGTAGTCAATTTTATTTTAGAATTCCTTATACTTTCAGCTACATAAAATAGAAACTGGAGAATTGACGGTAAATACATTCGTGGGAGTTCGGCTCGCGGACGACTTGGCAACGGCATGTATGAAAACAGCGCGACTCTACGGTGCAGATGTTCTCGTAGCCGAGGGTATCCTACTAGAACTGCTGCAGTACGAACTTCACCAAGCTGGACTCAACCTCACGCACAGTCAGGACAAGGACTACGTACGAGTGCGTATGCTTTGCGATTTGTCGTATTAAACGGGAGTCTCGCGCAAAGAGAATAAAGGATAATAACGAATTTTGATTTACAAAAAACTTCTTTTTGTTTGTATACCATGTTTTCATATTTTTTTACATTGTTATCCGATTCCGAGCTATATTAAAAATTTTAAGTCACTTGGTAATATGGAGTTTAAAATCAATTACTAAATAAAAACGTAGTAATAATAACTTCACACATCACTTTAAAACCTATTCAATTAAGAGCTATTTTACGTCTTAATACGTGGTCTATGGTTTCTGCACTTATTAGACGTATGATTGTGTCTTACTTTTGTATAGTAAATTAAAAAAATATTAATAGTATTATATTATTAAATTTTTCTGCATTTAATTTTGCTTCCACTATTTAGATATTTCTAAAAATTGATATACAGATTTTTTATTTCATAATGATATATATATTTATGTCACATATAAATAATATTATTGCCACTTCTAAGAGTTTAAAAAGTCTGCCAACACACATTGAGGCATGGCGGTCTTCCCTACACACTCAGAAATATAAGTCTTTATATTTTTTATTTTTAATATATCTTATTAATTATTAACTTTCTGTCAACAGAACACAATAAAATCGGCAAACACGATTCTGAACATCGAGTACGACAAAGAATGGCAACGCATAAGAAAACTAACCGGACACGGAGTAGAACGCTTGCTACAGATATTTGACAAGTACATATCAGTATTGGCCGAAAGCCAGCACGATACCTACACCAGCCCCTTTGAAATTGTTACTAGTGATTTAGGTATGTTAATATCTTTTAAAGCAAAACAAACGAACAAAACATTTCATGATGTTAACATTTTGTAAACCCTTTTCATATTTTACAGTTATTGGAGTGGACATAGTAACCGCCGAATCGATATACGGCTTCGAACCTACGCAACTCAATCGCTACAATACTGAATCGTTTACAACTGAACGTGTGGTACTACCAGATACTTCCTCCTTTATACACTCTCCCATACAGCCTGGTTACTATGGAAACGTCAAGGCAAAAACAAAGAAACTGTCGAGTCCCACTGTGTCGTTTCCTAAATACAATAACTACGTGAAAAATAAAAGCAAGTTCGACAAGTATTCGCGAGTTCTTCTGCCACTGGATTTACTTGGAATAAATAGTAATACAGAAGGTGAGTAGTAATAAGTAGTGAAATAAAAACAACTTTAAAGTCATTTCATCGTTATTGCACGCCTCATAACGCAAAGCCTTATAGGTGTATTTTACTCTCGACACGTCGAGGTCAAGCAATTTTGTGTTCTTAAATTGCCTCTATCATAACTATATTGCACTAATACAATAATATCGTCGTATATCAAGATAACACTCTAATTAATTCATCTTATACTCGTATTTTCTAAAAAATCATTTTATATTGCTACTTTGAAAACAATTTACATGGACTCCGGATGTCGATTTTGTATGATGTGGTCATGATAACTTCCGAAAAGTTGACGTATCGAGACTGGGTTTTTTATTAGCTTGAGAATTACATCAACTGGTTTCCTATTTCATATCAATAGCCTATTAAGCGTAGTTAGTTAATAAAATGATTTTCAACTTTTATAAGTCTTATTGCTATTAAAAATTTAATAAAAATTTTTTTAAGCATTTGATAGACAAAAGACAAATGTACCATACAGCCTAATTCGATTTTATACTTTGTGTAATCTATTTATTTTGGTGAACATTATTATTTTATCCCGTAGATAACAAAGGTAGTGTTAAAATAATAGAGCGCTAAATTTAATGCACGTAAATAATATATTTTAAAAGTCAGGAATACAATAAGTTTTTCTCATCAAAATTAAATGAAACGCTAAAGTGGCGTGCACTTTTGGATTTTCCAAACTATTTTTTATGAAATCGAAGTAACAAATGAACTTCCTGCACTGCTTCCGCAGCTCGTCGAGACCTGCAACCAGCTTCATATAAGAAAGACTATAGATACATTGTCACCTTTGAGGGCTATTATGGAATGGCTCCATCGTACGATTGTTGTATATACTATGTGGGAATTTGTTGTATTGTAATATTTTAAATTATTATTAGCATATGATAACATTTGTAAATATCAGTCATTCACATCTCACAAATACGAACAACGTTCATAATGCACTTACATTTTAAATGGTTCTGACCAAGAGCTTACGAAATGTTTTCCCATCTAACGCTCAGCCAATATTTGTGAAAAAGCCTTTAATGGGTCCAGATTTAGTTTGAGAGTACATTTGTGAATCCTGCAATCTTTACTTTATGATATTTCCTAGAATTCCTAAAAGATACATAAAATTGAGAACGACTATTAAGTTTACACATGTGTATGTATATATATAAAAATACTATTATCTTAAATCCCACTTGATTCAAATAATGTCTTCAGAATATACTGGATGAAAAAAGTAAACTTTTATTCCGGATACAAGAATAACGTTGACCCTAGCCTACAGTGTGCGATATATTTACTATCTATTTGTATTTTCTTTACAGAAAACATAGTTGCATCGTACGAATCACGCGCTGTATTCTCTTACCTTCAATATTCACGAAATACCTCACATTTAATGCCATTGCGCATGGACGATTCGGTTAGTCGACGATGGGGAGTTAATATCACCGTGGGCTCACCGATACTACAGCTAGCCCTGTTCGTGCCAGAGTTTGTGTGGAAAAAGGAAGCAAGTGACAATGAAAGCTTGGATGGTACGGAAGATATGATAGGTAAAAATCGTGTTTATTTCAATATTTGTCTAGTCTGATAAAATAATAGTTGTTAAACACGATATATTAAAAAAATATGGATGATAAAAACCCCTAGGACTGAGGTGACCACTATCAAGCTATTTCTAATTTGTTTTGTGTGTTTTTCCAAAAAAAATGTTGACAGAAGTATTTTCCGAATCAGTGGTAAATTAAACAGTAGAATTACTTTCAATGAATATTATTTATAATCTGTATAGAATTTAAAAAAAAACTATTTCTATTTCTTTAAGCCAAAGCAAAGAGATTTAAAATTCTTTCTACGTAAATTGTATATTCATATAAACGTGACTACATACATAAAAAATACTATGATAATATTATATTGACTGGCCTGTTGGTCTAGTGGTTAGTGACCCTGACTGCTATGCCGGAGGTCGTGGGTTCGATTCCCACCCAGGACAAATGTTTGTGTGATGAGCACGATCATTTGTTCTGTGTCTGGGTGTAATTTATCTATAATATGTATGTATTTAGAAATATATAAGTATGTTTATCAGTTGTCTAGTACCCATAACACAAGCTCTGCTTAGCTTGGGACTAGATGGCGTTGTGTGATAGTTGTGGAATATTATTATTATTATTATTATTATAAGACCCTTCAAAAGTTGTCTGTTAAACGGAAATCTTACAAAAACTGAACAACTAAATGACAACTATAATCCCACAGAATATTTTTGTTGCCTAATGTTTTCTTGTTAAATACCAAAAATTAAAACATTTCAGGCGTCGTCTACGCTAATAAGGGCCACAATCATCAAACTCACACAAATCATATCGGTTCAAACACTCACTCCAGGAATCCCTGGCCTAATTCAAATGACGATGAAAATTTGAACCATGAAAACCATGGACCCGTTGTTATACAACCAGCTTTTAAAAAACAAGATAAAGTTAGCGACTCTGAGAATTTACAAGAAAATAATTCCATGTATGGAGCCGAGAAAGCTGCTAAAGTTGACAGTATGGATAATCTAAAAGTAATGGCTCTGGTAATGGAATCAAATGACATAAGCAAAGAAAGCGCTAATTCAAGCAAGGAAATCAATACAAAGAAGTTGATATACAAAAGTTTAAGTGGTATAAGGTTGAAAAAACCAATACGGTTGCAACTATGGCTAGACATAGACAGAGAAACATTCGGAACACGAACTAATCCACAATGCGTTCATTGGTCTACGTTAAGAGGGTAAATAAATCACTTCAGTATCATTATTAGTGGAAAATCTTATTTATCTGTAATATTTTTTGGCAATTTCTTGAAACTTTTGTTAATGTGATTTTTAGGTCTGGAGAGTGGTCCCGAGTAGGTTGCCACACAGAAATAGACTATGACTGGTCTCCATACTCCGACGAACCTTTGCTCATAAATTGTACGTGTAATCATTTATCAACGTTTGCAGTGTTGGTTGACGAAGTTGATATTGAGGTTTGTTATTTATCAAAGTAAACTCGTAGGTTTATAAGACATCCTGTTAAGATATCATAGACGAAACAATTTTTCAAGAAAAAATCTTAATATTTTGAACTTAAGAAATCAATTATTCATTTTATTTCACTTGATATGACTTAATTCTTCCCTCTCCATTCCACCGGCAGGCAGCCAGACGCTTAACGGGTCTCCACTTCTTTGTTATTGATATTCCATCCGTTGGAACAAGTTTTTTTAAGGCTGAAGTGACAAATGAACCCACAGTCCACCCGATGGTTAGTGCAGACAACTTCAAACAAAGGAGGTTATAGATACGACGTCAACCCTGACGAATAAGACAAGATGGGTCACAGCCTGTAATTATATTGGCTCCCTTATACCTTACTGGGGCACAGCAGAGCATATACTGCTATTTGGCGGCGGATATTGGTTGGAGAGTGGTGCCTACACAAACGTGCTCCTAGGCAAAAAAAGCGTCCTACTAATTAATTACGTAATAATATACAGCATTTATTGATGCGTTCAGCAAGGAGCGAAAGACTGTGTCAGCATCTGCCTCTCCCTTCCATTAAAAAGTATTCTTTAAGGCAACGTGAATAAGGTTTTTAATACGCTAAGACAGTTTAATTTATGACCTAGCCTAGGGCTTCATTACCACCAGTTGAGATTACAATACACGACTACAGTCAAGCATTGTTTTTTTTTATAATTGTTTATCTTAACTCTTTAACATCAAGTATTAACTCTTATTCTTTGCTTTTTATCACACAGTTCATACCTGAGCCATCACTCCTTGAATCAGTTACGTCATATACAGCATTTAGTATCTCTCTCCCGCTCTTGTTTACTACATGGGCCGCTCTCTGTCTCATGCGCGGAGGCGCAGCTACCGTCTCCAACTCCATACACAAGCACCTTATCTTTTGCATCTTTATGGCTGAACTTCTCTACTTAATTGCATTGAAAGCAAGAAATTCTTTGGTGCAAAATGAGGTAAGTTAAATAATTTATACATATCTAGCTTGTAATACATATTTTTTAATTTCAATTGTTTATTCAATGTCGAAAATACTATGTCCTCATCACCTACACCTACCTATAAAAAATATCATAACTCTTTAAAACAAAAACATCTTAAAATCCATTCTTGACTTTATTTCACATAATATAGGCGTCTAATTAAAACTACTGCGATTTCTCAATATGCAAATAATCAGAAAACATTAGTACCTAACAACAAAGAAGGTAAAGCAACACTAAAAGACAAAACTCGGAGAAAGCAATAAATGTGTACCTACTTGTTTGCATTAACAACCAATACCTAAAGTGTAGGACATTACTCGTCGATGTAAATTTAATTATTATTGATAATTTGATAATGTTTTGTTTTAATTGAAAACTTACTAAATTATCGGAAATCTAGTCATTTTCTGAAGCGTAAAAAAAATTCTTTGTTTTTTTTTTATTAAAAAAAATACGTGTGTGTAATCACAGACGGTAGAAGTGAAACCTCCAAATAAAAATGACATATAAAACAAAAATATTTCACAGCAAATGATTTATTATTTTGTTAATTTTCTTCCACAATTGCGGCGTAAAATATAAGATAAATGTTTAATTTTATGGGAAATAAATATTACAATCCTTATTTTTAGACCTGTAGAGCCTAAATTTTAGTGTATAAAATAAAAAGAATATTTTATTACGACTAAAATTTGCGTTGTAATAGCGACGTCTACTTCATTCTACAGGTAAAATCATTTTATCGAACAAAAATTAGATTGCCTAAACACTACTAATTTAATATAAATCGGCAAGGTATTATGAAATGGATTGTTAAAAATAGTTTGGATATGAGAATTTTATTCAATATAATTAATTTTATATCGTTGATAATAAATTTGTTATTCTTTAATTTTTTATTTTTTATAGGTGTTCACTGCTGGTTTCTCTCCCGCGCCCGTAGCGGAGTGTTGAATTATTTTAATTTTTATCTCTTGAACTATACGTCCACATAACATGTAACGAGCGTAAGGATTAATATGCGATGCCTAATAATAACGCTCATAAATTACTTTTTCATTTTCAATATTTATGTCATATATATATACCCTATTATGGCTTATGTATAAGAAATAGGCCTTACGCCATCGCACGCGGATAAAGCAGTTCGGGGGCGCTTTTTCTTCCGACTTGCTTAACAATATTTAAGACTAGCTGAGAGGTGTAGCCTAATGCTAAACAACCTATACTATTTCTCATGAATCTAGATATCATATACAAATAGAATTTATCAAATCGGACTAGTAGTTCCAGAGATAAGCGTGTTTAAACAAAAAACCTCTTCCCATTTATCATATTAGTATAGATTCTATCTCATTCTATCTATCTATATATTCTATCTATATAGATTTATATATTTATCAGATAGTAATTACTACCTTCGGCATATTGCTGCCCCCGTTTTTATGTTTAAATAATGGCTGGTAGTGGAGTTTGATACGTCAAAGTAATACAATATATGTATTTAATGTCTGCGCATGTGAAATATTAGTGGAAATGACGAAGCATGAGCTGCAACCGATCATAAAATAAGGCTCCAGCTATTTTGTCCTATTACACGCTTTAAGAACTTAATATTGTCGTCATCGACTGTCTGCTGAGTTAAGCTGTCGACAAAATCTCTCAAAAACTTCTTAATGTGACGTATCAACATATTATTTTAAAGAAATTTGTTAACATATTAATCTTAACACTTTCACTGTCCGATTTTCAGACACAATAGCAAGCAAATGGCAGTGATATGCAGGTCACGGGACAGGGAATGGGTTCATAATATGTAAAATGTATTATAGCGCTAAATCTATGTACAAATAAGTAAAATTGAAGTGTCTGTTTTTAATGTCAAAATTACAGCTTTTTACTAAATGCATATGAAAGTATATACGGTACTAATAACAAAAATAAAACTTTTAAAATTTTTGTCTGTCTGTCTGTTTGTTCAGGCTAATCTCCGAAACGGCTGGACCGATTTTGACGAGATTTTCACTGACAGATAGCTGATGTCACAAGGAGTAACTTATGCTACTTTTATTTTAGAAAAAGAATTAGGGTTCCGCGCAAAAAAATTAAAACCCCAAATAACACGCGGGCGTAGTCGCGGGGAACAGCTAGTAATATATAATAGCCGAGAACCCGTTGGTGTAGCAAGATGCGACAGAGAGAAACTAAAACATGAGATGAGCGGCCTCATCTTCCAGATAACAGATAAAAACTTTAAAAAAACTATAGAAAAAACTGTGGCTGCCAACACGCCTGTCAAGCGTGACAACTATGGTAAAATTCCCCCTGTGAAGCAATCTATGGGAGAGGCCTATGTGTTGCAGTAGCCTTTTATAGGTTGTAATGGATAATGGATAGCTCTTGATGTATACTTTGTAGTTGAACACTTTGTGGCTATGCCCCAATAAATGAAAGAGAAGGTTCTATCAGTAATATATTTAATAATGTTACGCTCACCAGATGTCGCTATACGGAAGTAAGGTGAAATTATTTGTTACATAATGTCATTATAATTGAGAAGTTACGTTTTAAATAAAAGTTTATCCGTTTCTAGAGTATATAAATACACAAAACAAAACCTCAGTGGTTTGTTCTTTTAAATTTTTCTACTTTAAGAAATATCCGTAGTTTGGTTTATCCATTTCTAATGTAATTAATATAAAATAAACCAATATTTCAGAAAGTAATATTAACCTTTATATTTTCCGAACAAACTTAACTCCTTCGGTGCTCGTCTAAAATTTCACCATATTCCTAAGTGTGGTGCAAGGTTCAGTTTGCGTGCAAGGTGGTAACGATGATTGCCAACACTCAAGAGGCTTAGTAGCCAATGCTGCAGTATATAAAAAACGTGTGCAGTTTGCACGCGGTAGAAGTGAAACCCTTTAGAAAAGAACACCCAGATAATGGGAAACACTGTAGAGTGTATTCTATCTCATTTTCTCTCAGGCTAAATTCTATAGATGTATATATTTGTCTCTTTGTAGTGTCACTTTTGCGTTTAGTCTTGTTTCAAATAACAACGATTCTAAAGAGATTTTCAGTGCAATAAATTGTCGGTTGGTTGTGCAGTTCGCGTGCAAGGTGGTGGCGATGTCGCTGCACTACTGGTGGCTGGCGGCGCTGGGCTGGGCGGCGTGCGACGCGTGGCAGCTGCGGCGGCTGGTGCGCGAGCTGCGCGACGTCAACCACGGCGGGCTGGGCGCGCCGCTCGCCGCCGCCTACGCCGCGCCCGCCGTCGCGCTCGCGCTCGCCGCCGCGCACCGCCCGCACCAGTACGGCAACGCGCTCTTGTCAGTACCGACACTTCACTTACTGGATACTTATACGTTATAACTGGGATGCGGGAAGTAAACACTATGTAAGAACCTCCGAAGGAGGCGAAGTTATAGCCGAAATAAGAATTTTTGGTTTTTGGGCATTGTGACCCCCTAGGAGTGTAATTAGAACTTTTTGCCCCTATTCAGCCATAACTCCCATGACACATGATAGGCTATTCAAACTGACTAGGCCTAAAGTTCGAGTCACCCACCACCTCATTTTTAGTATTTAATTCCAATAAGCAGTCTCATATAAATTATATATTTATACGTGGTAGAGCCACGTTGCAGCTATATTAGTTGTAGTTGTAGCACGAATGTGTCGGGTCGACCAGGCTAGGACCACGCTCTCACAGAATACCAGCGTAAAATAGCAGTTTACGGCTGCTGTGTTTCGTATGGTGTGTGTACAGAACTGGAGACCCTTTTTATTGGAAACGAGCATTCCATCTTAGTCCTCAGGGGTGACAACGCATCTACATTTTGATTCTTAATCGAAGATAGATCTGGATATTGATAGGCCACAACATTCACTTACCATCAGGTGGACTATGCGCTCGTTTCCCCCCTAATCTAATTCTACAAAGGATGGAAGTAAGGGATAGACAGAGGAAAGAAGATTCTAATTATAACAAAAATTATAAAAACAAAATATTATCCTTGAATATTATTACGCTTATAATTTAAGTACTTACCTAACTCAATTGTTTTATTATACTAATCAGATTTTTTTGTGAAAGCTAATATACTATCGACCATTAATAATACCGTTATACATTTACGATAATATTAATGGCGGACTATTTCAAATTTCGAATTTTATAAGGCTGCCAAATGTCTCACGCGTCAAATATATTCCAAAGGATGGAATGTAAAGTACTTTTAATGGTTTTAGTTGTTGGGTAAGCTGCCACGAGCCAGTTGTTTGGTGGGTGGTGATTCCTGCTGCAGTGTATGCAAGTGTTGCACTAATATTCCTCACGGGCGCCACACATGCTGCATTTACTGTTAGAGACCACGTCACTGGTTTTGGAAACTTGAGGTTAGTATTGTTTAAAATATAAAATTTATTTAGTAGTTCATATTACTCCACAACTGGCGAAAATGTAGATGTTTATGGGCCACAGCATGCCACGTACTTTAAGGTGGATTGTGTTCTCGTTTGTCTCCTTTCATCATCAACATCGTCATTATCATCACTTCACACCATTCACTTCACTTCTTTCCGACGTAATAAATAAAAACTATCTTCGTCACTCGTTTACATGGTTTTAATCTATTACCGTTAAAAAAGGAGGTTCTGTTGTTCGAAGAAGAAAACGGTACTCGAGCAATAGATGTTCGATCCTCGCAGGCAGCAACGAAATTGTTAATATAATTTTAAAGTGGAGATTAAAGTGTCTTTGTGGTAACGGGAAACATTTTAAGGAAACAATGACTGAAAAATAAAAATATTTCAAAAAGACATGTTAAGTCCGCCAACTCGCATTGGGAGCAGCGCAGCAGACATTTCCTTGCCCTAAATCCTGCTAGAAACGAGAGTGTCTTGTACCATGTGGGACGATATAGCCTTCGAAGGCCCGTCAAGTTCGCCAACACACATTAGGGCAGCGCGGCGGACATTTCCTTATGCTAAACTTCCTAGAAAAGGGAAGGGCCTTTACAGTATGGGACGTATATTAGCTTCGAAGACCAGTGAAGTTCGCCAACGCACATTAGGGCAGCGTGGCGGAAATTTCCTTGCCCTAAAGCCCTTTTTCGGCTCAAATTTCAATCGTTTCAATAACTTGATATGAGAGTACTGTTTTATTTGCAGTAACCATGCTTTGCACCACTGTTCACGGTGTCTTCGTTTAAATTTTCTTTTCTTTAATAAAAGAAATAATAAACCTATTAACGCTACTGTGTCGAGATCAAGCGCCGTTGCCGGTGCCATGGTTTCAACTGAGAGTTTGTAAAGGTTTACCGCTACGTGTATGGTCTCTACTCAGAAGCTTACATGTCCAGTTGAACTGTACAGTACACCCTAGCGTGTAAGGCTTGCTTTAGAGATAAGAGGAGGCCAGTGCCGTGTGGGATATATAGGCTGTAACTAGTGTAGTGTTTGCGCTACCGCTACGGCAGGATGCTGCTGGCAATAAGCGTGGTGTGCCTGCCGCTGCTGTGCGTGTCGTGGGCGAGCGCGCTGGTGCTGGGCAGCGAGGCGGGCGCGCGGCGCGCGGCGCTCAGCGCGCTGCTGGCGGCCGCGGTGGCGCTGCACGCCGCCGCCGCCGCGCTCGGCCACGTGCTGCTCAACGTGCGCGTGCGCGACAACCTGCGCAGGTACTCACTACTCAACCCTCATCGCTACTCGCTACCATGCTCTTTCTAAATGTTTACTATTTAATTACACAACATATTTTGGTTTGCTGCTGTATTCTTTCTCTTATAATTTTTTCAAGTTTTATAAACTTTATTACCTCCATCTTCGATTGTTCGTACCATCTGTATGCCGATGACCTTCAGCTATACCTGCAAGATAAAATTGGGGATGTCCATAATGGGATTATAAAATGAAACGACAACTTATTAGCTGTCAAAGATTGGTCTACTCGTTATGGAGTTTTGGTCAATCCTTTTTTTCCAAACTATACTTGTGGGTAGCTCAAGGATACTAGCTAAGATTAACCTTGCAGACTTACCTCCCATTTATTACAATGGTACTATAATTCCGTTCAGCAGTCTGTAAAAAATCTTGGCCTACACATTGACAGCATGCTGAATTAAATACTCAGGTTTCGGAAGTGACTTGTAAAAGTCATTGCCACGCTATGTTCTCTATTATTATATCGAAAAGCATTTCAAACTTAGTAATCTTCAACGACATTATCGATACTTTGATATCGAAACGGTAACATTCCTAAAACGAGGTTATGTTTATTAGTGTCACCTACTGGGGAATAACTAAAATGTTGTCTTAATAAATGTTTAGCATTGTTTTACTATCTTTAGCTAGAGGGTGCCACACGCGCGCTAGCTCAATGTTTTTGTATATAAATGTTCCCAATGTCCGCTCTATAGTATACCTATATATTTAAATCTCTTTGGGATGCCACCATCCATTGAGTTATATGTCCTACGTACTAGAGAAGCTATTCCAAACAAAAATTGTGCTCTACTCTATGTCTTCGCGCATGCGCGAAGACTTTAATTTAATATAAAATAAGATATTAATTTATAATAAATATATCAATTTAATCTAAACAAACATATTTCTAAATAAAATGTAATAGTAAGTAGTAGTCTTATGGAATTCACAAATCTTCAATTTACGCAATATTTAGTTTAGTGTACGATACGGCCGACGTATCTTGGCGAGTCCGACCTTCGCGCAGAAGGTTGCGCAATAGCTTTTTTAAGGAACAAAATGGTGGCATGAGGCGACGTACGGGGGGCGGTGGTCTAGGCTAGAGATTGACCATAAGTAAACACAATCGACCCTTTAGTCATAAAATATCGCAATCGATTAGTTTTATTTAGAAGTTATTGATTTTTGTTTATATAAGATATTAAACGAAATAGATTTACAAATATAGTGAATTTTGTTGATAATAAACAAGATTTCGACTTAAATAAAAAAAAAAAACTAAAAACATATTATTTTCTCAGCTGAAAGACATAATGTACTTAAATATCAATTATCTATTAACGTCTTCTTGAGTAACGACTATTTGAGAAAATTTAGAACCTCCTTATAAATTGCAAATAAATATATTTTTATGTCTTAATTTTAATCGATTTGAATAAAAATCGATTAAACAACACCCTCAGGCACGCGTGTTGGACATCCCTTTCTGGTTACTTCGTAAAGCTTCGTGCTTATTCGGCAATGCTCGGTACACGGTAATATTTCTCAGTCACACGTTAGCATTGGTGTCGTGTTCGTGTCGCTATCTCTGTCTTGAGCACAGTCGGTTACAAAAGTTTTCGTTGTTATTGTTGTTTGTTTTTATTAATAGTGTTAAGTTTGTTTTGTTTGTTTTATTTGTTTTATTTGTTTTATTTGCAAGTGTCAGTTAGCACTTATATTATTCGCCAAACATGCCACCAAAACATAACAGTGTGTTAAATCGCCAGGCGAGAAAAATTATTTACGATTTAACGCAATATATGAAAAAAGAAAAAGAAGAAGGCGTAAAAGATGTCGATAAAGTTTATTTAAGAGTTGCTAACGCAACTGGTGTGTCCCAACGCACAGTACAGCGGATCGCAACTGAAGGCAATATTTCGGGCTTACTTTCAGTATTCCGCACGCCTGGTAAAAAAAGGTCTAGATCAAAACCTATTACTGATATGGATAATTTTGACCAGGGAGTAGTAAAAAGATGCATACACAACTTCCACAAAACTGAAAAAGAAATGCCGACGATAAACAAATTACTAGCGAAACTCAAACGGGATATAAATTTTCAAGGTGGTAAAACGAGCTTAAAGACAATTATCAAAAACTTGGGTTTCAAGTGGCGAAAGACCGAAACCAATAGAATGGTTCTTATAGAGAAGACCGACATTCGCCTGAAAAGGATCTTGTACTTGAAGGCAATGAAAAAATACAGGGACGAAGGGCGACCAATTGTATTCACTGACGAGTCGTATGCCCACTCATCACATACAAAAGGTAAGGCGTGGTCAGATGGTTCCGCTCAAGGACTAAAGCGCCCGATATCAAAAGGTCAGCGGATAGTGATGGTACACGCTGGGTCAGAAGCAGGGTTTGTTCCGAACGCGCTACTAATGTTCAAATCTGGCAGCAAAACCGGAGACTATCATGATGACATGAATTTCAAAAATTATGAGAAATGGTTACGGACCCAACTGATTCCAAATTTGAGCCCTAACTCGGTGGTGGTTATCGATAATGCTCCGTACCACAACAAATTAATGGATCCTGCCCCTACATCTAATGACAAGAAGGCAAAAATGGAATCGTGGTTATTAGAAAAGGGTATACCATATGAAAAGGACATGCGTAAACCACAACTTTACGATCTAATAAAAAAAAACAAAGACGTGAATAAAAAATACGTAATAGATGAAATGTTTAAACAAAACAACCACGATGTCCTTCGTTTACCCCCATATCATCCCGATTTAAACCCCATCGAGATGGTGTGGGCTGCCATTAAAGGGCACGTAGCCGCTAAAAACGTCGACTGGAACGTAACCCGGACAATGGAGCTCATACAAGAAAAAGTAAATTTAATGGGTCAGAATGAATGGAGTGCTTTATGCAGAAAAGTGCAAGAGGTCGAACATGACTATAGGAAGAGCGACCATATTATTGACGAAATGACGGATCAATTATTCATCATTAATACAGCTTCAGATTCAGAAAGTGAGTCTGAAAGTGAGAGCGACGATTACGAAGATGAACCTATGCCAAGTACCTCACATGGTACACAAGGGGCCGACGACTTTATGTTAGGAATTTCCCCCCTCAGCGACAGTGATTAAATAATAATAAGTGTAAATAAATAAAAAGTATTAAATGTAAATAATATTGTATGTGTTTGTGATAAAATCTGCCCCTATCGAAAGGTGAGGTATCAAAATTGAATCTTTAATTTATAATGTCTCCAAAGTGTTTTGATATTTTTGGTCACTGTATTAGGGAAATTTTATTTGTACATTGGTATATATAAAAAAATGACAATAACAGTTTTCTTCACGAGTGTTCATGCGCTAAACTTCGCAGAGCCTATATTCAGACTCGCCAAGATACGTCGGCCGTATTATACGGATTGCAGTACAGTTCAGTTGAACATAGTCAATGTTCAGAATGCGAAATCTAGTGCGTAGTACACATATATATATATATATATATATATATATATATATATATATATATATATATATATATATATATATATATATCGATGCCACCATCAATATTGTTTGTTACCTACCAAAAGCAAGTACATTTCACAATATAATTTGTCAAATAGACATTAAAAACATTATCCAAGTTTATATGTTACACTCTCTTCTCTGCCTGTATTTTTTATACGAAGTAAGTAAAACATACCTTTTCTTTCAGAACCATTTTGAGATGCCTTGGCAAGAAAGTACCGCTGGCAGACACGTCAGTAATCATCAGCACCAGTGCGCATAATATTTCTCAAGTGAACAGGTACCTCTAATTTAATTTAAATCTTAAAATATCTTAATGTATAAATTTTAACAGAGCTGTGGTAATTTAGAGGCTAAGGGCTTGCTGTATAATATCACAATACAAAAACCCGAGTTCGATACCCACCGACATCAATGAAATTGCTAATTGCATGTTAAGTACTAATGGCAATTATGTGCTAATTTGCCACATACTTGGCAGTGAAGGAAAATATCTAGAGGAAACTTGCATGTTAGAAATAAAAAAAAAATATTTCGGAGACATGTGACGTTCGTCAACACGCATGGGGCCTGCACGGCGGACATTTTCTTACCCTAAAACCCTTTCAGAAATGAGAGGAATCCTGCGCTCGAATATAGCCCTGTGTATAGGCTTTAACTTCACTTTACTTATACCAATTTAAAAATAACTACTAATAAAAAATAACAACATATTATATACTTTAATATCCATATTATGATATAATAGGATTAAAAAATAAATTTAATGTGTATTTTAAAAGCAGTTCTAATATTTTGGACTTGTTTTCTTTACTGTCGATCACGTGGCAAATCAACTCTTAAATTGCAATTAACAACTTTATTAATGCTAGCAGGCAAAGATATGCGCGCATATTGTGAAATTTACGAGTAAAGCAAGCTCCTGAACAACTACAGCTCTTTAGTACCACATTTTACATTGTAGTTATTCTTACGATCTATGTTACTTTTATTAATTCCTAATAGAAATATCATGCATTAAGCACAAAACTCACCTAATAGTTAGCGGGTACTAGGCACTTGTGAGCCGTGGTATCTCAGATGGTTAGCGCTCGCTGTAAGCTTCACAGTACTCGAGCAACCCGGGTTCGATCCCTGCCGGCACCAATGAAATTGTTAATTGCAATTATTTTAAGTGTTGATTTACCACGTGCTTGGCGGTGAAGGAAAACATCGTGAGGAAACCTGCATGTCTGAGAAATAAGAAAAAAAATATTTTGAAGACATTCGAAGGTCGCCAACACGCACTGGGGCAGCGCGACGGACATTTCCTTGCCCTAAAACCCTCTCCGAAATGAGTGGAGGCAGCAGTGGGGCGTAAATAGGCTGCAACTTTACTTTTTTTTACTAGGCTCTTATATATCTACGATTAAGAATAAAAATTTAAGCCGAAATATGAAATCAAATATAAATTATAAGTTTTTGACCTCTAGGTCAGCATTAGCGTATCATAGTGGCACGGAGTCCGGTCGTCAACTACGGAACATTGGCATATCGGCGTCATCAACAACTTCGAGGTCTACAACAAAAACCAGTTCTAGCCCTTACAGGTAACGTTACATGGAAAAAATAATAAAAACTGGTCCTTTTTACTATGAAACAAAAGCTTTTCCAAAACGTGACATTTGACGTATTCTATATTATGTGGACTTTCTTGTCCTGTGTCTGTTAAGTTATAACTAACTTACTTACTTGAGAAGTAATTACTTGACTTTCGATAAGTATTATGTAATTATCTACATTGAAACACAAATATTCTACAAAAAAACAACAACGTTAAGTAAATTTAAACTGTGGTTATTTCTTTGTATAAGTAAAGTAAATAAATCCAAAGAAATTACAAACTACATTGCGTTCGCCTTTCCATTTTTACAAATACTGTATAAAAAGGGTTATTATAGTATAAATAAATACATGGTTGATAATAACCCCTGGGAATGAGGTGGTCGCTTCCAAGTTGTTTCTAAAATATATTTTGTAAATACAACCATTCATGTATAATTTACTTAAAAAAGTGCCGCTGGTTCTTCCCAGGACAAAGGATTTTTTTCGAACCAATGGTAAAGTGAAAAATGACTTTCAATAAGAATTACACATGTGATCTGTATTGAATAAAAAAAATATTCTAAATTATTCTAATTATTTCCATTTCCTTATTATTTTTAAGATATTATCTTAATTTCGTCTTTATTAAATTCTTCATTATTAAGAAAATTTTTAAAGTTATCATAGGTTTAGGTTCGACAGGAACTAAAATTTAAAATCTTTGGTACAGCCGAAGCGACGGTCAACTACGTCATACTAGTACATCTACGTCCAATTACAACACCAGTGCAAGCGATATGCCTGCTTACTTGAGAGGTTTCGACTCATCTCTTCACACTCGAAAGGACGGTAAGCACAACCTATATCCTGCTCTATTGGAAGACGAAACTAACTCCATACGGCTTGAATTATTTTTTGGTTTTTTTTTCACCTTTAACGTTTGTAATTATCAGTAATTTAAAAACCGAACAGCGCAGCAGCTGCTACTATATCTGCTGTATAAACGACATAGAACCCTGTAACTGTAGTTAGTGGAGCCTCAACATTTTTTTATAAAACTGAAGTGAGAAGCGAACTTACAGTCCACCAGATGGTTAGTGGCCACTGCAGCCTATGAACACATGCAGCAACTTCATACAAACAAGGTTACATATTTGTAGTCAAGTGCTTTCAGCTTGTAGTTACTATGTAGCATACATAGTAATTTGGCAAGTACCGTAAAATAATACTGTAATTAATTATAGTAAAATAATCTTATTCATATTTATTGTCAATGCTTTGTTTAAGTTAGGCTTACAACGAATATTCGGCTATTATTCGGTATTCGGCCTATTCAGCTACTTTATTCCTATTCGGCCGAATACCGAATATTTGAGTAAAATGTTTTGTTGTAGTCAGATAATTGGTTAAATAAAAATATTGATTTATTTTATAATGAAATATTTTTATTATAATCATTAAAGTAGTCACACTAGGTACATAATCAACTTCCGTTTTATAAAAAGTAACAAAAAAAACTATCAGATAAATGTCTATACACTTGAATTATCATAAGTAATTAAAGTGGAAGATTATGGTACAGAAAGACTACTTTATTTCTTTTTTCAGGCAGTATTTTATTAATTTTCTTCTCATAGACAATGCCCGATTCCGAGAATAGAAGCTCTGAATAAAAAACAGTACTTCCTTCCCGACCGAATACTTTTACCGGGCGTGTGGCCAAATATGTTGCAAGTCCAGTTTAAATACATGAAAATCTTAACCTTGAACATTTTAATTTTGTTACTCTCTCTCTACTCTCTTATATAATATAATAGATTACAATAGTTGATCATCTGACCTACTATGGTAATCTATTACAAGTGATAGCCTCGAAAATACTATATTTGAAACAAATTGACAACCCTAATCACGCCCCGCGCCATTTTACCCTAAGCACAGAATAAATAATAGTACAACGTACCCTAAGGGCGGCTACTGACGTGCCTGCCGCAGGGGCAATCTAGGGTGTAGGAGTGGGGATGACCGTTAATTGCCTCCTTAATTGTGATGTGTGTAGGCAAGCAGGGGCAATTTTTTAAGTCGGCCCTGCGGCTGGGCGGCAGGAGCGCAAGACCTTCCTTGCTCCCTAGATTGGCCCTGCCGCTGTCGCGTGCGTAGCGAAATTGGAGCAATTTCAATCAGTTCGTTGCGACTTTCGCGCGGAGCACACATATGAGTACAAGTCAGAACCGCAGAAAGAACGTCATTTGAACGTAACTTACAAGTAACATTACTGGTATTTGTTACCTAACTTATCATAAGGGCTAGTATGGGAAAGAATATATTACAATAGTATTAAAATTGCTGGAATATAAATAAAATGTCATTAACTAAATAATTATACAAAAACACAAATTTTAGTAATTAAATTTATTAAAACTCATCATTAGAAAACTATCCTGGCTATTTGTAACACTAGTTAAATTATAGTTACTAAGCACTAGTTAGTTAAGTTATATCACAGAATAAATTGGTTATATTAAATTATGACGAGTGAAGTTAGTCATATTTAATTGTCTTTGATAGCCTAAAAATAGCGTGGCAGAGCTATGCTGCAGCTTATAAGCACTATATTGTTTGTAATTATTAATTAATTAATTGTTTTATTGATAAATGTGGGTGTCTATGGGCCACAGTGTCCACTTACCATCAGGTGGGCTGTGCTCATTTGTCACCCTTATTCTATATAGAAAAGAGCCAAGGCTATATATACCGATTCATTGATATTTCGATAAAACTGGCGCCATTATCAACATGTGCATCCAGCGAGACGTACACTCTCATACTCATACTGAACGGCAGGCGTGTGTGCAATGTTGCCAACTTCAATTTGGACAAGTCACTAGAAGTACCATCGAATCTCGCTAGATTATGAGAATTCAGGATATTAAAAATTCTTTAGAATTCCCTAGATCCTACTTAGTCATGATTACTCATCATATCATCATAAAATCGTTATTCTTCACAGTATTTCATTAAATGGACATAAACATGAAATAAAAACACGTTAATGTTTCAATTATTTTTAATATTTTTTAGTTTAAACATGTTAAAGTTATAGTTCTTAGTAAGAAGTTTAAAATTTTTATTATTAATTTTTCAATTTTTAATCAAACGTTCAAATATCCACAGAATCATCAAGAATTAGGAATAATTCGTCGTCAATCACGTCCGCCCCGTCCACCGAAACTTCTGCTCCCGATGATGTTGATGTTGACGGCATCGGCAATATGGCAGTAGTGCCATCACCTTACTTTTTAGAATTTTTAAATGAATACTTTTTAACTTTTCCTATTTCCGCAATTACTTCTTCTGGGAGTTCGTAGGTGTAGTAGCATTGTTCATTCATAACTTTTAGCCTATTTTTAATAAAGAGAATGCTGTTCAAAGTGCTGATGTTCATCCTGTTTCTTAATTTGCTTTTGATGATATTCATAGTACTGAAAATTTTCTCTACAGTGGCATTGGAGTTAGGAAGAGATATCACTGAGATTGCGAAATCAGCTAATTCTTGGAAACTATTTATTCCAGCTGAGTTTTTGTATTCCAGAACTTACACCCAGAAACTAATTATATTTTTTGTATTCTGCCATTTAACAAAGTTGATGGTCTGCCATTGCTGCAAAAGTTTATCAATTGTTTCGGCATCCACACCCATTTCAGAAGCTAGTTCTGTAATTTAGTTGTCTTTTACTTGTCGAAGTGTGTTTTCAACACTAAACTGAGACATTTTCTCTAATGTAGTGAAGTTACTTGGTAGCCTCTGCTGAATTTCTTTTACCAGTTTAATGTTAAAATCAATGCACCGTTTTCTAACAGCATTTGTAATTTCAACAGGCAATGCTGATTTGCTCGCCTGCGTTTCAAATAAATACCCTAAATATAGGCGAAGGGTTCAGATGCTCTTCAATTTGAATACGTAAAAAATCATCATTGGCGGTTGCAGCTGATGGCATCATTATTCTTGTACAAACGGAGCGTAGAAGCGTCATCAAAATGCTAAGCAATGCCACAGGGTTACAATCTTCGCTTTCAAAACTTTTTACTCCTATTTGGACGTCATTCAAAACGCTTCTCAAATAACAGAGGTACAAGTGATTAGACTCGTCCGAAAACATTGCGTGAAGTATGTCAGAGGTGTAACATTTATCTCTAGCAAGTGAAAAATGTAGTTTTAAGTCATCCCACTGCGACAAAATCCTCGTTACTGCCTGCTCTACTGACAGCCAGCGGGTCGCACAAGATCTCAACATTTTCAAAGGATTCTCGCCACAATTTATTAACTGGTACAGTTCTTTGTACTCTTCTTTGCGTTAAGGTGAATTTGAAAACCAATTGTGAGTTTGAGAGAACCACTTTTTCATAGTTTCAGTAAGGTGATCAATTTGAGATATGGCAGTATGTTCTGTTATAAAAAGACCTAACCTACCTTCCGCTCTTAAAACGTTTAAATCCGTCTTGGGTTGTGGTTTGGGGGTAGCTGAAAAATCAATACTTCTGTTTGTAGATATAGTATCACATTTATCCTTATATTTCTTTGACTCAGCATGTTTTCGCAAATCATTTATCCTTGCTTGTAAATCCGTCCGGCAATACGCACAAGGAGCTTTCCTAGGGTCTGTCACAACTGGTTTAAGCCACATTTTAATCTCCTCAATCGTTTCCCATTCTTTACGATATTTTTGGCCATAAACTTTCTTTTTCGAAGGAATTTCCATTTTGATTTTCGATGTACAACAATTTTTTTACAAATGTTTTACGTATTCACACCACGACAACGCATTACGCAATAATCAAACACAGCCAATGAATAGGAATGAACTAGGAATGAAAATCTCGAAAAAAAGTGTATAGTTATTGCAGGGGAAATCCCGTGTCTATGATAAACTATCTATCAAATTATTAATTCAGTACGTAAGAGAAAGAGCACGAATCACGATTTTAACGCCATCGTGCGAAGATCGGCCGTACTGAGAATTATCATTGTTGTCAATACTATAATAAAAAAATACCTTACTAAATTTTCTTTAAACAACCAGGGGCAAACAAGCAGATGAGCCACCATCATGGTAAGTGGTCATAGTCGCCTATGCAGTCTTGAGAAAGTCGCTAAAAATCACCAAATCTATATCTAGTGACTTAGCAAATGCAAAAATCGTTGAGCTATTGCAGAATTCCCAAAATCTAGCGACAAATTCCCCAAAGTGGCAACACTGCGTGTGTGTAGAGACACCTCCGATATTGCTCCGATCGCTGTGCTCCCTAGATTGCCCCTGCGGCAGGCATGTTAGTAGACGCCTAGACGTTTTATGTTTTGTTTCGCTAAACGACGGGCGGAGGCGTAATAAAAGCGCGGCGGATGGGGACGGTTACCTTATGGCGCGTCTCCACCAAAGTTTTGTTACCAACACAACAGTTGCCGACACGTGTTGCCAACAAATGTTTCTCTCAACAAGCGTCTCCACCGAGGGAACAAATGTTGGCAACAAGCGTATTCCTTTGACGCTGCCGCCGAAAATGGAAACAAGTTTTTTTCGGCTTTGTGGCGCGTCTCCAATAAAAATGTTGACAACATTTATGTTTCCAACTGTTGACAAATCAACAAAAGTTGACGACATTTGTTTCCGAAAATGTTTCAAAATGTTGCAAGAAGCGTCTCCACCGAGGGAACAAATGTCGACAACAAGCGTATTCCTTTGATGTTGCCGCCGAAAATGGAAACATGATTCCCCACATTGTTTCGTTTTGTTGCTCAAACTAGGTGATTACAGAAACATTTGTTGACAAAACGTGTTGACAAATGTTGTGTTGGCAACAAAACTTTGGTGGAGACGCGCCATTAGGAGGAGTTTTATTATGTTTTGTTTCGCTCAGACGACGGTCGGCGACGTCGCAAGGGCGCGGCGGGCTTGGAGGGTGCGGCGGGGGCTGTGGGGGTGGCGGGGGCGGTGGGCGCGGCTGGCGGCGAGGCGTCGGACAGCGACAGCGAGGGCAGCGCGCGCAGCCTGGAGCTGGCGTCCAGCCACTCGTCCGACGACGACGAGACCAGCACGCGCCGCTCCACGCCCCGCCACGCGCACCCGCACCCGCACCCAGCCGCTGCCAACACTCAATATTCAAGTAACCAATGACTCGTATATTCTCTCATTCTTCTCTTAAAACTTTTGGCGAGGATTTCCTCCCTTCTTCCCTCCATACATATTTCTCCAACTCGAAGTAAGCGTGCGACATTCGGTGGACAAAATGGTAAGATATAAATGCTGATGAAGAATAAAGAATTTAATTCAATATATTAACCGATCAGGCGTCGACATTTTTATTTAACCAACTTAGTCAGACCTATGGTCAAGCCAAAGAGCATAGTAGGTCAGGCAAAAATCATTTTTTTTTAATGACGATGTACATATGATTAATTGTATGGTTATCACATAAGAAACGAAAACTCGGATGTCGGCTTTTTGTTCCCTAGCAATAAAATTATAATTTATTTATATCGATTCATTTATAGCATTTTAAAAATTCATTAGATTAAGAATTTAATTGAATTTTTTTTAACGCATTATTTTTTTCCAAGCATATACTATTTCAGAAAATGTCAGTTCTTGCGCGTCAATGTCGCGTCTAAAATTCCCGATTAACTATCAAAATTCATTATCACCCCTAGACTAAGATGGAACTCCTCGTTTCCAGTAAAAAGGATCACCATACGAAACAGCACTATCAAGCTACTCTTCACAGAGTACATTATATATAGGGAATACTCTTTTCGCTGGTATTCTGTGAGAACTCGGTCTCTCCCAGTCAAGCCGACCGAAGCGAGTAAACCGATTTGGGTGCGGTTTCTTTTAATATAAAATTAGGATTTCTAGCGGTGGTTCTTAGATAGTTCAGCTGTTTCAATGTCATCAGCTGATTTTTTTAGTATTTTTTTTAAATTTTGAATTTGACTTATAACACATAATTTTCTTTCTTTACGCGGAATTAAGCAAATTAGTTTATAACAACCCCATTATAATGGATTTCCGCAAAGTAACGCCTGATTCTATTAATTAATTTGACTTATGTTCGGTACAAATTTCGCAATCGATATTAAACTAACTTCCCGATGAACTAGAGACTTTAACCTTTAAATACTTATATCTGAGAATTGGATGATAATGCAATAAACTTTAAACATAACAGAACTGGAAACGTGGTACAAAATGGTCGCCATTTTGAATTATAAAAATTCTTCTTAATCTGCTCGTAAAGAGTAGATCCTTCTACGCCACGTTTGACAGGCGTTTTTTGAACGCAGTTCATTTCGCACTTTTGACGCTACTCTGGATATTTTACGTCAGACGTAAACGAATAGCTATCTCACTAAGCAAAAAAATAAATACCAAAAGTAAATAGAACAAATTAAGTACTCATTTCCTTATCTTCCATGGCAATGAAATTATTTAATATTTTTAATGTAAACAGGAGAACGAGGAACAAGTAACAACGCAGGCAGCTTTCTGCCAAATATTACGGAAGGAGCGCCTTTGGGGATGTCACCTCGGTGGCCGTCACATATTAGAGAAGGTATTTTTTAAAGCCTATTTTATTTAAACATTTTTATATCTTTTATTTCGTAGTATAGTAACTATTATTTATTTATTGTTTGAATTTTTATTTATTTATTTATTTATTGCTGATACGTGTGTTTCATCACTGAGCCTAAGACCCTGTATGGATACCGCGCAAAGGCTGTGGCAGAATAGCAGGAGTAATGGGTTTCCCGTTACAATTGAGTCACAGACCGTTTTGTCACAATTCATTATTAAGCTGTCTATTTAAATTTTAACATAGTATCGTTCGTTTTATTTATTTCTTTATTATTAAAGTCGCTGGAAAGCCATAGCTTTGAAAGAAAACAAAACGCCCTATTATTACATTTTATTTTAGATTGTGATTATGAAAATCTATTGTACCGAGTTTGTTATTGCAACAAGTACAAAGACGCAAGCTGTCCCCAAAAAATTTGCCATCAAGTCTTCTTCTCTTCTGAGATATCACATCACGTGGTAAACGAAACTAGTGGTTGAGTGGTGTGCCGTATACATCGTACTCTTCTGTAAATAATGAAGAGCCGTCGTAGCGCAAGGGCTAAGCGCTCGTAAATTTCACAGTACGCGAATAACCTGAGTTCGATCCTCACTGGCACCAAAGAAATTTATAATTGTTATTTTATGTTGTGCTGCGGATACTTTTGCTCTAAACCCCTCTCAGAACTAAGAGCAAGCCTCTGTCCAGGAGTGGGGCGTATATGTGCTGGAACTTTAGCTTTGTGTAGATAATCCAAATTAAATCCTATAGCTTCTTTACCTTATTATCTACTGTATTCCTTGTATTTTTAGTTATTTTTATCCGACTGCTCCAGAAGAAAGGGAATGTTGTTCGAGTTTATGTCTGTGTGTAAATCTATACTGCACACTCTGCAGCTTAAACGGCTTGACGTATTTTAATAAAGTGACTTAAGGTATAAAATTTATCTCTTTTAAGCCAACTTTTTATGCAGTTGGGTTTTTGTAAATTACTGTTTTCGCCATTGAACTTGTACATATAAAAGTCCACTGCTAAACGTGGGCTGCTATAATTATAGGGAAATATTCCATAATAATTACACTTGGCAGATGAATTGGCATACATAACGCACCGTTAGCTGTCTTTCCCGTCACTGGTCTAGATATTTTACGCCTGACAAAAATAATTATATCGCAAATCCATAAGAATTTTCTAGAATTTTCTAGAATTTCTCAGACGAACAAAATGAAAGGGGGTGATGGATACTATTATATAATACTATTATGGAAGTTATACCTGCACAGTAACTTATAGGTACTGTTTATTGTTCCCAGAAGCAAACCGGCCGGACATAGGACGTTGGTCCCAAGAGACCGGATCCGATCACGAGGGACTGAACCCGGGCCCGGCCACACCGTCGCCGAACCCACTGCCCAACCCCGACCTCACGTCTGACGTATATCAGCTAAGCCGGCACAGAATGAAGCCCTCCATTTTGGAAAACGTACATGACACTTACGTCGCAAACGTGGACGCATCTCGGCTACCGCTCGATAACAGGTTTGTACATATGAAATATTCTTACTATTGGTTTATTATACTATAACTGATGAATTAAAGACCAACTAAAACTTACAAATTGATATTTTACTAACATTAATAAATACTTTCGTGTGTTCTTATCACAAACCGAACGTAGCGATAGAATCTACTGGGTGCAGCTCTAATTAATCTAATAGCAATCCATAATCAATATAAGCAATCTTTTGTGTTTCGTTACTTAAATAGTAATAATGTATTAATATCGAATTCCTTTCTCTATTAAAGTGAGCATGGATGTTATCAATTGATAATTTGAGCATTAGTTGTCGGAAATAAGAGACCAGGATATTGTTGGTATTATCATTGGCTGATACCTACGTGGTTTATACGTGGTAGAGCCATGTTGCAGCTATATTAGTAGTATAGTTGTAGCACGAATGGGTCGCCTCGACCGGGGAAGGACCACGCTCTCTCAGAATACCGGCGTAAGATGGCAGCTCGACACTGCTATGTTTCGTATGGTGAGTGTAGAGAAACGGAGACCCATTTTACTGGAAAAGAGGCATCCCATCTTAGCCCTCACGGGTGATGACGCATCTGCATTTTGATTTTTTATTGAGGATAAATTGGGTCACAGCAACCACTTACCATCAGGTGGACTGTGTGCTCGTTTGTCACCCTATCCTATAAAAACAACCTTATTAGATATGTAATGGGTTGATTGCGTTCGTCAACTTGGCTCTGACATTGTATCTGCAGACTTTGTATTTCAATGCTATCTACACATCAAAAAATACGAACCATCTCTATCTTCCACATATATATAAACAAGTGTTCCAAATACGATTGAGAACCTTAAAAACAAATTTTTAGTTCCGTAAAATAGGTTTAAAATGTACCTTTATTAGCAACAAGGCATTCCATAGTAGTCCTCGGGGGTGACAACGCAACTACATTTTGATTATTCCTTCATGTAAACGTACCTGCATAATATATGTCTTCACGATACATACATAATATGTAAGACGTCCCTACGATGCAGGGGTAAGGCTTTTTAAAAAAAGAAAAGTCCTGCAACATTAATTATATAGTATATTTATTTATTTTTAGGATGAACTTACCTACATAATAATCGTCTCGATGTTTTCGCATCATGTTATTTTTAGATACGGTGTAATGGAAGACGAACTCATGTACGGCGTATTACCAAACGACACGGAAAAACAAATGCCCTACGATCCCAACTATCCCATGTCGCCCACGATGTACAGATTACCCCAAAATCCCTACGGGTCAAAAACATATCTCTCTGCGTCAAGAACATCCGACTATGGTTACAGTCCCACAAAGTATATGAACCCGGATCCCAATGCGTACGGATCAAGGGATTTCCGCGATTCGGGCGTGACAACACGGGATCACGACGGATATCCGTCGCGGGATTTTAGGGATTCCGGCATAGCAACCATGCTGAAAAATGATTATCAAAGAAAAATGGAGAGTCATTATGGCGGAGACTACAACGACGGAATGTCTGAAGGATCGGATAAGCATCATCCGCACGATAAATATCTATTCCCGTATACGGGTAAGTGTGCTGTTTATTCAAAACCTAGCGTTTCATAGCGTTTCTATATATTTTTTTAATTATACTTTTGCATGATTTTGCAAACGTTAAATTTAATTTTATCCATTTATTATTTTGTTTTACCATTATATTTACGTTGCCTATTAAATGCACAAGTTCAAAAAAGTCAATAACACTAAGTATATTTTTGTAAACAATTAAACTTGTTAGTTTGTTTAAAAAATATGAAGTACCAACCTAAATAAACTTAAAAAAAAAAAATTGAAAACGATGTTGTTCGGATTTGTGCAATACACGCTTGATGTTTACTAGTTTTTTTTTTTTATTTTGAAAGTAATTATAGCTTAGCACTGCTTGTGACCATTACTTTGCCCTCTAGCGGAGGAGGACCACGTAAGTATGCGCGAGGCGACGCGCTCCCCGCTCACACGCGCCAACACACACACGGGTACGTATATTTAAGGTTATTGTCAATCTTAGAATAGGCAGAGCTATTTAAAATGTTTTTATTATTATTAAAGTCTATATTATGATTTACAAAGTCGGAAAATACATTACGAGGTTATTGTTAATAATAATAGTGTGAGAGCGGGTGTTCAACTTGTTCTCTTGCTTGCGTAGATTAAGCAGAACACTATCAACAATAAAACAGCGTAACGTAACGCCCTATACATTCGGTCTAAAGTAGTTACAATTCAGGGGCGTAGCTACCGCCGTATCAGCCGTATCAATACTAAATCATTAAATTCTTCTCCTACTGTCGCCGAATAAATCATTAAATTCTTCTCCTACTGTCGCCGAATCATTGCTCAAACAAAATGTAAAGGCTTGTTCAAATACTTTTAAATTCCATAGAGTACTGCCAAAAGATATCGTTAAATATTTTAAAACTATTGATGTTAAGAAAACTGCAGACTTATGGGGGATTTCCGTTAAAGTTATTTTATCTATAATAGATATATTTGCACCTTATCTAGCCACTATATTTAATATAAGCGTCGAATCTGGTGTGTTTCCTGATTTAATGAAACATAGTAAAGTCATACCTATATTTAAATCTGGTAGTACATTAGACCCCGCCAATTTTAGACCAATTTCTGTACTACCAACATTAAGTAAAATTTTTGAAAAAATTATTTTAGATCAGATGTTAAGTTTCTTTAATATTAATAAATTGCTACATAAAAATCAATTCGGTTTTACAAGGGGTCGCCCGACAACTGACGCTGGAGTTGAGCTTATTAAACATATTTTTTGTGCATGGGAGAATTCAGAGGATGCTTTGGGTATATTTTGTGACCTTTCCAAGGCTTTCGACTGTGTTCACCATGAGACATTAATCAGGAAGCTACAGTACTATGGTGTCAAGAACACAGCGCTTAAACTTACTATTTCATATTTAAGTAATAGAAAACAGAAGGTTATTATCAATGGTAAAAGTTCTTCCGGGTCACCTGTACTAATGGGTGTTCCTCAGGGCTCGATTCTCGGCCCCTTCCTGTTTCTGGTGTATATTAATGACTTACCTCACCTTGTAGGGGATAGTCATGATATAGTATTATTTGCTGATGATACTTCCTTGATTTTTAAACTTAAACCTCAATCATTTAAATGTGACGAAGTGAATAATGCTATATCAAAATTAGTGCATTGGTTTAACGTTAATAATCTGCATTTGAACGGGAATAAAACTAATTGTGTTAAATTTACAACAACGAATGTTAAAAATCTGAATACCAATGTGTTTTTAAATGGGGAGGAATTGAGCCCTGTTGTATCCACTGTTTTTCTTGGCATCACTCTTGACGCAAAGCTCCAGTGGGGCCCCCATATATCCAAATTAGCAAGCAGACTAACCCTACCCTCTCTTGCCGACATATTTATTTCAATCAAGACACGTTTTGCTTATTCAAACAAATAAAGACTGCTAGTAAGAGCCGTGGTAGCTCAGGGGCGAAGCGCTAGCTGCAGTACACAAGCAACCCGGGTTCGATCCCCGCCGGCACCAATGAAATTGTTAATTGCAATTTTAATTGCTGATTTACCACGTACTCGGCATGCCCAAAAAAATTTCGAAGACATGTGAAGTTCGCCAACACGAGTTGAGGCAACGCGGCGGAAATTTCGTTGCCCTAAAACCCTCTCAGAAATGTGAGGAGGCCTGTGCCCAGCAGTGGAACGTATAAAGGCTGTAACTTGGACAAATTTCACTTTCTAATAAAGAAAATGCCCCATCATCACCAAATACAATCTCTTATATATTCATTACCGACCTCTATAAAGACATGCTACTTTAAATACTTGCTTATATTCAACACGTTCGACAGGTGGGAGAGTAAACATAGGCCAATAGATATCCTCACACTTGTTTTATAACTCTGCGTCGTTCATCGCCAGCCTGTGGGAACAGGAATCGGTATTTTCGGGTGTCGTAAAAAAACGACAAATAATTTTTAAAAATACAAACAGGAGATGGGTGGCAGAATAATAATAAAATTAGGGTTGCAAACCCGGCTTTCAAGCTTGGCAACTATGCCAAATATCTCCCCTACGACGAGACAATTTGTAATGAAAGAAAAGAATTACAGATTTTGAACATAATTTCTAAAAAAGAAACTATTTTACAACCATCTTCGTATATGCCAAATAAAAATACTTAGTTTAACGACGGAGAGCAGCGTAGAAAGTGTAGAACATTTTGCGGTCACCAATTTCCCTGTCGCTTGCCAAGCATTCTCGCTAATATTATGATGAAGATATGGACCTATCTCATAGTAATTTAGCAATGGACTTTCAGTGGGCCCAAGTTGGCTGATGGTAGTGTAGCGCCCTTTCCTAAATACTAAAGATATGCAAATTATTCCTAGTTATTAAAAATTGTTATTCTGTATGCTTATAGACTGGCCTGTTGGTCTAGTGGTTAGTGACCCTGACTGCTACGCCGGAGGTCGTGGGTTCGATTCCCACCCAGGACAAATATTTGTGTGATGAGCACGATCATTTGTTCTGTGTCTGGGTGTAATTTATCTATAATATTTATGTATTTAGAAATATATAAGTATGTTTATCAGTTGTCTAGTACCCATAACACAAGCTCTGCTTAGCTTGGGACTAGATGGCGTTGTTTGATAGTTGTGGAATATTATTATTATTATTATTATTATTATAATTTATTCAACGATTGCACAGGTGAAAACCAACAGCAGATGGGGGCGCCACTAGCAAGCATGGGAGAGACAAGCGAGTAAGTTCCCTTCCAACATCTAGTACATTATTATCCTGCTTTAAATTTGTAAGCTTTATAATTTAAATAAAAATCTAATCCAGCATGAGTACTTCTAAATTTAATGCAACTGCATGTTTCCTAGCGAAATTTAGTCATTGCATAATTGCATTACAACACGTCATTGATTAATTATCGCTCCCATCTTACGATAAAAACTCTTTGGGCTCATTCGTTATAGTAAAAATATTTTTTATTCTATTAACTACGTACCTTCTAACTTTTAAAAACATTCTTGAGATAGATATTACTAAATATCTAAATCTGCTTACCTATGTACTTAAATCAGATGTGAAATACTAATAGATTAAGATACGTTACTGTTATAAACTGTACAAACTTATTTTAAACAATTAGGCCATGGGCCCGGGCCCTTTTCCTAAAGATAATTAATTGCATAGGTTTAAAATTAAAAAGTGACATAATCCGATTTGTTAACATAATAAACTCTATTTTATTTTTAAAAAAAAAGAACTCCTGATTACATAACTTCGAAATTCATAGCTCAAATTAAGAACTACTTACTTTATGTGTTACAGTCGTTTTATACGTTGAAATTTGTACTGTATGCCAAGAAGCCGTTATAGGAGTTATAGAATCGGCTTATCAGAATCAGAATCAGTTATCACAGAAATAACTCGCATGGGTTAGAGAATCAGTATAGATATGATGTATTCCATCCTAGTTCTTACTGGCTTTATTTTGTGAATTGGCTGAAATTCTGTCTACATTACCGTATAGTCAAATGGACTGTGTGAGTTCACAAAAATCGTATCCTTATACTATATTCTCAGCATTGAAAAGAATTAAATAATTTAAAATTATGCTAAGATTTACTATGTTAATAACATTTTTCAATAGATGGTGGCGGTTGTATGAGAAAAATTCATTGTAAATCATCTTTTGCTTTGCTAACCGGTGGTGTTGCCGTGCGCAAAATCATCTGCGATCATCTTAGGGAGGAGGTAAAAATATTCAATGTTACAATGCATGTTCTATATATGTACAAGGCGTTCGGATATATTCACTACACATGCACCTAAAAAATTATGAAAATCGCAATTTTAAAACTGTTAATTTTGTTGAAGAACAAATTTTTTTTTCTTTACATTTTTAATGAATGTTTCCGAACGTATTGTCTACGAGAATAGAAATTTGTGGATAGTGTATTATGTCGTGATCGTAAATTTTGAAAATATGAAATTAGAAAACTCTTCTATGGATTTGAATTATGACTTATAACTCCCCTAAGATGTTCAATATTCCAGCAAAATTACCGCCCTGTTTAATTTGCACAGGAGAAATGATATTTTTAATTTCACAGCAGGTTTTATCACTTTATAATAAGCACTTTTGTGCAACTTATTCACACGGTTACACAGTTTCCTTCTTAAGATTTTTTATATTTTAGTTCATTGATAAAAATGTTTTAATAAAAATACAACACTTATTATTTACTTTTACTATAAAAAGAGACGTTGACTAAACGAAACAATTAAAAGAATCAAAGCTTTGTGAAAGTATAATTGACATATTTTTAAGCCAGTGCTTGACCACACTCCCACCTGGTGGTGAGTAGTAACACTTTCAAGCTGTGTACTGGCAATTTATATTTTTTTTATGAGCCAGCTATTATCCCACCTGATAATATAGTAGTAGGTGTTTAGACGTTCCCTTTTACAGCTTTTAAATTAGCATAACAAAATATTATTAAATCTTATGAATTAGAAAATATATTCAGTCTTCACCTTTCGTCCTTTTAAAACTTTTTTAAGACTCGTTAAGTTTATAATTATGGTTATATTATTTTAAAGTTAGATTAATGCAATTTACAAAATATATAATAAGTTTAACTTCTTTGCTCAATAACATATAATATAATATATAAAAACAATTTTAGGAAATCTACGACTGAAGACGACGCCGAAACGCGAGTATGAAGATCATATAGTACAAGATTTCCAATGAATCTCAATTAGTTAACTAATTTATTATAATTGTGTTGTAACGTATTAGTTCAAATACACTGTCGGTTAAATAGCTCTTATGAAACTCTACGAAGACTGTCATAACTTGATACCCACTGCCATAGCGTAGCATGTAACGGCTATTTATTATTGTCTACTATGCTTTAAATAGATGTAAGTTTAAAGTTTAATTTATGTAATTGTAATGTTAAGTCGTATTTGTTTCATTTTTATTTTGTGCTCATCAATTTCATAGAAAGCATAAAATAGTAATGTGCGTACGTAATTTCATGATCTCTTTCTAGCGTTGCATTCTTTCTAAGAGAACTACATTGCGTTCTTTCTAAGAGAATTAAACTCAATTATTTTCCTTAACATTTTTCAATTGCAATGACCACTAAAAATAATTCCCTATTCAACAAAGTCAACCAGTTTTATAACTGTTTATATTGATCTGAGATCTAGTACCTAAATGTTTACTAGCTTACCTAACTTGTTTGAAAGTTTTGCCTGAGGCCTCTAAGATCGTTTTACTCATTATGTAATTTTTATTCTCTTCGTCTCCTCTTAAATAGGAAGTGCTTAATAAGAAGTTATCTAAATATAAAGATGTCACTGGTATCTATTTTAGTTTTATCTTTACCTACCTATCTTTATCTCTAATTAGAACATAGATATTTCGAAAATTGGATATTTCCGTTTGTATTTATAATTAAAAAAAGGATGTTCGAAAAGCTCATTTTATATAATGTTTACTTAAGACTATTAAAACTTTAAACGTATAACCCGGGTGTTGTGCAAAAGGTATATTATTAATCTAATTGTCGCGCCAAATGTATGTTTCAGCATATTCATATTATGCGAAGGCGTGAACAATTATTTGTTCGATTAGTATATGACATCCAAAGGCAGTCATGTAAATAATTTAGCAGTATAGTAGCTATATTGTGAATTATAAAAAGTAACTTTATGCAAGATATGAAAATTATTTTTTATATAAGAAACCAAAACTATTAATAGTGATTAGTGTATGTATTCAATGTTCAATGATATTAGAAATTAGTGCTTGACGTAAATTAGAATTTAGTTTACTTTGAAAAAGATGAAATATAGTTTAGCGCGAAATTTAAGCAGTGTACATAGTTGATCATAAAGAGTGTTTGTGTGCATTTTGAGCGTTTTAACGAAGAGTCCACCTATTTTGTAAATAAATAGACTTTTACACTTTCTAGTTCTTATTTACATAAACAATATAGGGAATATTAAGAAAAGCTTTATCTAAGTAATGTCTAGTTCTGCCATACTGTGTTAAGATCTTTTGCAGGTATCAGTGTTGGAAATTAAACTATAAAGTTATGATTTAAAAATTATACATCTATTAAATTTATATAAATCAGGACTTAAATCTTTGATAAGCTTCGTTCAAACTGAGCCGTATATCGCGCGGATTAGTTCTTCATTGATTCAAAAATTAGAGGCCAATGGTTGTTCATTAATTTCACTCAAATCTGTGCTATACGGACATAACTTATATTTAATACTTTGAAATTTTCATCAAAATAAAATTTGGTTGTTTATGCTTACAATGTTACCACATGCATTGAATATGGTGACCGTTTAAACTACATTTAGGTTATTTCGACACATTCCGCTTATAAACTTAGTATCTCTTTCAGGAATTGTTTGATATAGCGGTACAAATGTAACATCTGTTTTATATTGAAATATAGTATTTTATTGCTAAATTATAAACGTGTTTATTATTCATATAATGCACCTTTTTTTTAGAGGCGGATTACACTGAAGGTATAGTAGATAGTCTGTGTGCTTTGACTATCTATATCCTGGAGTCCTGGACAAAATACTTTTTACCTGCTTTATTAAATCGGAATAAAGGGAGAAGCGAGAGCTTGGCATTATCTTGGGGTCTCTACATAGCTCAATTTAAACCTGTCCTTTTAAAAAAAACAGCCTTTAGGTACTTAACTATTTCATCAAACAGGTGTAGGCATCTGGATGTATATAAAAAGGCGGACTAAATTTTGCTGAGAAATAAGAAATTCCTGATGGTATGCGATGGCGGCATAGCAAATATGTTTGAGTGGGATAACGGGTTGCCATGTGAAACAAAATTTCCCCATTTCGTTTATGAAAATCTATCAAAAATAAAAAACATAACTGACACAAAATACCAATTACTACGTAAGTAATATAAATAACACAGTGGACGCTTTAAAAATCTAAGAATTTAGATTGTTACTCGATTGCAATAGAATAATCTATTTCGATCGCTTTTTTTATTACAAACATAACATCATTTCAGTCCTTCACACGTACACTGCTGAACATAACCCTCCCCCTAAGAAATGCCTGAGCACGGTCCTGAGCCACCTGCATCCATCGACTTCCCGCATGACTTACCAGGTCGTCACTCCCATCTATGGACATCTGGTACACTTCGCCTACCGATACGAGGCTGCCAACTACGTAAAATGTTATCATAATGAAGAAACAGCACATCTGCAGGGCTATTCCCCGATCAATTTAAAAACTATAGTAAAATGAATTCATCTCAATCTACTTAATCCAGAGTTAGCAGTAGGTGTCGCTAACTGACATCTGTTGGTATTTGGAGGAAAAAGTGGTATATTTTATCTTATCCTGTTGAACGAATGAACTGGCATGAATTGAACGGAAATAAACGGGTATAAAAGACAGAATATAATATGATGAAAATACAAACATGAAAAATAAAACTCATCCAATTTTTAACTATTTATTCATCAACATACATAATATCTACATTTGCACAAATATTTTAGAACCGCATCAGTAAACAGTACTTATAAACTGACTTTATAATACTTTTCACTTTTTTGTTGCAATATGTACGCACTCAATTTGTGCCTAAGACCATATTATGGCATTCACAACATTGTCCAAATTGAATGATTATTACATGGATAATAACATTTTTACAATAAATTAGTTATATTAATATAGTGCAAGGAAGCAAACTAATATTTACAATTGGAAATAACATTAAGATTTCATATAGATATAATAATGGTTTGAAAAAGAAAAATTGAAATCGATTAAAACGAAAGTTAGTTCGTAATATTTGATGATTATGCAAACAGATGGCAAAATGTCATTGGCCACCAAAAATATTTTATTTATTCACTCAAATTATCATTTGTTCGCATACTTGCTAAGGGATAAAATCTCTGTTGAATATTAACTAATTTATTAGCTAGATACAACACACATTCCTTAAAAATTTTGAAACAAATGGCTAGATTATTTGTAAGCATGTCTAAAACACATGAGCTAAATTAAAGTATATAATACGACAGTGCTGATGATGCAGATTCAATTATTTCATTTGAAACCTTATACATAAATACACACATCTCCAGTGGATATGTGTGGGACTGTCTTGGAACAACGAAATATTAGAAACATAGTGATCTAATAGTAGTTTATATACAACAATGATTATATCTGTTATGAACCAATCAAAGCCTTCACAAGCTTTATTAAGATTTCATGGAATGTTTAAGCCTTATAAAAATGACTAGATACTACATTGCATTGTTTTAAACTATTTTGAGCACCTTTTCATTCAGCAGTATTACAAAGAAATCTACCAAATCTTAATGATGTTATATTATATAACAAAGTATACAGTAGTACATAGTAAATATTAATTTAATATATTAGTGCTAGGATATCATGCAATGAGTACCTAGTCAGTCTAGATCAAGACACTGTAAAGTGGATTACAACACAAACTATTGAATATAAGTAGTCTAAAACACTCCAATACAATCCAGACCTGTTCAATGTACTATCTAAAATCTTAGCACAAAATGCTATAAAATATTTTAAAGATAGGTACAGTATTTAAATGTGTAAGTATATGAATGAATATGATGGTGCTAAGATCAGATAATTCTAAAAACAGTCATCTTCAAGATAAGTAAATTACAAAGTAACGTCAATGAACTGTAGTGTGATTAAGAAATACATGAGTCCAACACTTAACATAGAAAACTGTCACTCATGCAGAAGATGTATTTGCACTTAGCATTGGCTGTCACAGATTTCAGGTTGGTCAAGGCAGGCTGATCCAATGCTGTATACTGAAAGTAACAATTAGATATTAAAATTACATATAGAATTTTACTGTGTTTGATCGCTGTGGAGCATCTCAGGTGGTAACGTAAAAGTCAAACAAAGAAACATTATAAAATCTATTAGTATCTGATATTGCAGCAGTAAAGGTAAGCTCGCCAAACACCTGAACAGATACTGTGTGTAATGGTCAAAACAAAATCAGAGATTTTGTTTTTTGGACAAGAAATCCTCAGTAGCAGCCTAAAGTCGGGAAATTGTTCCTTTTCTGCCTAAGAGTCTATCTAGATGGATACCATCATGTTACCTATTTCTGACGCCAAGCAGGAGCACAAACATTGCCGTATTCTGGCTTGAAGGATAAGAGAGACGGTTTAATAATACTTCGGTAAGACATTTCATGTTAGTCATAAGGTTGACAATATTCGAAGCGTCAGTAGCCTAATGGCAGGGCGCGGACTGCGAACTTGGAAAGGTTGTGGGTTCGAATCCGCCATTTGACTACTGTCGTGAACCACTTCTAACACAAGCATTTTAAGCTTACCAGAAGTGGTTAAAGGGAATATTAGTAATGTTTAATAGCATTACTAATATTTATAAAAAAAAGAGGAAAAAAATATATAATTGGGCTTCATGTTTTTTATATATATAAAACTTAAAGTAACAAATCAAGTTACAGCTCAACTGATGGTAAGTGGTTACTGCGGCATACCTGCAACCAACTTCAAAGAAGGCTACAGACGTATTGTGAATTCTGAGGGCTAAGATGGAATGCCTCACAGCCTGTAACTATACTGCCCTTTAGATAGGAACAAAGTAGTGCACACACTCCTCCTTGGCCACAAAAATAAAATGGTACCTAACCAGACAGAATCATTGGCAGAAAAGGAGTCCTACTACATAGTAGTTTGTTTGAAGGTAGTTGCAGGTATCCATAGGCAACAGACATTTAAAAACTAAATGATTTATGGGCAGTACAGTAAAAGCCTTTACTCGGTAGTGGACAAGTGAAGGTTCCTATAATAATGATCATTAGACACCAAATTCTGTTTCTATTGTATAATCAAATATCACTGCCGAGTGTTGATAACTTGGCATGCAGGTTGGAAATTACAGGTTTTCATTATTTTCAGCTGTTATCAGGGAGATGCCGCACCCTTAAAATATACATAAGCAAGCTATAGATTGCGCGTTAGCAAGTATGAACAGTATGCACGGGTATAAACAGTATGCACAGGTATGAACAGTCTCGGCTGTTAAAATTTATTCATGAAAACAAACTAAGAAGGACAATGATACTTCTTTTCATCATTAAGTAATATTTTGATAAGAAAACATAGGTTTAAACTAAATTACTCAAGGTGTTACAAAAAAGGTGATTGGAAACATGGTTGGTTTCATGATAATAATTTAATCATATTACCAACCTACCTCATATTAACTAAATACTTACCTTGTACTTAAAACTTAAGAAAATTAATGCATAGGCATCAATCGTGACATATCACTATTCAACAGTACCATCTATGTATCAGAATCTTATATAACATCTGCTGACACTTGGCATATATTACTGTTATGCCAAAATAAGGGACAGTGAGCGATGTGCACGCTTTATAGCTTGTTTAAGCTGCTGTCCGTCTCCTGTTTCAGTTTCTCTCTGTCATGGTATGAGGCAGTGAATTTTCTTATTATGCCATGGTTGAAACAATCTATTGTATAACCAAATATATTTAATAGTAAGACTATATTACTATTCAGTCATAGTACAGATAATACATCAAAAAAACAAATGTTGATGTTATCTTAATCAGAGTATTTGGTTATATAACTTTATGTGGCTTAATGATCAAAGTAACCGAATAAAAGTCTGAATGTAATCTAAGATTCTAATGCCATTTATACAGCTAGCATTTCTTTAAAATACTATATTGTTCGTATACATTTCATGTGTTGTGACTCTGTACATATCTATAAACACAGCCTCATATCCTTTTTTTTAAATTCTTCTCAAGATCTTTACATTGAATGCCGGTTTAAAAGATTATCAGTACACAGGGTTACTTTTCAAAGAGTAGCCAAATTTTAAACTAAGTTCAAATATATAAATAATGATATACCATTATAGCAGTTTTAGAAAATACGATATAAAAAGTCTTCTACTTTTATTTAAAATTATCCCAAATTGAATGTGATTTATGGGCAACAACATTTTTGCCTACCGATCGACCCTTACAAATGTGTGTGTGCACAGTAAAATCAGTTAAAATAATGCATTACCACGAATTTTGAATTTAAAAGATAAAAAGTACAGAATGTTTGAGATTTTTTTAACTAATTTTTCTTCACTATTTGCCTATGTTACTTATTCTGAACCTTCTCTGCAAATTTGGCCGGTTATTGCAAAGTAACCCTCTATATTTAAAAATCTATAATATTTAGCAAAATCATAGTAGGATGAAATATATTTATCCAAGGTATATCAAAAAACACAAAATTAAAAAAAACCACTCCAACAGAATAGAATATTTTTCATTCAAATTAGAGTATAATTCTTATTGAAAATAATTTTTTTAGTTTTACTTCTGGTTCGAAAAATAATCACTATCCTGGAAGATATAGCAAGAAACATAGTGGGACTTTTTTCCTCAGTACCATTATAAAATAAAAAAATAGTTTTACGATTACTTAAAATACTCATTTAACTTTGAGGTGACCTCATTCAGGAGTATTATTATGAACCTTGTATTAATTTTTACTATAAAAAGCTTTTTTATAAAGAGCATTGTATTTTCAGGGACTTTGCTGGAGAAGCATATTTATTGTATATTATTATACCCTGTTATTACTACTTTTGTTTAAGTGAACATACATTAAATTTTACATAAACTGAAATAGAAGTATTAATATAATTATTACCCTAAATTTTTCCTGAGACATCTGATTTAAGATTATAGACTATTATGGCATTCTTCTGCAAAACAATAACTGGCGAAGTGTTCCACGCACAACGGGTTCCATATCATCGTAATACACATTTCTAGTAAGGGAGCCCCTATTAATTATTTATTTATTTTAATTTTTATTACTTGTTATTATAGTGGCAATACACATTCTGTGAAAATTTCAACTGTCTACTTATTACAGATCATGAGATACAGCCCGCTGACAGACAGACGAACTGACAGCGAAGGCTTAGTAAAAGGCTTAGTACAGAACCCTAAAAATAGTTTCTAAATCAACCTCATTTCCCCATTAGAATATCCCATAAGATATTATGCTATGTAATAACTGAAATAAACTAATGTAACTGCCTTGACACTACTGAGACATTTAACCTTTGATTTAACAGTTGAGATATATTGGGCTCCACTGGTTTTTGTTAGCCAAGAAAAACTGGAATCTACAAGGCTGTGTTCTTCTTCATTTAAGAACATATTTGTCTTCAGATATTTTACATTTGATGTAGAAAATTTTATAGATTAAGTTTTATAATACAAAATTGTACTTACATTTAATTTCGAGTATACATTTTTCTTAAGTTACTGGTTGCCCATTTTAACCTTTGACGTCATATAAATGCCGACGATAAGACCAAAAAGACCAATTGCTGATCCAAAGATTTCCACAATCAGGATTTTGACAAAAAGTGCAGCGTTTGCAGCATCAGCAAGAGCAGCTCCCGAGCCAACAATTCCGACGGCGATACCGCAAAATAGGTTTACCAGTCCCACGGCTAATCCAGCACCGAACATTACGTATCCAGCCATCCAGTTTTGCTGCTTAATAGTTATATCAGTTAATGGTTCAGTGTACTTCTCAAGTATTCCGGAAAGCACAATTGCAGTAATTAAACCGTAGATAGCCACAGCTTCGCAAAAAATGACGGAGATCAAATTCTTGGTCTTGATACGGGGTGATTTGACACCTCCTCCAACTATGCTCACTCCTGTTGTATGTATTCCCATTGCCGCACCAACCACAGAAAACGCAACTGCAAACGCAATTCCCAAGGTTCCCCACATGTAAGGGGATGTGTTTTCCAAAAACCATCCGAAACTTATTTGCTCACCCTTTCCATTCAGGAGATAGTACATCGAAAATATAGGTATAACGATGGCCACAAGGAGCACGAACAGATAACTTAAGAAGTACCTCATCTTGAAAAGATTTTTTAGTTAATTGGAACTGCTGAACCAGAAGATCCCAAATGGGACGGTCTTTTTTTCTCCAATCCCTCCCTTGACAGAAAACTCAAAAACGAAGAAGTCTTGTGATCACAAGATGTCAAAGACAAAACAATGTTGCAATTTATGAAATTTATTTTTATTATCCATAGACTTCGACTACTTTTGCTAACACGTGACAAGATTCCCATGAAAAACAGCTGTATTTTCAATCAAGTCTATAGCTCCAGATTTTGGAGTGCTTAAAAGTATTAATCCAATATCAAAAATTATAAAGCAGTAAGTATCTATACTACTGTCTATACTATCCCACTTAAAAAATCCCGCTGTAATTTCATTCTGATCCGGCACCTCGCTATTTTTAAGATGCTGCTATTGCGTTAGATAAGCTAATGTCATGATTAAAACCATAGGTCACTGATAAATGATTATTAAAATTAATATTGGTGTACTATTCCAATTTAAATATCAAAAATATAGAAAAGGGGTCAAAACAAGGAGCTATACAAGCCAATAATATTTTCAACGAGACGGCTCGCTGTTTTGTTACCGGAGAAGAGTCGGTCACTACTATCTGGATATTACGGAATAGTGATCGACTCTTCTCCTATATGCAAATTGCTAATCAAAGAGTGTAAATGGGGAATTACTACCAATTTTACGATAATGAGAAGGGGGTTTTGGTTTGAAATTGACTGCTAATGGCTTGCTGCTGCTGTTGTATTGATTAAATAATGGCTTAAAGTATCTTTTAAACGTAAAAGTGGTGCTACTTTGTGTATTAATAATATCTGCTTATGTAAAGACTGCTTTGTAGGCCTAGTCATCGTAAACGCGACTCCTGATCATGACGTTCCGGATTTTCGCCCGGGTCGGGCGAAATTTCAGAATGAGTGTTTCTATCAAAAAATCGGCGGTGTTTCACCCCTTAGAAAGCACTTAAAGCTGTTGCTCCTTCTATTATTTCTCCCATCGTGTAGGATCGCAGTTCCATCGGACTATGAGAGTGAGGAAATAGAGCGCACCTAAGCGCAGGTGCACTCTATTTCCTCATACTATTTACACATACTATAATCAGGTCCTGCGCAGAATGTTATAATTGGAAACGAAGTAACAAATGCTTTGATATAATAATTAAATCTTAAGTCTTTTATCTCCTAAGAGAGTACAGTTGATATAGTATCGTCCTCAACTGTCCCCATGGTTAACTATCGACAAATCTTCCAAGACCATCGCAATGTGAAACATCAGCATATTTGTAAATAAAATACTCATTTCATTATGCTGCATGGTCATAAGTCCTTTTACCTATTATAACTAATGTCTATTCTCAAATATCTTCAAAATAATCTATGGTCTATTGTCTATGTCTATGGCCCGTCAGGGTACATAATATCTTCCTTATATATTACTATACTTTTTTTTTTTGGAGTTTATGGCCTGGTATCTAGACCTTTAGGCCAAGTCTTAAGTATTTTTATTCGGTTTATTGTAATTTCCCCACTCCTTCATAGTATACTGCTTCACAATATGTTGATGCGTCACATTGTGCAGTTCTTGGGAGATTTTGGCAGCAACTTGATCCAGCAGACAGCTGATAGTTGGCGATGGTATCTAAAGGTGCCTATGCAAACAAACAGCTTATCTTGAGAATCCATCACCATCAGAGCACTTGTTTCACTGTTTCCACTAATAGTTCACATGCGTAGACACTTAATACACAAAATCGCAACACTTTTACATATCAAAGTCCACTTCAAACCATTATTTAAACAATAATACAGGAGCAGCAAACCGCCGCCGGTCAATTTCCCGCCAAAACCTATTACTATACTCTTTGGTACATGTCACAGAGTACTTTTATATATACTGAAAGTACATGTATTCTGTAGTCTATGTCTATGGTAAAAAAGTATTGTTGTTTTGTTTGTTGCTAATGATTTCTAATCATTTTGTGTTGAATGTACCTAATTAACGAAAATGTAGGTAGCTTTAATTGTTAATCTCCCTTAAATATAATAAAAGGTTATTTTCAACTTAACTTAAGAATGACCTAGAAAAATAATTATGAGTCCAACGGAACCTTTACACGAAAATGTTAACTGTTTATGCCCGATTTATTGTCCGTCATTCTTACCTCTATTTGTTTGCCTTGAGTGTTATTTTAACAGTCCTTACTGTGATTCCCTTGGTGTATCACGACTTACCGTCATTCTCGGATCCAATTATCGGATTCGAAACTCGAGGAACCACATTAGCTCATCGTTTTATTGCATGGGAAAACCTTATCGATGAAACAAGACCATCTAAAAGACTCGCAGTTAATCCTAAAGACATTGAAGACCAGAAACGTATGAATCGTACTTACCACAATAGAATTATTCAGGATAAAGCAAGATCCAGAAATGGACGACCTAAAAGTAAGGAACGTAGCAAAAAGAAGAAACCAAAATATAATAACACTAGTTTTGAAACGACTTCAGATGTTTCAAGCACAAATTTTTCAGTTAATGGTCATATTCACTGGGGATTTGGAAAAAATATTTCATATGAAGATGTTAATGTACAGATTTTAAAAAACCATACACGAAAGCAATGGGTTTCTTTGAAAGCTATGCAGCGGACTCCTGACAAGCCAGTCCATCATAGTTATGCATCTAGTGTCTGTGGAGCTCCAATATCTGAATATGCTCACTTAGTTATTTCAAGTGCAGAAAATTCATCCTTATTGGAATTCAAAAATGTTCAAAAAATGTGTAAATTGCAGTCTCTGCTAGTTCAAGTAGGTGGTAAGGAATATTACAAGTTGTGTCAAAGGTCGATGCGAAATGAAGATGTTTGTTGTCCAGTATGGAGTGTGCCAAACTATATAGCTTTAATATCTGGCAAGAGTTCATGTGAAAATGTGACTAGAGAGGATGTTAACAATGTAATTGTAATTTTAAGTAAATGTGCCAGTTACTTCCATGATTTCAGATTAATGGCGTCGTGTGAATTAAATCAATGTAGAGTGCCAAAATATTGTTCACAATATGATGCTGTTTATAATTTGTTATTTTATTTAATAGATTCGGATGCTTTTGCTCCACCACAATTTACACAAAAATTTGTGAAAAATGTAATGATATTTCTTCCTCTTGCATGCAGCAGTACTGTTATGCCTTATTACCAGAAATTGCAAAGTTCAAATTTTTCATATGACACACTTGTTATTCCTGCTGTAGATTTTGGACTAAAGAATGCATTATTTGATTTATGGATAATCCAGGATACATGGTTAATAGGCGTAGGAGGACTTTTTGTATTTATATGTGTCTGGGTCTACACTAAGTCTCTGTTATTAACTATACTGTTGTTTATAGCTATATCATACTCTCTTGGAGTAGCATACTTCTTCTATATTTATGTGTTCAATCTAAAATTCTTTCCCTTTATGAATTTATTAGTAATTGTTGTTGTGATAGGAATTGGCGCTGATGATGCATTTCTTTATATTAAGCTTTGGAACATGATTAGCAAACAGCTCATAAGGGACAATGTAATAAGTCAAGACAATGCACTTGATGATATTAAGAATGTCTCAAGTGCAAGTGAGACTATATTAATTCAAATACTCGAAGAAACTTTAAGACATTCAATTCTCACTATGTTTATCACAACATTGACAACTGCAGTTGCATTTTTTGCTTCATATGTAAGTTATATTCCAGCCATAAATTGCTTTAGTGTTTTTGCTGGTACATCAGTATTAGTCAACTTTTTACTTATGATAAGTTGGTTGCCAGCATCAGTATTTGTATTAGAGGTTAAAATATGGAAAACTACTAAAAAAACATGGAGTATTGTGATTCATAAAGCTATTAATGAAATTGGAGAGGATATCAAAGTTATATTGAATAGGTTTATAATAACATTAATTACAAAATCACACATAGGTATTGTAGTTATATTGGGTGCTATAGGAATTTGTAGTATTGTTGTAGTTTTTTACACTCCTGGACTTCAACTTCCTGACTCAAAACAGTTTCAGCTTTTTCAGACTTCACATCCCTTTGAAAAATATGATCTACAATATAGAGATAGATTTCTGTTTGAAAGGTTTGGTAAAGATTTAGGCACAGGTAGTAAAATGCCTTTAAGATGGATCTGGGGTGTAAAAGCAATTGACAATGGCAATCATATGGATCCCACCTCAACTGGGCATTTAGTATTTGATACAGATTTTTCTATCTCAGACCCTAAGTCACAGTTGTGGCTTTCAGAATTTTGCAGAAAAATAAAAGGTCAACCATTTTATCAACACACTTTAGGACCTTTGCTCCCAAACTGTTTTATTGAAAGTTTTAGAATGTTCATGAGTAGGCGTTGTATTGATAACATTGATAAAATTAATAGAACCCCTTGCTGTGAAACTTCCCATTTTCCCTATTCAAAAGATGTTTTCAACTTTTGTATTTTAGCAGCAATGGAATCCTTGTATCAAACCCCAAGGGAGCTTTTTATGCCAGGAGTTGCTGGACCTAAATTTCTTAGGAGTGCCAATCCACCTAATGTTTCAGCAATGGTTGTGGAATTTGAAAGTACAGTTCCATATTCAATGTCCTATACTGCAATGAATAACTTTTTCCTGCAAGTTGAAAACTGGACTCAACATGAATTGAAATCTGCACCCCCAGGTATGAGAAATGGTTGGTTTTTATCAGATTTGCAGTTTTATGATTTGCAGAAGACATTAGCAAGTGGAACTGTAATGGCTTTAATATTGTCTGCTAGCTTAGGGTTCATAGTTCTTATACCAGCTACTTTTAGCTTAGTCATCAGTATTTGCGCATTAATTGCGATGATATTTTCTTCAACAGTTACTATAGCTATTTTAGTGTTAAGTGACTGGAAATTAAATGTATTAGAAAGTGTAGCGATATCAACATCAGCAGGGTTAGCTGTAGATTTTAGTCTTCATTATGCATTAAGTT